TGCGCAGGACGTAAGTACAGGGACCAGCACCCCCAGACCCCTGGCGCCCCGCGTACCACTCACGAAGCTGCTGGGGCGAAGGGGTCTCACGAGAGCGCTGCTGCTGCTGGGGTCCCCGCTGCACAGCTCCGCCTCTGCCAGCTCCACCTCCGCCGCCGCCGCCTCCGCCTCCTCCACCCCTCCCGCCACCGCCACCGCCGCCTCCACCTCCACCGCCGCCACCGAAGCCCCCACCTCTACCACCACCCCCACCCCCACCCCCACCCCCTCCTCCGCCTCCACCGCCACTACCGCCGCCCCCACCACCTCCTCCAGCTCCCTTGCCCCGCTTGCCCTTGCTGATGCGGCGCCTCTCACTAGGAGCAGACGCAGCGCTGACCGACTCGGTGCCAACAAGGTCGACAGCAGCAGCAGAGGCAACAGAGGGCAAAAGAGGAACGGGGGAGCACCCCTCAAAGAAAGGGGTACGGGGGTCACCACGAGAGGCGCCTACAGCGGTGATACTAGTCTCTGCTGCAAGGAGGCGCTCCTCGAGGAGGTCGACAGTGAGGGTGGTAGGGCAAAGAGAGAGGAAGTGGTCCCTGACCGAGCGGAGAGTGTCAGGGAGTCGAGTGACTAGGTAGTAGAGGGTGATGTACATGGGGGGGGGGGTTCTGGGCGCAGAACTCAGCAGGAAGCGCAGCGCGGTAGCGAGTGTCACTAGTGCGGAGGTGCGTAATGAGGTCAGTGACTGTGGCAAAAGCAGCGAGGTCAGGGAACAGGTACGGTAGCATGAGGCGGCTAAGCGCAGCAGTGGCAGGGGAAGAGTAGCGTGCAACTACTGCGTCGTACAGAGTCTTAGCACTCTTTTACTGACTAAAGTGCGCGCGCTCAGTAGACGGTAGGTGACTACGCACAGCAAGGCGGGCAGCAGCATCCCGCGTGAGCCACTGCGAGCGAACGGTACTGTCAGCATCAGCAGCAGGGGCAGTAGAGGCGCCCGACGTAAGATCAAACAGGGAGAGACCATCCTTGCTATCGCACTGAAGGAAAAGCTGCAGATCATCTAGCCAGACATCAAAGTCAACCGCTCGACCCTCAGCATCAAAGGTGAGAAGACTAGGACTAGCCATGATAGGAGCAGCAGCAGGCTAGCAGCGGCAGCAGTGCAACTGAGCGGAGCAGGACAATGCGACTCGGCAGGGCGACTCGGCAAAGCAGTGCGGCTCGGCCGCGCGGCTCGGCCTGGCTAGGCTCTTACCAGGGGCGGAGCCGACAGGTCCGGGACTGGGTCGGGGCCGTGACAGGGCCGGGACAGGGTCGGGGCCGAGCAGGGTCCGGGACGGGGCAGCAACGGGGCCGGGACAGGGTCAGGGCCGGGGCAGGTCCGGGACAGGGTCGGGGCCGAGCAGGGTCCGGGACGGGGCAGCAACGGGGCCGGGACAGGGTCGGGGCCGGGGCAGGTCCGGGACGGGGTCGGGGCCGGGGCAGGTCCGGGACGGGGCCGAGGTAGGGCCGGGACAGGGTCGGGGCCGAGGCAGGTCCGGGACGGGGTCGGGGCCAAGGCAGGTCTGGGACGGAGTAGAGGCCGGGGCAGGTCCGGGACGGGGCCGAGACGGGGCCGGGGTAGGGCCTGGACGGGGCCTTTTAGGGGCGGCGTAGGGGCCGCGTCAGGTACGGGGCCGGGTCGGGCCGTTTAGGGGCCGCGTAGGAGCCGCGTAGGGGCGGCGTAGGGGCCGCGTAGGGGCCGCGTCAGGGACGGGGCCGGGTCGGGCCGTTTAGGGGCGGCGTAGGGGCCGCTTAGGGGCCGCGTAGGGGGCCGCGCAGGGGGCCGCGTAGGGGCCGGGTAGGGGCCGCGTAGTGGCCGCGTAGGGGCCGGGTAGGGGCCGCGTAGGGGCCGCGTAGGGGCCGCGTAGGGGCCGCGTAGGGGCCGCGTAGGGGCCGGGTAGGGGCGGGGCCGCGTCAGGGACGGGGCCGCGTCAGGTACGGGGCCGCGACAGGGCCGTTTAGGGGCGGCGTAGGGATCGCGTAGGGGCCGCGTAGGGGCCGTTAGGGGCCGCTAGGGGGCCGCGAAAAAAAAAAAAATAGGGCAGGGCGCGAGACGCGCTTCGGGCAGCTAAAAAAAAGTTGGTTATGGTGGGCCCTTAGGAAGGAACGGTCCCATTAGGGAACCCGCTCTATACCATGTGAATAATTAAACAGGAATGAATGAACTAGGAAAGTGTGAGATACAAATATGAAAGTTGTACCCCTTAGTGTCTACCCCACTACAGCCTACATAGGCTAAGGCATATATATCTGACATGCAGCTGCAGCTGTTGTGGCTGCTGATGCTGCTATTGCTGCGGCTGCTGTCGATGATGCCGCTGCTGTAGTTGCGTGTACGGGCTGATTGCTCAATGGCATGCCGTACATCGGTTGTTGTTGATATTGTTGTTGTTGTTGTTGTTGCTGCAGATGTGAATTATCAGCAGCTGGAGACGATGTTGGGCGTGATGGGCTCGTAACAGAAAAGCCATTGTTGGACCTTGGAGATCCATACATAATTGTAGAGTAGGTAGGTGGAAGCTGTTATAATCCTAAGTGCTCTCATACCATGTTAGAATTAAGTTGTCTGAATAGGATCGTAGTCTTAGGATAGTAGCTTCCTGTAGCAGTGGAAGTCTTATATGAGTGATTTGTAACAGGATCAATATCTCTGAAATCAAGTATATTAAGAAATGACAAACATACAGAATATATACTAGGATAAAGTACCTATTCGCCTAATGTACCTATTAGCCTGAAACGGTACGTGACTATTCGCGATACCTACAGCTACTGCTGACGTCATCCTAGGGCGCGTAGCGCTTTGCTGACGTCAGCCTATCGGTACTTTTACTGTACTAACTATACTACACGAATTCCTTGAAGTGCACAAGTCTCGATATTATCTCAACAAAGACGAGATCGAGAAGGGAAGACTTGAGCTGTCTTACTGCCCCACATCCGAGATGGCAGCTGATTACTTGACCAAGAAGCTCGGAAAGTCGATGTTCGAATATTGCATGCTGCTGACTGGACAGAGCCACGTCACCTGCAGCGACACTCCAGAAGCGAAGGGGAGTGTTGGAAACAACTGATTTAAACGCCTCTGTCGTGTCGAAACACCAAGACAGAAGCGAAGCAGATCGTATCGAAACATCGGTGAGTCAACCCTCGGAGGTTGAACAACTGCTGGAGGTTACGCGAAAGTCAAAGGTCAGCGACCTTTGACCTGACAAATGCAGCGCGACAGCAAGGACAAACAACTGTCTCGATACTGAGCAGTTGCCCGAGTCGACACTGTATCGAACCGCAACAGCAACAGTAAAACAGTTAACTGTATCTCTTCCTATTCCTTTGTATTCTTATAAAAGCTTGTATCTCCTTTGTTATTATCAACTTACTTTGCCCTCACATACAAGCGCAAGGTGGTTCACAATCCTTTATTAAACGCTTCCGCTACTACATCATCCTACTCTTGAATTCTATCCTGCAAAGATCGTAAGGGCTTTCTCAGCCCAACAACAAGTGGGGCAGCGCTACGAACAGGGAACAATGCAGTGGGCCCTAAAAAAATGGTCCTGAAACAGGACCTGCTCTGAAACCATGTCAAAAATCTTGACGAGAATGATTGAATTGAGATAGAACCGAGTACAAGTACTAACCCTAATTGAGTTGTACTTTTTATGGGCTACCCCACTACAGCCTTCACAATATAAGCATTATAACATTTTGACAATCAACACACACAAGCCCTGCACAAAGAAAAATCAGAGAAGTCAACACACACAAGCCCTGCACAAAGCAAAAACAGAGAAGTCAACACACACAAGCCCTGCACAAAGCAAAATCAGAGAAGTCAACACACACAAGCCCTGCACAAAGCAAAAACAGAGAAGTCAACACACACAAGCCCTGCACAAAGCAAAATCAGAGAAGTCAACACACACAAGCCCTGCACAAAGCCAAAACAGAAGTCAACACCCACATGCCCTGCACAAAGCAAACACAGAAGTCAACACACACAAGCCCTGCACAAAGATAAAACCGGAAAGTCAACACACACACGCCCTGCACAAGAAAGCAAGAACAGAGAAAGCAACAGCACACCTTGCACAAAAAACAGTGTATGTTCACACAGTGTGTACAAGAAAGCAAAAAGGCCAAAGGCCATGAAGCTAGCGCTTCAGGCGCGGTACACTAGGTGCCATGCCAGCGCCCAAGCGCTACAGCCCGCTGCACGAGCGTGCTAGGCACTAGCCGGCTAGTTGCCAGCGGCCTAGACGAGCGTCTGAGGCGCCAACACCTTAAAATCCGGCACTCTAAGCGCTAGTGCAGAAAGCGACACTCATTTGTACAAGTAGCCCCAGTTGCCCAAGCACCAGCAGAATAGATGCTTGCTAGTGCCTACGCCCCAGCATGCTCATGCGCTCTCTCACGCGCTCTCACGCGCTCTCTCACGCGCTCTCTCACACGCTCTCTCACGCGCTCCCTCACGCGCTCCCTCACGCGCTCCCTCACACGCAGCCTCACGCGCACTCTCACGCGCACTCTCACGTGCTCTCACGCGCTCTCTCACGCACTCTCTCACGCGCTCTCTCACGCGCTCTCTCGCGCACTTACGCGCGCTCTCACGGGCACTCTCACACGCTCTCTCACGCACTCTCACGCGCTCTCACGCGCTCTCTCACGCGCTCTCTCACGCGCTCTCTCAGGCGCACTCTCAGGCACACTCTCTCGCGCTCTCTCTCGCGCTCTCTCTCGCGCTCTCTCTCGCGCACTCTCACGCGCTCTCTCACGCTCTCTCTCGCGCACTCTCTCGCGCACTCTCTCGCGCGCTCTCTCACGTGCTCTCTAACGCGCTCTCTCACGCGCTCTCTCACGCGCACTCTCACGCAAACTCTCACACGCACTCTCCCGCGCACTCTCTCTCTCTCACGAGATCTCTCACGCTCTCTCTCACGCGCTCTCTCACGCGCACTCTCACGCGCACACTCATGCTCCCTCACGCGCTCTCTCACGCGCTCTATCATACGCACCCTCACGCGTTCTCTCACGCGCTCTCACATGCACTCTCACACGCACTCTCTCACGCGCTCTCTCACGCCCTCTCTCACGCACTCTCTCATGCGCTCTCTCACACGCTCTCTCACGCGCACTCTCACGCGCTCTCTCACGCGCTCTCTCACGCGCACTCTCACGCGCTCTCTCACGCGCTCTCTCATGCTCTCTCTCAGGTGCACTCTCAGGCCCACTCTCAAGCGCTCTCTCTCACGCTCTCTCGCGCTCTCTCACGCGCTCTCTCACGCGCTCTCTCATACGCACCCTCACGCGCTCTCTCACGCGCTCACACGCACTCTCTCACGCCCTCTCTCACGCACTCTCTCACGCGCTCTCTCACACGCACTCTCACGCGCTCTCACACGCTCTCTCTCGCGCACTCTCACGCGCTCTCTCACGCGCTCTCTCACGCGCTCTCTCACACTCTCTCTCAGGCGCACTCTCAGGCACACTCTCACGCGCTCTCTCTCGCGCTCTCTCACGCACTCTCACGCACATTCTCTCTCTCACGCGCTCTCTCACGCGCTCTCTCACGCTCTCTCTCAGGCGCACTCTCAGGCACACTCTCACGCGCTCTCTCTCGCGCTCTCTCTCACGCACTCTCACGCACATTCTCTCTCTCACGCGCTCTCTCTCACGCACTCTCACGCACATTCTCTCTCTCACGCGCTCTCTCACGCGCTCTCTCACGCGCTCTCTCACGCTCTCTCTCAGGCGCACTCTCAGGCACACTCTCACGCGCTCTCTCTCGCGCTCTCTCTCACGCACTCTCACGCACATTCTCTCTCTCACGCGCTCTCTCACGCGCTCTCTCACGCGCTCTCTCACACGTTCTCTCACGCGCTCTCTCATACGCACCCTCACGCGCTCTCTCACGCGCTCTCACACGCACTCTCTCACATGCTCTCTCACGCCCTCTCTCACGCACTCTCTCACGCGCTCTCTCACGCGCACTCTCACTCGCACTCTCACGCGCTCTCTCACGCGCTCTCTCACGCGCTCTCTCACGCGCTCTCTCATACGCACCCTCATGCGCTCCCTCACGCGCTCTCTCACGCGCTCTCACACGCGCTCTCTCACGCGCTCTCTCACGCGCTCTCTCACGCGCTCTCTCATGCACACCCTCACGCGCTCCCTCACGCGCTCTCATGCGCACCCTCATGCGCTCTCTCATGCGCTCTCTCATGCGCACCCTCACGCGCTCTCTCACGCGTTCTCTCATGGGCTCTCTCGCGCGCTCCCTCACGCGCTCTCTCAAGCGCTCTCTTACGCGCTCTCTCACGCGTTCTCTCCTGCGCGTTCGCTCGCGTGCACACGCCCTCCCTCGCGCTCCGTCTCTCCCCTTCTTCAAATGAAAGTGCAATGCAAGAGGAGACCAATTGACACACAAAATTTAGCAAAAAAAAAGAGGAAATTTCAGAGGGGGGAGGGAGGATGAAAGGACCGGGAACGCACCTGATAACCACGGTGCCTCCGAAAACAACCCGCGCTCGCGCACCAACCCGCGCTTGCGCACCAACCCGCGATTGCACACCAACCCGCGATTGCGCACCAAACCGCGCTTGCGCTCCGGGCACCTGTCGCCGGAGGCGACGGCGGGGAGGAGGGAGAGCGACGGCGGGGAGGAGGGAGGGCGACGGCGGGGAGGAGGGAGAGGCGAACGCGGGGAGGAGGGAGAGGCGACGGCGGGGAGGAGGGCGACGGCGGGGAGGAGGGAGAGGCGACGGCGGGGAGGAGAGCGACGGCGGGGAGGAGGGAGAGCGACGGCGGGGAGGAGGGAGAGGCGACGGCGGGGAGGAGGGAGAGGCGACGGCGGGGAGGTAAGGGAGAGGCGACGGCGGGGAGGTAAGGGAGAGGCGACGGCGGGGAGGAGGGAGAGGCGACGGCGGGGAAGAGGGAGAGGCGACGGCGGGGAGGTAAGGGAGAGGCGACGGCGGGGAGGAAAGGGAGAGAAGATGGCGGGGTGGGACGGAGTGATTGTGAGGTGGGAGGAAGTGGCGATGGCGGAGTGGGAGGGAGAGGTGACTGCGGGGAGTGAGGGAGAGGATATGGGGGATGGGAGGGAGAGCGATGGCTGGGTGGGAGGTACTGGCGACGACAGGGTGTAAGGAGGGATAGCTAGAGAAGAAATTGGGTTGGGGAGGAAAAGGAGTGAGAGCAAAGCAGGTACTTGTCCAGAGGAACCAAGATCAATAACCAAGAAATGAAGAGCATCTCGAGTTTGACAGCTGTGAAAGGGACGAATATCTTGGCTTGGTTGGGGTTGTCGTGGAGCTGACGAGAAATTTTCTGCCAGCGCAGAACGAGGCACCAAAACTTATTATATATACATAGAAATATGAGCACAAGGGTGAATGGCAAGCTTAAACAAATCCTGGGCACTTGGCAACACTAAGAAAAAAACACTTGACTTGGAAGCTAGTGTCACGTGAAAACATGCGCCACGCCATCCAACTAGCTGACACATCAGATACGGAACAGTAGTTGCAAACATGAAACCCGCTATAGTAACATGATAGAACAATAGAATATGCTGTAACATTTCATTTTTATTTCAATCACAAAACGTTGTTCCATATTAATTAGCAATCAAACAATTTTGAGGAGAGAAACAACTGAAAAAATAACATTCTTTTCCATAACAAGGAACTATCGAGCTTGTCCCGATTTAAGTAAATAGGAAGAACTTAGTTGATTGCTTCTATATGCATAATATACTCCATCATAATGTTTCTTACACACCGAATACAACTCTATGCAACCAACCCTTCCGACGTAAACGTCGAATCTTGTTTTCTACTCCATACACAAGCATTGCATTTCATCCAAAACCTTCCCTTCGTTGAATGCATCTGACAGAAATGGCATTAGCCATAATAAAAAACCACAATTACAAAATGTGGTTGAGTTGGGAGCATGAACGGAGCATGACGATGCTTGTGAAGGGGGTAAATAGCTAGTTTCCCGAATTACGACTCCACAACTTCGCCATAGTCCCGACGCAAATGCGGAGCTCGCTGTTTACCTTACGGATCTGAGGCAGCCGCGGCGTGCTATGGATCCGTACCGCCGTGCTGCTCCGATCCCCATCGCGCTGCTCAGAAACACTAGATCGGCCCATTGAGAACCACGCGCTGCGGGTCTTGCCCCGAGGCGTGGGAGTTTCTGCGCCGTCTTGAGCTGTCGTGGCGGCTGGGGATGGTTCGCTGCGGCTGAAGCGGAGGGAGGCATTGGCGGAGTAAGAAGTCGGCCGCTCCGATTCGTAATGCGCCGAGTCCGCCCGCGCGCTCAGCTCCACTGCAGCCTGCTGCGCCTCGACGACCGCCAGAGCCGCTTCCTTGATTCGCGACCGCGCATCGTCAACCCAAACGGGGTCGCATGCCATGTCAGCAACCCTCCAGGAACAGCTCGCGCAGAGTTCGTCGCCAAATATCGACCGCGAAGTTGCTAGGCCTCTGGAAGCTGGGGAGTCGAATAGGTAATCTTCGAGGTAATCGTCGGAATCGTGATCAAAACTCGCGGTGTAACAATTTTTTTCATCGCTTCCGTCGAGAGAGTTTGAAGAAAGCGTGGTGCTCAGTTGACCGAAGACTCCCCTGTTCCAGGCGTCATGGGTCCCTCCTGCCTGGCTGATCGTCTCTGCGAAGTTTCCCGAGCTGCAATTTCTGCATCTTTTGAAATCACTGAAAGCCTGAGGTGATGTCGAAGGAAGGTGACTTTCGAAAATTGTCTGCTGCTCTCGCGTGTAGTCGAAGTAACACATGTTCCTTGTATCGGAATTAAGGCGTAGAAGGTATGTGGGTACTGAAGGGTTTTTTATGGTAACTTGGGCGAGCCAGAAATGAGAGTGAATAGCCTGAGTTATGGGACTTCACGGCTTTCTGTTGGAGGGATGGCGGGATAGACGAGGAATGGATGGCGGGAATGGTAAGGGTAGAGAGGAATAGGATAGGACGATGAGGATGGATCATAGTTTTTTGTTCCAGGTTCGTTTTGAATGGTTCATCCTGGTGCGCGATGGTCTAATGCGGTGAACAACCAAAACCGCGCCGAAACGTAGTCTACCGTATTTAACCACGTTGAACGAGCCCAGAACAAAAGAGTATGACCCGCCCTGAGTGACTTGCCGCAAACTATGGGATGTTGAAAACGGTGCTGTCAAGGACGGAACGGAACTGTCAAGAACGCTGGAACCGAGCTTTGATATAGTAAACCGATCAAAACCGTGTATCTCGTCGACCGGGTTTATCCAGAGCCAAACGGTGTAAGTGGACGTGGTGGTGACCTTCCTTGGCTCAGCACACTCCAGCTCATATGGCGAAAAGCACCACTCTTTCGGGAATGTTGTTTTCCTGATTGGCTTCAGAAGTGCTGACGCGACGCTTCACGTGGGGGATCGCGGCAACTAGGGGTCGGACTCCAAGGACACAGCTGGAAAGCGACACAAAAGGGCAGGATCGCGCACAAGGCGATGCGATTCGACATAAATCTTCCGCGAAACCTGTTCCCCATCCCGCACATGGAGCTGTTATCACGGCGAAGCGCTATTCGTCTGGAATGCTGTTGGACCTGGAAGGCTGACGCTGGAATGTGCACCACGTGAATATGGACAGCAAATTGCCATAAAGCGACAGAACGTTTGAAAATGAGAGCCAGCTCAGCGTTGTTTTTTAGCAAAACCCTGGCACAGTGAGGTTCTGAGAGGGGAAGAAATACAGATAATGCTCGTTTGGCGCACCCAACTTTGCCTTGTGTTATGGGCTTGTAAGCGGTTTAGGCTTTTCGCCTTGTTCGTACATTTTCGCCACAGCCTTGACGTGCTCCTGAATAACACAGGTAGTTACATGTTTGTTTTATCCCAAACAGTAGGGGTCGGCCAGTTTTGTTGTTTGTAAGTTGCGTGGTTACCACTCTTTTTTCCGTCCACTATAGCATGCGAGTACACAACCTCTCTCAAATTGTCACGAACACCAAACCCAACCCTCCATCCAATGAAATCCTCACACTTGTACTCATGCTACTCCCCCCGCAACGACTTCCGAACTCTGCAATGTGCACAAGATGTGCACATTGACAGCAGTAGGAGATTTGAAATCCTCCGAGGGGAATCAAACCCCTTCACAGGCGCATCCATTCGGCGGCTGTCATGTAGCCGCCCATGACTGCCGGCGCACCAGCGTCAATCAGCTCCTGGCGGCGCGCCGCCTGCTGAGCCAGAGTCACCCACGATGGGGTGGGCTCCGTCATCCATGCCGGCAGGACGCGGCAACGGCGACGAGGGGTCTCGGCCGGAGGCGTGGCGCCCTCGGGCATACCAGGCGGCGGGGTCATGTTGAGATTAATCGGCGGGCTGGCGCGCTCCATACGCGCCCTGATGATGGGGTTGCGGATGTCGAAGAGCGCGCACAAGTCCCGTGGGGTGATGCCGGTTGCATTCGCGTAGCCGATGAGCATCTCGGAGGCCGCTCGAGCGTAGCGCCGTGCCTCGCGGGACTCGGGGTTGCCGTCGTCGTAGACGGCTTGCATGGTGGCGGGGGCTTCCCACATCTTCGCCGCACGCTCGGTTGGCGGCTCGGTCGCGAGCGGATCCTCGCCCGGCTCTGCGCATGTCGGCTGGTTGTCGTCGATGGCAACCAATGCCGCAGCCGGCATTGCGCTTGTGCCGAGGCCGAGGCGATCGATGAGGATGCCAACATCCCCGATATCCTCGTCAAGGCCGATGTCCACATCTCGGCCCGCACCGACTGCGTCCTCTCCCACGTGAGGAAGGTCCATGGCCCACGCACGCGGGAGGCAGCCTGTGCGCCACCAACAACGCTGGATGGTGCGCAATGCGATGTTCATCCACGCGTCGTTGAGCCAGGCCACGACGTCGCGGAGGTTGGGCTTGAAACGAGCCACACGCGAGGTCGCGCCATCGGCATTCCAGCGGGCGGTGAAGGCGCGGAGCCAATGCTGCCGGTACCGCGCCTTCGCCATCGCGATGAGCCCCTGATCGAGAGGCTGGGTGAATGCGGTGGTGTTGGGTGGGAGATACACCAGGCGGACGTTCGAGAGAGAGCGCGTGCGGAACCCGAATAGGTCCTAAGAGGTGGCGCCGCGCGACGTGAGGACATGGCTGCTCGCGTTGTCGAGCAGAATCACAATATGCCGATCCTCGGCATACATGGCAGCGTTCAGCTGCTCGATGAAGAGAGTGAAAAGCTGCCATGAGGGACGGGTGTGACAGAGCGGGGGAATTTTAGTACATATTTACACGAACTGAAACATGAGCCTGAATGTGGATCGACAGTCATAAAAAGAAACTCACCGGTGAGGTCATCCAGCCTTTGGCGGTGTTGCGCCAGTAGCAAAACTCCTCCGGATCGAAGTCAGGGCGGAAGTCGTGGGGGCGCTTCGCCCTGGAGATCACCAAGGGGCGGAAGGAGTGAGAGCCGTCAGCGTTGACGAGAAAGCCGACGGTGAGGCGGTCTTTCACCTCCTTCCTTCCCGCCACTCGGCCGGCGCCATAAGTCTTGCGAGGAAGCACCGAAATGTAGAGGGCAGTTTCATCGAAGTTGTAGGTGTCGCGCGGCCTCACGGAGAGGTGCATGAGGAGCTGCGGGAGCTTCTCCTGAGTCGTACGGACGGCGGCGAGATCCTGGTCGGCCGCCTCGCCACACGCCGCGATGCACCTGACACCCTGGCGGCGCAAGGCACGGCGGACCCATCCGATGGAGCACCGGAAAGTCGGCGGCAGAGACATGCGGCGCGCCATGTTCGCAACATGCTCGCGAATTGTCGCAAGGGTCAGCGGCACACCGGCCGGGCCAGCATTGGCGATCCAGCGCGCCATCGCACGCTCGAGTTCAGGATGGGCTTCGCCGCGCATGCGCACGAGATTGTTGAGAGATGCCGCGGATGACCAACGCTCGGACGCCTTCAGCACTCGGCCAATGGTGCTGCGATAAGGCCTGATGCCGAAGCGGGTGAAACACCAGCGGCTGAGATCGACGTGGCGCAGCTGGGGGTTGGCGACATGGTGGGCGCATATCGCCCGTTTGATATGCACAGCTAACTGGCTGCGGTGGTAGAGACGAGGCATGTTGTGCTAGCGGGATTGAGTGATTGATTGTCGAGTGAAATAGCTACCCTTTATAACTTGTAAGTTGAGCTGCTGAATGGGGCTTGAATGTGCGTTTGCAAGGGCAGTTGGTCGACCCATTGTGGCGTGCGGGATCGGGGTTACCACAACCAGTAGGTGTGACATGTGAGTTTTGAACAACGCTTGGTTATCACTGTGTTTGTACCGAGCTTGTGCAAGGTACACGTCAGATTGTTGCACCTCTCCTAGAATGTGTTTGACGCACCCTGAACCTCCCTATGTGGCAGCTAGTCATCTGCGAAGTGACGCGCGACGTCAACGGAGTTTCCGCCTGTCATTTCGCGATGTTTGTCTCTGGCCAAGAAACACGGCAGACCCTGGTCGACTGGGTCTGTTTTATGCTGCAGTTTGGGTGTTTTGGAGTTTACCAACCTAGTAGCAAGTTGTGTGGGGGGCTTGTACCTGGGGTGCAACCTCTAGGGCACCTTGTCATCGCGGGCAGGGCATCTAAAATGTGCAAGGCAATTTCGCGTGCAGGAGGTGAGCATCACCTGTATATCACGGGCCATTTTCAGGTGCAATCCCATCAGTACGGGAAATGTGCTCAGGTGGGAGCCCAACAGCTTTTCGGCACTGTTACGGGCACTGTTCCGGGACTGTGCACAGGTGCCGCGACAGACTCTGGTACAAGCTCGCCACTCACTCATTGTTCAGCTGACGGAATTTATTTACAATCAAACAGACAACAGACCAAACTACCCGAAGCTGTAAAGGCCACCCAAAAAACAAAATAAAACTCCTAGAGAACCTGGAAGCCTTTTCGGGAGGCATCAACCCTAAACACGGGAACCCATCTGGTCTTCATGGTTTATGCTTCCCAATTCAATTCCGTTCCGATTGGGTTTTATTTATTTTTACGAAAACCTTGGGGAGGCATCAGCCCTAAACACCAGGAGGTTCCCGTGTTTAGGGTGATCTTCCAAAAATGCGTCCAGCGTCTCTGTAGCTTTTAGTTTGTTTTTTGGGGTATGTCTTAGCAGTTCCTAGTAGCGTGGGTAAACGAAGCGTGTGTGAGCACATTAATTTCACTCAGCGAGTACAGATTTGAGTGGCGCATCTTTTCAAGGCTCTGTTCCGGCACGTGTATACAATGTGCAACAGAAACTTTGAAAGATGCGCCGGGCTCCCACCTGAACATATTTTCTGTACTTTATTTATTGCACATGAAAATGGCCCAATATCTCACCGTTCGAGCGTGCTGTTGGGATGGGAATGGGAAGGTTGAGGGCGTATCTTTGGTTCCGGTCATGGGCACTGTTCCGGGCATCCGCATTTTGCGGATGACTCAAACAACACAAAACACCACTTTGGATCCAGTGCCTTCATGCGACCCCCAAACTGGCGCGTGGGTTTTCCCGCCTAAAATTCGGGCCCCACGACAGGCGCATCCAATTGAGACGCGCCATTCCATGACACACGATCTCCTTCATCTAGTTGAGCGACACTCACCCCACCCTCAACTCCGTCAAAATTCCCGGTGGGTAGAGTTACATGCAGATCTGTGCGGCTCCAGATCCCAACCCAACCAAACACCCCTCTTGCAACTTCCCCACGCAAGGGTTTCCAGCAGTTGGGCAATCAGCACAAGCATGAGCAAACAGATCTCCCTCACAAGTCTTCCCGAGCTTCCACACCAGCCCGCTATCTACGTTTTTATCAATGCCTCCACGTCGAAGCGCTCGTGGCAAGGGAAAGGAGAAACTTAGCGACGATGAACCGATGGAAGACCCCCCGTATGCCGCATGGATGAAGGAGCAGCAAAAGCAGGGGAAGCCGTCCCCTTCCATCAAGCATATTGCAAAGGCAAAGCGCGACTCTGCTGGCGCCAGCACTAGCAGCGGTCTTGGGCATGACGACGACGAAACTGGGGGCGACACGGACATCAGCGACGACGATCTCGAGGAGATCGTGTCGGAATCGGACAGTGATGCCGATTCTGACAACTACAAGGCCGGCAGTGACGACGAAGAGGAAGATTCGGACGGTGCCGAAGTAGGAAGCGGTGACGACCGCAGCACACGTCGATCGAAGAAGGAAAAACGCCCGCCGGCGAAGCGCAACAAGCGAGTGTGGTCGAACGCAGAGCTGACATCACTCGCGGCCGCTCGTTGGAACACAAAGGACGACCTGAAGGCGATGCAAGGGAAGCAAGGGAGCCAGTACTGGAAGAAACTGCGAGCTCATATGGTTGAGAGGGATGTCAGAATGTGTGGTTTGTCTAGCCTGCAGTGGGGTACTCTATAGTGAGTACGGCCCCTTAGGGTTTCCTATATGTATCCACCTGCTTGCTAGTGCAACCCCCTCCTTTGCCTATTTTCTCTTGCCTAGCTAGCTAAACCCTAGCTATGGCTCCTCGTTCTGCCTGCTATTGTGACAAGGGACGACACGTGGGACCGCGATGAGGGGCAGATGTCGAATGCGTGGAAACGTCTCGAGAAAAAAGTACCTGAAAACGAAACGGTCGGAGACGCAAAGCGGGGGGAAAGCTATTAGGAAGAAGCCGTGGTGGGATTACGTTTATCATCTCAAGAAACACTCGGCTAAAGCCAATGCCCACGCACTGGACGGAGGAGGTGCCGCAAACGTTGACGTCCCTGCGTACGCTACCGTGCCCGGCACTAACGTCGGGGAGACCTCGGCTCCTCCCTCGCAGGGACATCAACGCGGAAACCGACGTGGAGCGGCAACACAAGGTGAGTTGTGCCAATGCTTCAATGCCTGCCTCGTGACTCCCAGTAGCAACATTAAAGCCATGCTCTTTAATACTATATTTCACTGACAAGCATACAAACGAACATCAAAGCCGCCTTATTGCCATACGTCCCTACACCCACCCCTACAGATGCTGTAGTCACACCTCCACCCAAACGAAGGCGGATATACGAAACCGCCACAATGGCAGCAGCTAAGCTTGTGAGCGACGCCATTCATTCCTCCAACGCGATGGCGTTGCGCCAGCTTCAAGACTCGACGGTTCATGGCGGCGATGCAGGCTGGCTTACGACAGCAGATGGCCAGTCCGCCCGTACCACCTGCGGCGCCCGCGACTATGCCGCCACCAGCACCGCCTGCAGACGCAAGCGACGCCAACATGGCGGGGTCGGAGGATGTGGCGAAGCAGCACGAGCCTTAGCACGCGGTGGATGACACACGGTGACGCCGGAGGTAAGCACGATGGATGTGCTTGCCGAAGTGGTGCCGGCGAGCGCGCAGCTCGGCAAGCGTAGGGTTGTCTAGGCTCCGCCACTCGTACTTATCCATGCCACTCCTCGTCCACCAGCCATTCGGGAGTCCAGCCCATATATAGCGGCGGGGGTTGTTCGTTTTCATCCTGGGCGTACTAACGGTCTGCAGCATGTTGTGCAGGATGATGATGCAGGCCGTCCCTGCACAAACGCGCCAGAGTTTGCTCTCATGCCTGCGCGCGAAGAGCCTCCAGCGTCCCTTCAGTGCGCCAATCGTGCGCTCGACCACCATGCGCGTAGCAGACTGGACGTAGTTGTACGTCTGCTCCCACTTCTTCATGAGGCGTCGTCGTGGAGCGTGAATGGGGGTGAGCATGTAGGACTTCAGAGGGTAGGCCGCATCCCCCACAAGCTGATAGGGGGCGATTTCCCCACTCTCTAGCCTGCCATGAAGATCTGATGTAGAGAAAACACCTTGATCATGCATTGAGCCAGGATTGCCAACCATGTAATCCCATATGACACCCTTTGAGACACATCTAACTTGAAGTTGCACGCTATAGACCGACTTGCGGTTGAAATAGTCACCATGGTGGGCCTCCATGCCCTTTATCTGAATGTGTGTCCCGTCAATCGCACCGATGACGTTGGGCACTCCTTTGATTGCGCGGAAGTCGAGTGCCATCTTCTCTCTCACTTCCTCCGGTGGGAACTGAACCCAGTCGCGCTTGAACTTGCGGGGGAACCAAACCAAGAAGGCATCTACCACGCGGTGGATGAGTCCTGTGGATAGTCCAAACATGATACTCATGTCGTGATACGTCATAGCACTTGCAAAGTATTTAATCGGGATGAGACAGCAAAGACACAATGGAACTTCGGCCACCTCGACAAAATGAGACATTGGAAATTTCATTTTGTCAGCAATGATGTCGAGAACTTCGCGCGTAATGCGGAAGGTATCTTTGAACTCCTCGTCAAACATCGCACGGATCTCCTCGGCCCATTCTGCGACCCGTGCCTGCCGAGTCCGTTTCCGACTCTCGCGGCGCTCGGTTTCACGGAGCACGCGCTCCTGATCCACGGTCTGTGCCATAGGGAGGAGTGTGGATATACACTCTACAGCGGCTAGAGAAACTACACGTTGCCACGAGTTGAGAAGGTACTCATGCCACACGTGTAAGGCAACACAAAGTATGAGCACCTGTGCTGTGAGCATGTTTTATGGCAACACGATTAGCGACGATGAAAGATGCATGCGGCCATCTTGAGCTGAAAAGTGCTCTCAAGTCGCCCGCTACGTTGGCACCGCGGTGGGAGGAAGGAGCCTTGCTGTGGAGCCGCCTTGTGCTTGTAAACATGGCGTCCGGAGCGTGGGAGAGCAAGAGGTGGTGTGGTGTCGGGGCTTGTTTTGGTGAGCGTGATCACGTCAGTTGTAGTTGGAAGTGTTGGACGTTATTGGTGTAGATGGGACATTGACGAGCGTGAGATGAAAGTAAACGTCAGTCTAAAGAGGGCGACCCAACCTGGGGTCGCAGCTCAATCTGATTGGTAGGGACACATTGAACACCCCAGTCGCATGCAGTTTCCTGGATGACCCGAAGTTCGAACCGCGAGTGCTTCAAGAGTCCACTTTGGGTCATGCGCTAAATGCGGATGCCCCAAACAGTTGAACAGTGCTCATGATTGGAACCAAAGATACGCCCTGAGTGGATTTGGGACCTCCAGCTGGCTGTGTTTTTGAAAGGTTGGAATGCGTGCCTTGGAAATTTCAAGGGGCACGCGAGTCTTCGCCACGGGCGCTCGCTCTGTGCTCTGGTGTAGTCGAATCCTGTTGTACGGGTACGGGTTTAAACGGGGCTATACTTGCAGCAATCGGGTGGAAGGGGGAGGATTAAACAAAACAGTCCAGGAGATACACATGTCAGATATATATACCTTAGCCTATGTAGGCTGTAGTGGGGTAGACACTAATGTTATGGGTTACAGCGTGTGCTTGGAACATGGTCTGCGACTCTCACCTGATTTTGATTGGCTAACGAAGCGGACATATTTCGAAACATGTAAACAAGGTGAGCGAAACCTCACCAAACCTGCAAGGCGAGAAGCCTGGCCGAACCCAGGCGAATTCTCTCACGTTGCACGGCAGTCGTCAAAATGGGTTCCTTCCGACTGCTCAAGATTTGCGAACGTCGCATTCAAGCACAGCGACACTCGCCGTTGATCCAAACCCAATCCCCAGCTTTCTGACCAATAAAACGTGGTAACATTTTGTGAGATCTACATGTGAATTGGGCCTGACATTCACAAGCTTGTTGCCGCAGCTCATCACAAGCAGTACATGGTTTGTCATGCGCAAGCATTACATCGAGAGGAAGCTTTGCAGGCACACCGACAGGCAGCGATAGCCATGCGAGTTAACAAGTGAAACTAGATCGTACGGCAGCGATAGCCATGCGACACAAGTGAATCTAGATTGTAAACGCATTTTTTGAATGAAAGGAAGAGTGATTGGAGCCACGGAGAAGCCGTTGATGCACGATCTATACCAAGGAGTCGTTTTGTGTGGCCCTGCTCTTGTTACTGAGTATGCTGGGTATGCAGCACAAATTTCCCCCACATGTTGCCGCAAAGAAAGGCTGCGGGAGACACCAAATCCCGCTCAAACAGAGGGCGGTACTAGCACGGAGTCGGTGCCATGAATGTACATGTCTTCGCCCTCATACATGTCTGGTAGTACGACTCTCACGGGTATGGCGCCCTTCCCCTTGAACGCGAGCTTGGACGAATTAACTTTGGACACTTTGGTGACGAACGAGCCTTCCATGGTGGCCAGGCGCGTGTTAATAGGTAAAGCCTTCAGCTGCCACGCCTTGTATGCGCCCCTGATCGCGTGGTACGTGAACATCCGCGCCACCTGCGCATGAGCGATGAATTGGAAATGGAGAACGACTAAATTGGTGTTCTTCCAGAAGCTTCTCCGTCACACGAGCTGCTCAGATTCAGCGCGCACGCGGTACTCCTTCGCTAGCTAGGTCGGAAAGCTGGTTACGCTAGAAATTTCTCAGCCCGAAATCAAGTAATCAACTTCAGCATGCTTTGCGGAGTCCTCCATTTGTTGTGTGTAAGGCATGCCCCATCCGCCAAAAGGTTCCAGTTGGTGGAACAAGAGCCAAGCAGTGCCGCTACAACGTAATCGACGGATCCAGCTGCTGTCAGCCCCGTTTCGCTGTTTATTGGTTCTGTTCCCGTTGTGAGCTGTAATTTATGTTGAGGAGTGTTCAGAGGGTGCACTCATGAAAGTATGGCCATGCGGAAGGGATGCGCACGGCTGTGAATCTCCCGACATTCCACGACTTAGTCTCACAACTGTCCTATGGCTGCCAGAAGTCTGTTTGCGACTAGTTTTCAGGTATGCTGACGAACCCCACAAGCATGGTATGGAACGTGGCGAGAGCGTGGCGAGCATGGCGACATACCTGTTCGCTGCTGAACGTGGCGATGGACATGGCGAAGGCCGCGGCGTTGACGGGGAAGAGCAGCGTCGCGTTCTTGAACACGGCGACCCTGCCAGTGTCTGCAGCCACAGCACAGAGGAGGACCATAGTCGCGAGGTGGAGAATATGAAGCAGGTGGATGGGATGGATAAATCAGAATGCTGACATTGGACGTGGAGTGTGGCACGCGGCGGCAGCAAATTGAATATAATACAGTGTTGGGTTCGCGCAGTCGCTAGAGTCTACCGTACCACTATTCGAACCATCGTCTGGCGGCCCGTCTGGGGGCGTATCGTCGCTGTTCGTCTTCGGCTTGGCCCCGCCGGTCGAGTTGCTCTTTTTTCCTCCAGGAGGCCGCACATCCCCGCCGCTTCCTCCTCCTGCACCTCGAGTTTTCGACCCTCCGCTGCCTCCATTCCCTCCCGCTCCTCCCTTTCCCGTCCCTGGCGCCGAAACCGGCGGTGGGCCTTTTCGCGCCCCTGTGCCGCCCCCGGAGCCCACACCACCCCCTGGTTTCTGCGGAGAGCCTGCGACGCTGGTGGGTTTTTGCGGTGATTTTGCTACAGATTTGGGCTTTGGCGGAGACGTAACGTTTGTCGATCTTCCGGAGCGGGTGGACGCTTTCGGTGGACTGCCCACTAAATCTTCTCGCGGTTTCATCGCAGCAGAGGCACAAATGATGAGCAGAGATAGAGCTAACAGAAGGAAAGGTTGCCGATACATGACTTCTATGAGAGCGTAATACACGTGATGCCTAAGTTTCTCTAGGTGCAGTCTAATTCCAGGGATGAAGGCTCTGGACTGGAAACCTTATGTCAGATAAACATCATGCTTTGGCACGGGATGATCACATTTGGTGCTCAAGGAAATGGGCATGTCGATTTGTTGGAGGGGAGGCATTGAGTTGGCTGCACCGACCGACCGAGCAATCGTTGTGGTGCAAGCATCCACCAACATTTGAGACAGCGAGTGTGCGACCGTATGCGACATTCGTCGGACAGAGATTACTTCGGTCGTCGGCCACTCATAACGTTCGTACTCGTCAACGGGACTTCGCATATTGTGTGACGACAACAAATTCCAACGATGTACTTTCGCGTGCGGTCCGTATATTTGTAAAGGCGCCCTGGCAAAGAGCGACATGAACGTTGAGATGCAGAGTGGGGACCATCAAACTGAGCGTTCCGAGAAAGGTCACAAAAGGATGCCCACGGTGTGACTCATCTTTAAAACAAACATTTGCTTCCTTTACATTACATTCTAACCATTCATTCTAGACTACTCAAAAAACAATTAGTGTTGAAACTAATGTAAGACGAACAGGTCTACGTGCTAAATAGACAAAACAAACATTTTAGGGTAACAGCACGCACATGCTTTTCATGAGCCTTCTGGTAGTAGGGTAACTGCAATTACAGAGGGGAACATGTCAGCAGTAGGGATAAACCACCTTCACAGTATAATGCAGCAGCTGAGAAGTGCTTGGCATGCTTGCTAACTACACATCTATGAATATTTGCATCCACAGCCAGATACCTGTATCATACCCGGCTTCATTGATCAGGCTCTGATAGCGATGACCTCCGTGCTGGGAATGGTTGATGTGGGGTGGGCTGAATCAACAAAGGAGTGAGAGAGGAGTGAGAGAGGCAGTGGCAGGGGAAGGGCGGGTGACGATCCAGAGAAGTAGCTGATGGACATATTGAACATGCTGGTTTGCAGGCATGTCTAAAGGAGGGGGAATAGCAGCTGGGCAGACAAAAGAATATGAAGGGGGAGACAATGCTTTAGGAGACGTTGGTCAGGTCAAGACTCAAGAGCCATTTTAGTGCTTCATAGCTTTTTAAGTGGCAACTCACCTCTAGCTTTGGCTGTAGACCCCCCTCATTGGCTGCTGGAGGCTTAACTTCGCCACCCTTTTGCTGCAATAAGACAATTGGCCACATGTGGAACAATTCTTCATCAGTGCAAGAGCCGAGGAGATGCACAACAACACAGAATTCGTGGAGACAATGAGCCAAACCAAAGAATCAAGTATTTCTGGGAGGTGAAGCAGTCTTTAAGACGTCTTTGCTGCTCCAGAGGGGTTCATGTAAAAAGGGATAAGGTATCTGACCTTTTGAATTGCCCACTCGGCTGAGTCAAAGAAAGCTCTCTCATGACCCTGCAGGGAACGAACACCCATCATCGTATATCACAGGATAACCAGCGTAAGAAAGAGGAAATACTGCGTGAGACCAAAGGACAGCGAGCACTGGAGATAAGGCAAAGAGTTAACACATGTGATTGCATTACCTTCGAAAGAAGCCCCTTTTTCTTCGGAAGCGCTCCGCCATATTTCTTCTTCAAACGCGCCTCCTATACACGTGAGGGAGTGTGAAAGGAGGATTAATGTGAAGAAAGCACGCGCGGGAAATTGGGTGGTGGACCGAAGAAACGTGGGAAAGGGGAAGAACCATCGCCCAAGCAAACATTTGAAGATAACATAATACATTGTAAGAGTCGTTTGAAACACAATTAGTGGGATTACAACAGCAGTCGACCAAATTGGTAACGACTTATGTACCTGCTCTGCCATAGACAATTCTTGGTCCGCCATGGACTCCGAAATCGAAAGGCTCCAAGAGTCAGTGAAAATTCAAGATTGTAGGGCGTAGATATGTTCAGCGCATAAATGAAACAATAACAGAAGTGCAAACCGTCGAACAATGCAAGATAGCCGTCGGCCTAATTTCCGAACAGAATGTGACACCGGGCGACGTGACGTCCTTTGCGCAGGCTCCTAAATTTCTTCAGCTCCGAATAACACGCTAGTCTAGGTTTTTCGAGAATCGTCAGCCACAACTAAAGATGTTGGAACACAGCTGGTGCTGTTGTGGGGCGACAGCTGGGAACAAAGTTATGATGGTGGGAGTTGGTGGGGGTGCAAAGGGAAGGGGAAAAGCGAAGGGCTGCTGACGGTGCTTTTATCGCTTCTGTCGGTGAAGACGGTTGCTGATTGGTCAACTTCGGCAGCCTGCCCGTTGTCAAATTGGTAAGGGAATGATTCGCGACTCAAGGTAGGCTATGAGTTCGTCAGCTTGTGAGGGCCTGACTGTTCTGCTGTGAGGAACCCTTGGGTTATGTTTGCGCTAGATACTGGGCTCTTCACTGGTGATGCGCCATAATGCGGTTTGACCCGCTGTGTATGTTCTGTATGTACGGTACTAGTGGTACATAAACTATACCATTGTCAGCAGGAATCGCCAGCTGTACGGTATTTCATATCTTACTAAGTGCAAAATCTAGGTTCAGCGGTCACCAAGCACGTGACCATCGGCCACATGTATGTACACAAGAAGCAGCAATTATCTAAACCAAAATTTATCGAATCAATCATCGAAGTGTACCGCAAAAGTGCGAATCTCCATTGGTCCAAGCTCCACAATGAATGGCCCGTCCATGGAGTCGAATGCATCCCTCTGTCCAACTCCATGTACCCCATCCGTTGACTTCACCTCCTCCTCGGTCCTCCATTTCATTGGTGGTCGCATCTTCGAGAGCTTCTGATTTGCCATCAGGCTGAGCTCGGTCACCTTCTCAATCTGTCAAGACGTGGCAGCAATGGATTTAAAATAAAGATCGCAAGAACAAATCATAAGCACACACCTCAGTTAAAAATGGGAGTAAACCGTTCCTCACCTCTTGGTGTGCAAAGAGCCTGTCAAGATCCACACGAGCTGGCTGCGAGAGAATAGGGTCCTCCTCAGCCTGTGAAGGCCACAACAGGGCCAAGAAATTCCAAGGCAGGTAAGATAGTGAGCATGGACGGTGGCGGACACGAGGAGTGCAAAAAGAGAGAGAGAAGGGACAACAGTAAGAATCTAGCAGGAATGGGAAGGGACAGCTGGTGATGCAGTGGGAGGTTGAGAGAAGTGTGGTTTGGCATTGCGAGGGCAGTGGAGGGGCGGATGGAGCTTACTTGATAGAGATGGGCAAGTCGCAGCAGAACCTTGTACTCATGCACCTCCTGCAGCAGCGGTACGGAGGGTGGGGAAGAGAGAGAAACAAGGGTGGGGGAGAGAGAGAAACAAGGGTGGGGGAGAGAGAGAAACAAGGGTGGGGGAGAGAGAGAAACAAGGTGGGGGAGAGAGAGAGACAAGGGGGGGGAGAGAGAGAAACAAGGGTGGGGGAGAGAGAGAAACAAGGGTGGGGGAGAGAGAGAAACAAGGGTGGGGGAGAGAGAGAAACAAGGGTGGGGGAGAGAGAGAAACAAGGGTGGGGGAGAGAGAGAAACAAGGGTGGGGGAGAGAGAGAAACAAGGGTGGGAGAGAGAGAGAAACAAGGGTGGGGGAGAGAGAGAAACAAGGGTGGGGGAGAGAGAGAAACAAGGGTGGGGGAGAGAGAGAAACAAGGGTGGGAGAGGGAAGGCACATGTGTGCGTGGTGCGCAGGAAGGAGTTGGGCGTTGTAAGAAGCATAGCGTACCATGTACTGTAGTGCACCCAGAAGACAGTGCCAGCTTGACAAAGGCAACTGAGAGAGCATGACAACACCATGGGGCTGAATGAGCTCGGTGGTACCTCCAGTGTGATTATGGCAATGTTCTTCGGAAGCTCATACGCACTCCCCTTGCTCGCCCTCTCCCCACTCTCCTGATTCCTATCCACCTCCTCTGCATCCTCCTCATCGTCATCCTCCTCCTCCTCTCCCTCTTTCCTCTCTTCTTCCTCCTCATAACCTTCCTCCACCTCCACCTCCTCTTCCCCTCGCCTATCCCCAACAATGCTGCTAGATACTTTCATCGCCCGTCTCCCTCCTCTTCCAAGCGGCATTGACAGCATTGACTCTGTTGACTCCTCAGACTTGCTCTTCTGGGTGCCAGAGAACTGCCACGTGTACCGTCCACCCTCGGCTGCCAGGTCACCCTCATTCTGCACCAGTCAACCACAATCAACCGCATTGACACCATGCAAGCCCAGTCAACCGCGGTCAACCCCATTCAAGCCCCCATCATGCCCCATCCAGGCAGTCAACGCCAGTCAACCCCACCCACGAGCGGCAAGCCACACACACACACACCAGTCGGCAACAAAAGAGAGCATCGTCAAGCGGGTGCCAGACAACTCAAAGCACAAATGTTGTTTTTAAGACAAGCAGGGGAGAGTTACAGGGAGGAGAGGAGGGGGGTGGGGGGGTTGGTGTGGATGCAGAGAGCATGGAAAAGGGCAGATGTTTTCTCCCCCTAAGAGATGTGCCCCGCATCCCTCATGCAGCACACCACATGACCCATGACCCATGGCTCCCATGTCACAACACCCATGGGCCACGCCACAAGCCCCCATGCACCCACCCTCCAGTACCTCTGCACCATGCATATCCCCCCAAATGCACGCACCTCAACAGCGAACGCCACTTGCAGCGGAGAGAATATTCGCTGAATATTCCCGCGCCGCCACTCCGCAGCCGCCTCAACCCCCTCCTCCGCCCGCTTCCCTGCCGCCAACCCCTCTCCACTCCCTTCCACCCCTCCCACTCCCGCCACACCCCCCTTGCTCCGCCCATGCGGGTGCAACCCAAAGCGCAAAGTCCCAGCGACCACCAGGCCCATGCAGGTTGGCGGTTGTGGTTGCGCCCCCTCTGCCCCCTCCTGCGCGCCCACGCACACGTGCTCGTTGAGGGCCTCTGCCACCCCGCGGTGGTCGTCGTGCAGCAGGCGGCGGTGCAGCATCACCTCCACCTGCCCGTCCGCCAGGCTGGACGCGCCGCTGGGTCGGTCCACCAGCACAGAGAAGTCCGTGGCGTTGTCATGCAGATAGACTCCCGCGTTCAGCTGGTGGGGGGAAGTGGGGGGGAGGAGGGTGGTGGCACGCGGGGGTGGGAGAGGGGAGAGGGAGGAAGGGAACAGGGGTGGGAGGGATCAGGTAGTTGAAGCACTGTGGGTCAATTGGTCCACCAGTACTGAGAGGTCTGTGGCGTTGTCGCGTAGGTAGATGCCCGCGTTCAGCTGGTGAGAAGAAAGGTTGAGGAAGGGGAGGTGGTGAGAGATGGGAAAAGGAAGGGGCCAGAGAAGGAAGGAGGGGAATGATGGGGATAAGTGCCTGAGGTACAGAGCATTCTTTCCCCCCTTCAATGGAACTCACCCACGAAATGCAACCAGCACATTGCAATGCACTCACGGGGTAGTAGTTCCCAGCAGCAGGCTCGGTGACAGTGAGGTTCCAGTCGGGGCGGAAGTTGCTCGTGCGCTGGATGAAACTCACTCACAGCATGCAACCAGCAAAACGCACTCCACTCACGGGGTAGTAATTGCCAGCAGCAGGCTCAGTGACAGTGAGGTTCCAGTCGGGGCGGAAGTTGCGCGTCCTCTTGATGAAATCTCGGCCGTTGGAGTCGGTGAAAAAGGTGGCAGCGCTGGCGATGGAGTAGGAGAGGCGCAGCACCACCTCCTTGCCAAAGCCATCGTCTATGGGCACTGGGCCCACCTGTGATGGGGGGAAGGTACAAGCAGGCGACGAGAGGGTGTGAAGGGGAGAAATCACTTCTGCTGCTTGGAAGCGAGGAGGAGAGGCGCAGCACCACCTCCTTGCCAAACCCATCGTCTATGGGCACTGGTCCCACCTGTGATGAGAACAACAGGGGAAAGGCAAGCAGACAGGGAATGAGAGGGTGTGAAGAAGGCTTTGGCTTTGCTGCTGAGATAGGAAGCGAGGCGCACCAGCAGCTCCTTGCTGAAACAGCACCGAATTTGCCCTATGTGCCATGGCTTATCACAGCTCGCTATGGCTTATCACAGCTCGCTATGGCTTATCACAGCTCGCTATGGCTTATCACAGCTTGCTATGGCTTATCACAGCTCGCTATGGCTTATCACAGCTCGCTATGGCTTATCACAGCTCGCTATGGCTTATCACAGCTCGCTCAGCACCCACATCACTCACTGTAATCACAGCACTCACCGCATACTCCAGCTCGGCATAGTTGGTGCCCTTGTACACTCTCACGATCTGGCTCGCACAGACGGCATGCAGAGGGGAGGGGAGGGGGCAGCGCAAACAGCAAGAGGAGCGGATTGAGAAAGCGGAATAGCCAGAAATGGAAGGAAGTGGAAGGACACAGAGAGGAATGGAGACGGACGAGAAGGGATGGAGATTCTAGATAGAACAGTCGATTTAGACAGTGGAAGGTGCTTGTGGGGCGCCTCAGAACACAAAGTTCCCCCCTTCGCCTCACCTCATGAATCCAGGGCGCCACCTGGCGATGCACCTCGTCCACCAGCGCCCCTCGCACCACCCGCACTGATGCCTGGGGAGGGGGAGAGGGATAACGCAGGGGGAAGAGATGAGAGAGAGAAAAAATGTGATGCCCGGGGAAGAGAGCGAGGGGAAAGGGATGATGCACAGGGAAGGGGGGAGTGGTGAAGAGACACAGGGATGTGGGATTTGGGTTGCAACGAATTCAGGAGCCGAGAGAGAGGTCGGGGGAGAGGGGTTGGGGAGAGAAAATGGGTGTGGTGGAGGGAGCAGGGGGGACGAGAGCAGGTGTGCAAGGCCACACCGCAGTGGCGTTGGTGGGGGTGATGGGCACGGGGTCGGAGGAGACAGGGCGGAAGATGTACGCCCCTGATGCCTCCCTGCTCGCTTTGCCGTCACTCGCATTGTACCACGCCCACTCCACCCCCACATCCGCTGCCGCTGCTGCCACTGATGCTCCTGCCGCTTGCCCCTCGCCCCTCTTCAGCAGCACAGCACGAGTCATCCTGCCTCCCTGCGACCTGGAGAAAGTGAGAGTCAACGCACTGCTGCCGCTGCTGCCAGTGCAGCCGCTGCTGCCAGTCCCGCCACTGCTGGTGCTACCCTCCTCCCCCTCTACCCACCCCCCAATCACTATCTCGTCGTCGTCCTCCTCACCACCCTCATGCATCACTTTCCGCTCATCACTTTCCTTTCGGCCCTCCACCAATCTCTCCTCCAGGTCCAGGCTATCCTCCTGCAACACCCCCTCCTCTTCTACGTTCTCCTGCCCCACTCCTTCCTCTGTCCTCCCGAGCCCCATGCGCTCTGGATACTTGTACAGCACGAAGTACGAGGCAACGCCTAAGGGAGGTGCGTCCGCCCAGAACACTAGTGACAGCGCCTCCGACTCTGCACTACCAGGCTCGGCACCAGCTGTAGCTTCGGGTCCGGCAGCAGATCTGGCGTTTGGTTCGGCATCAGGTCCGGCATAGACTTGGATAAGGAAGGAACGGGTGGAGGGGAGAAGGAGGGTGTCTGGAAGGACTTGGGAGGGGATGATTGCCCCGCTGGCATTCATAACTTCCACATCAGCAGTTGACACCTGGACAAGAGCAGGCGTGCAGTAAGAGGAGGTGAGGGCGAAGGGAGAAAGCAAGAGGGGAGGAGAAAGAGAAGAGACTACAAATGGAGATGGTGAAAGCATCTGATCGTGAAGATGTAAGAAGAGTGGAAGCAGAGGGCAAAGAGAGCCCAGAGAGGGTGAAAGTGGCTCACTGGGAATCGAACAATCTCTTTGCGAGCCCATGCCAGTGGGTTGTACACTGCCACCACCTGACACATGCATGCAGCATAGCACAGGGGGGCAGAATGCATCACATCACATCACAGGGCAGCAACAGGCATCACACGCGGCATTAGAATGCGTCATGATTGCAAGGCTATGAGCCAAGGCATTGCAATGAGAAGCAGCATCCATGCGATCCACAGATATGACAGAACTGAACCAAGGAAGCCGAAACTCACCAGGACTTTCCCATCCTGAAGATCCGTTTGTGAAGGCGGGCAGAATGAGATGTTGGCCAGTGGGCACTGCGGCAAGAAAGAGAGTGAAAGACCAGCACAAGGGAGCAAAGGGGAAAGCCAGCCTGGCCATGTTAAGACAATGTTGCAAGTCAGCGAGCGAGGTAGAAACGAACAGAAAGACAGATGAAACGTTGTACACGAGTCTGCGAGGCAACGCTGCACTGACCAGCTCAAAGCTGAGCCTCAAATTGGCACTGCTCCTGCCCGCTTGACCCCCTGATGCTGCTGCTGCTGTTGCTGCTGTTGCTGCTGCTGCACCCCGTTTTGTAAGAGCCCGCATGAGTGGCGAGGTGGGAGTCGGGATGGGTTGGGAGCTTGGCATCTGCTGCAGGAGAGACTGGGCTTGCCACGTGTCAGCATCTGACTGGTGGGAGATCATGTAACGAATCGCCCGTGTGAGCAGAGAGGAGGCCTGGGAAGCCACAAACAGGTGGGGATTGGGGAAACGTAACGGGTGGGGGGGGGGTGGGGGTCCATTGGTGAGCAAGGGTGCAACTGGACATGCTCTCTACAACCCCAAACCGAGCTGATGCTTGTGAGGGATTCAATTCTGATTCCGGCTCAGTTTTTGAAGTGAGACATTGCAGGGAAGGGATGACACGATTGAAGCGGCACCAAGCGGATTCAAGACGTAAAGGCATCGCAATGAGACAATGTGTGCCTCAGAGAGAAGATTAGATGCTCTGTCACGGCCCGCTGTGATCATCACAGGGGGCTCCGATGACAAGAAATTCACTCATCCCTGGCAGCATCCAATAGCAATGCTATGACTCATCCGACATACACAAACACCAGAACCTACACGAAGACCAGAAGACCTATGGTGGCATGAAAAGCCGAGCTGATATGTGGTATGCGCTGAGCACATAGATGCATTTGATGAGTTCTATTATGCCCAACACATGCATGTGCCATGTGGCATGCCTCAGAGAGAAGATTAGATGCTCTGTCACGGCCCGCTGTGATCATCACAAGGGGCTCCGATGACAAGAAATTCGCTCATCCGTGGCAGCGGCACCGGCCTTTCTTGCGTGCATCATTTGATCCGCCCCATCCATCCACAGTGCAGCTATGGCATGCGCAACACGCTACGCGGTTGGGTGGTGAGTGGAGCGGACATATGCCACTGGGGAGATGATGTGACATGAATGTGGAGTGGCAGGTGTACAATGCGCCTCAGAGAGAAGATTAGATGCTCTGTCACGCCCCCCTGAGAGCATGAGCGCACAGGGGGCTCCGATGACAAGAAATTCGCTCATCCCCGGCAGCAGTGCAAGCAGCTAACACCCCACTGACGCAACACAGCCCTTCCGGCAGAACCATGCAGACCCACACGAGGTCTGGCTGCAGTGTGCCTACAGCTATCACGAGCAAGCAAGCCAGACCACGCGCGGAGATTGAGGCGCCTCACATGAACAGAAGCAGAAAAAAAATGACCGTGGATATTTGGAGTGGCGAGTGGGCAGCACAGATGCCTCAGAGGGGATATAAGGGTCTGTCATTGGCCCTCATGGGGGCTCCGATGACAAGAAATTCGCTCATCAATGGCAGTGCAGCACAACCCTTGCTACCGAGACAGAAATGCACATCACACTGACGCTTGAATACCACTCCAGAGAAATGCATAAGCATATCACAGCAGATTAAGAGACCTAGTTAAAGCACCGGGCCGGGCGAGGCTATATGACACCAAGAAGTGACTGACAAACACACCCCTTTCACCAAAGCCCAGCAAAAGCACACGAGGCCCGGATGATGCGCATAGGCAATACCACCGAACAAGAGAAACAGGAACACGTTTTGACGGGCAGCCCGGTGGCAACGATGCCTCAGAGAGAAGATCAGATGCTCTGTCATGCCCCCCTGTGATCGCCACAGGGGGCTCCGATGACAAGAAATTCACTCATCCCTGGCAGCGGTACTGGCCTTTTCACTGGCAGCGGTACTGGCCTTTTCACTGGCAGCGGTACTGGCCTTTTCACTGGCAGCGGTACTGGCCTTTTCACTGGCAGCGGTACTGGCCTTTTCACTGGCAGAAACCAGTTGACTTCACACGTTTTGACAGGCAGCCCGGTGGCAACGATGCCTCAGAGAGAATATCAGATGCTCTGTCATGCCCCCCTGTGATCGCCACAGGGGGCTCCAATGACAAGAAATTCAATTCACTCATCCCTGGCAGCGGTACTGGCCTTTTCACTGGCAGAAACCAGTTGACTTCACACTGCCTTGCTTCAGCTCAATAGCTCGACAGAGCCACACAAGAGGGCAGGAAGCACAGACAGGATTCAAGACAGGCGTGCGCGATTAGTTCTCCCCACGATCACCTTGACGGCCCCGCGATAGAGGCGCAGAGTGTAGTCGTCGTTGACATGCTGCTTGGCCGTGCCGCTCACCGAGTCGTGGTGCTGCACCACCGCCATCGCCTCCTCCAACTCCTCCACTCCCCCTGCCCCCCCCTCCTGTCCTCTCCCCAGCCTGCTGCCCCCCACCAGAGCCTCCACTTGCCGGGCAGCCTGCCACGCAGGAAGGGTGAAGTAATGTGACACATGGGTGGGGGAGGAGGTGCACAAGGGCCGTGGGAGGCGAGAACAAAGAGGAGAGGAAGAGGAGTGGGAGCAAGGTGAGAAGGCTTCGAGTTGCAAGAATCAACCTCGAAGCGACTGCATGCCTTACCAAGCACAAGAACAGAAGAGCCAGTGTAAGGGAAGGAAGAAACAGGCACGGGGATGACAGACGGGGGGCACGAATGCGTGGGAAGGGGGGCAGGGGCGGGGCATCGGAGGAGGAGCTGCGGGCTGCACTGGCGAGGGTGGGAGGGGGCAGGGGCGGGTAAGGGCGGGCAGGGGGTACGGGCGGGGCATACAAGGAGGAGCGCGCTGCACTGTCGCACGTAGCGCTTGAAGGCGGGGCGGCTGGAGAAGTACCCCGTCCAGTAGCAGTGCGGACAGTCCGCATAGCTGCATGCAGGGCGGGGGGGGATGGAGGGGACATGGGGAGAGAAGCATTTGAAGGCGGGGCGGGAGGAGAAGTACCCCTGTCCAGTAGCAGTGCGGACAGTCCGCATAGCTGCACGCAGGGTAGGGGGGGAAGCAAGGGTGGCGCAGGGAATGGGGGGGAAACTAGTTGAAGAAACGGTGGAATCATTGGATAGAGGAATTAGTAAACAACGTGGCATGCAAAGCAGGCAAAGTGAGGTACGACAAGAGGAGAAGGGGAGGGGGGGGGGGGGGGGGGGGAGGGGGCTGAAAGCTTCAAGAAATTAAGAGTTCCTGGGGTGGGGGGATAGGTTGAGGAGGGGGGAAGGAGTGGGGGGGGAGTGGCTCACGGGAAGAAGTCTCCAGTCTTGACGGGCCAGGACTCGTTGGCCCGGTGCTTAGCATCCACATAAATGGAGGGCGTGGAGTAGAATGCGTTCACACGCCCATCCCGATTGACGTAGTGGATGAGCTTGTCCATGTTGCGGAACCACGTCACCGCGTTGCTGTACGCGAAGTCGTCCCCCATCGTCCACATGATGTGGCTCGTGCGGTAGCTCTCCGCCTGGTGGGGTGGTGGTGGTGCATGGAGGGAGGTGTGGTGTGGTGCATGGGTATGGTGCAGAGGGTGTGGTGCATGGGTATGGTGCATAGGGTGTGGTGCATCGGATGTGTTACATGAGACGCCTTACACAGGATGTGTCAGAGCAGCACAGGTTTGACGCATCAAGCATGCACAAAGCAGAAAGGGCAACGCATGCACCATGCAGTCCTTCATCCGTCTCCTTTCTTCCTATCCCCCCCCCCACCAGTTCCCCATCTCACGGCCATCCCTCCCCGCCCCCAACCCCGCTCCCAACCCTGTCCCCAACCCCACCGTTAACGTTACCCCCAAACCCCCCCCCTCGACCCACCCTCCCCTCTTTTCTGCGTTGCCCCTCCCCTCCCACCTGTTTGAGTGCAGTTTCCACGAACTTGTCTACCCTCTCCTGCACGTTGAAGTCATATAGCTCCGGGTCGTCCTGCCCGGGGGAGGTGGGTGGGGGGGATGAACACAACACAATCAGCGTCCCACGGACCACATCAGAACGAGACGTCCAGTCCACCCACGGGAGACACAACCACCATCACACTCCCGGGCTACCACAGCCAACAGCCAGCACAGCGCATGCCCTCTCACTCTCATCTCACCTGCACGGGCGGGTCCCAGTTGTTGGTATCGTAGCAGAACGAAGCAAGGCAGGGATGGGATGAGCACGAGACGAGTGGTACACCCACTTACAACCACCATCACACTCCCAGAGTCCAGACTGCCACAGCCAACAGCCAGCACGGCCCTCCGCCTCTCTGCCTCTCACCTGCACGGGCGGGTCCCAGTTGTTGGTGTCGTAGCGGAACGAGTCGGGCGGCAGGTAGTGCACGTACAGCCGCCCGCCGAACACCTCCGCGCGCTGCTGCAGCGTGTCGGACGCGCGCCACACGAACTCCGCCGTGCGCGCGCGGTACCGCGCCTCGCTGTCCTCGTAGTCCGCGCGCGCGAAGAACACCGCGTCGAACCCGCCCTGTTGGGGAAGGTGATGGCGACGGGGAAAAGGAGGGCGATGTAATTCCCTGTGGAGTCATCATGCTGCATCAAGCAACAACCGGGAAAATCTAAAAGCACACAGAAGCACCCAGCAGCACCGAGCAGCACCCACCAGCACCGAGCAGCACCCACCATGGCGGAGATGAGGTAGCCCTGCACGGCGGAGTGGCCGAAGGGGTCGATCTGCCAGGCGACGCGCGGCACCTGGCCGAACTGGCGGCGGATGAGGCGCAGCCCCAGCGACATCTGATGCACCATGTCCGTGTAATGCGTCGCCGCCTCGTCGTGCGTGCACCACCCGCCGTTGCTGCGGGCACGCAGGGCGGGACATGCGAGGGAAGCATGGGAGGGAGGCGACATAGGATCTACTTTACAATCGGACGTGGACGTGAGGCAGGATCCACAGATTCGTCATGCACAAATTTCGCCCATGAAAATTGAAAGGGAGAAATCCCTGAAAATGGAATCATTCAGCAAAGCATTCCGGATGTTATAAGCTCGAATGTCTGGTGTCAAATCTAGGAAGCACCACCTCAAATCCCAAACGTTGCAGACTGAAGCGCTTTCCTAACCACAGACATACGCCATTGTTGACCTCGCCGCCACCATTCCACACCTACATCCCTTCACGGCCTATCCTCTGCCCCCCTACTAAAGTTCCGAAATTCCCTTACGGACTCACGTGAATTCGAGTTGGCCGTTCTTGACCAATCGCCTGACGACACGTTGCACGTCCTTGGATTGGCGGCGCCACCAGCGCTGGAAGAATGCCTGCTCCACCTGAATGAACTTCCTGTTGGGATCCTCGCTCAGCTGCTCCACCACTGTATCGAGTATGTACTGTACTGCAGCAACCTGAAACAGATTAGCGGATCGTTTTCATAGATGAGCGTTAGCATCTGGTTATTGATCCAATTGCTCGTGAATTCGCCTGAAAGCCCAGAAAAAACAATCATAAAGTAAGAAAACAATAAGATCTACAGCGATTCGAGTGCACGGATGTCCACGTCAACTCACCTGAATGGAGTTATTCGACCCGATATAGTACTGATCGACGGTTTTAAGCCACCCCACGTCATCGTGCGAATGCGCGACGAGGTGCACGTTCAGTTTTCCCTCCACGGGACCAGCCCGCGTGTTGTACCTTCCAGGCCTCCCCCCGCCTTTGCCATGATCACCATGATCGTGATGGTGATGACGGTGATGGTGATGGTGATGACGTCTCTCACGGTGCTCATGGCCAGCACTAGCGGCCGTGATACAAGCGTTTCCGATCAAAGCTGCTAGAATGAAGGATGCTATAAGGGAATGCGAACGGAAAGCGGATCTTGAAAAATGATCCATGGCCAACAATGACGGAGCGCCTGAACACGGAATCTGGCAATTTCTTGGCTTTCCGTCCAACCCCACAAGTAACCAGCAACTGCCTGACACTGACAGAATCCTGCCAGAATCCGGCGGACGAAAAACAGCTCCAAGAACAAGACGTTCTCAGCTGCTGAAAACAGCAAAATGGCAAGACACGGACACAGGATGGTGGAGAGAATAGGAAATTCACTCAGTTTGAAAGAATCTGAAGGCAAGCAGCTTCATTGCGGTGTTACCATTCATCGTGCCCACGCGCACGGCTTTCCGGCTGACAGCAGTTGGATTGAAATCGGGGCGAAGGGGATTGTGATGGCCATGTCAGCACGCCCAGCTCAGGTTGGGGGGAGGCCACGTGGTCCGACCTGGTCATTAGCCAATCTTTCAGCAGACAATGACAACAATTTTGATAAAATATGTACAGACTTTGAAGCACTGTACTTTCCAAGCTGAGATTGTACTAACGGGGTAATGGAAAACAGAACTTTGCGAGTGAAGCCATGAGCGAGGAAACGAGATTGGTAACGCGCGAAATCCCGTACCTACAGAACTACAGTTGTGGCGCCAAGGCATCAGCTATTACCAAAGCGAACGATTTATTCTACGCTGATCTCTTGCCAGCGATTCTAAGCGCGGGACAGCGGCCATCTTCGCAGCAGCGTGTCGAAGTATTATTGCTATTGTAACCCCCGCCACCCCGTAGGCTTACGACGGGGTGATTATTCCCGTTGCCTCTGCGCTTGCCGTCTTCGCACGCCGCTAATCGCTCTTACACTCTATTGCCCTCGTCGGATCTTGCAACATAACGAGCCTCGTCTGCTGCGGGATTCACTTTCGCGAATTTCGCGTGTCATCGTTACTGAGTGACCCGTTCAGCGCTCGTCGCCTCGTCCGTCGGCGCCATGCAGAAGGCATCGCGACCGGGCGACGCGGGCATGTCGAGCATGGAGCGAGTGGTGCGTGGCTGCGGAGTACCTAGTATGCCCGCACACCTAATCTTCCCAATACTTTTATACTACAGCAGTTGTCCGTAATGTCGGCCATTCCTTGATCTAATTTTCTGAATTCCGCCATGCCGTGACATCCGTGCCCGCTTCCCCCATGTGCTCTCTACATACGCAATCATGTCGATGCCACGTCATCACCGCCATAGTAACTGCAAAGCTCCACCATGCAACGTGTCCTGCCACGTGTCCTCTCCCTGGCCCGTCAGAACGCGGAGCTGTTCACGCTGACGTACGGCGCCATGGTGCGAGACCGTGCTTTGCTAACTTGGCAGCATGTTTTTGCACCTCCACGTGTCCCATTCCCATTGACCAGAACGCGGAGCTGTTCACGCTGACGTACGGCGCCATGGTGCGACAGCTGCTGACGGACCTCGAGGATATCGAGGAGGTCAACAAGCAGCTCGACGCCATGTGAGTCGTGTGCTGTGCGGTGCTGCGCGATGACAGGGTGTTGCGCTAAGATGCTGTGCGATGCTGGTGTGGTTAAGGCCATCGCGCCACATGTGCTGTGCTGTTCTTAGTGTTCTGGAAGCCACACGCGCATTCTGATTAGGGTTTGCTCTCACTTCTTTCCCCTTCAACTCATCGCCTCATGTGTGTGCTTGCTTGCATGCTCTGTGAATTTGTGATTTCATTTCATCCATCCTGTGTGCTGGTTACCACGTGCACTGCAGGGGTTACAACATCGGAGTGCGGCTGATAGACGAATTCCTCTCCAAGGCCAACGTCACACGCTGCTCCGACTTCAAGGAGACCGCTGATATTATCGCCAAGGTCAGATAGTCTGTTCCAAGGTTCTCCATCATTTGCTGACCCCGCCCCTTGCCTTGCTTCCCATCGCCCTCCCTCCTCCCACCGTGCGTCTCTTGACCCTCTCCCTGTCATTACCAATGCATGGTTCCCTCCCCACACCCTACAATCTTACAGCTAGGCTTTAAGATGTTTCGGGGCGTGACAGCAATGGTAACCAACTGGAACGCGGAGGGCAACGAGTGCAGCCTGGTGCTGGCTAACCCCCTCCTCCTTCTTTCGCCCTCCCGTTCCACCTTCTCCAGCTGGGCTTTAAGATGTTCCTGGGCGTGACAGCAACGGTGACCAACTGGAACGCGGAGGGCAACGAGTGCAGTCTGGTGTTGGACGACAACCCGCTGGTGGACTTTGTCGAGCTGCCTGAGTCCTGCTCCTCGCTCGTCTACTGCAACCTGCTGTGCGGCGTCATCAGGGGGGCGCTGGAGCAGGTACGAATGAGGCTTGAGGGTGTAACAGGTGTGGTATGCGACTGTAAGGCAACGAGTGCAGTCTGGTGTTGGACGACAACCCGCTAGTGGTCTTTGTCGAGCTGCCTGAGTCCTGCAGCTTGCTCGTCTACTGCAACCTGCTCTGTGGCGTCATCAGGGGGGCTCTTGAGCAGGTATGCGGATTTAGAGCAGCTACGAATCTGTAACAGGTGTGGAATGGGACTGCAGGGCACCTGTGCAGCCTAGTGTTGGACGACAACTTGACTTTGTCGAGCTCCCCGAGTCATGCAGCTCGCTTGTGTACTGCAACCTGCTGTGTGGCGTCATCAGGGGGGCGCTTGAGCAGGTATGGATGTGTAGCAGGCATGGATGTGTAGCAGGTGTGATAAGGACCTGCTGTAGCAGTCTGCTGCTAGACAAGCCCGTCCGTGTTGACTTGGTAAATCTGCTGCTGGAGTCCTGCTCCTCACTCGTCTAGTGCAACCTGCTGTGCGGCATCGTAGGAGGGGCGCTGGAGCAGGTATGCATGCAGACCTGACGCAGGTGAACGCATTTGGAGTAGGTATGAATGTGTCGCAGGTGAGGCATGCGACTGTATGACAGTTGTGCAGTCTCTTCTCTTGATGCAACCGCGACCCGTTCTTGCCACCTCCTTGCTTGTGGTGCAGGTGTCGCTGCGGGTGGAGGTGAAGTTGGTGCGCGACATGCTGCGAGGAGATGATGCGTTTGAGATGCGCATGAAGCTCATAGAGCAGATGGCCGAGGTGTACCCATTCAAGGACGCCGACTAGCACCGCACTGCACCGCATTGACCATGTTGTTACCAAGTTACTTCACCGGGTATTGTATTTCCTGCAGAAGTTGGCAGCTGTTATGGCTGCCCTGTTATCATTCTCCAGTGTGTAAAATATATGAATAGCTTACAATACAATACCGGTAATTGACTTTTCTATGCTTGAGCTTCAGCAGGGGCTGCTTCCAGTGCTTCCAGCACACTAGCCACCCAGCTGCACAGAGAAACAGAGGGAAAAGGAGGCGCAGAGAAGAGCCAGAGGAGGAACAATGAAATGACTTGTTCACATATCTGGTTAAACTATCTGGTCTAGAGTGGGAGGAATTTGTAGCCTGAATGATATTACAGTACCTTTCAATTCCAGGGCTATCCGGTGCAAACACCCTCTTAATTCCTGCTTTTCTGGCAGCCTCGGCTGAAGTTCCCCCAATGCATGCTGCAGCTCCATCCCACTGCGTGCGCGATGCCACCACCTCCATCCATGCCCTGGGGCGAAGGGCAATGAGGGAACGAGGAAAGGATACATTTGAGGAGAGAGGGCACAGGAAGTGCGGACGTTCCCCCAATGCACGCTGCAGCTCCGTCCCACTGCATTCGCAAGGCCGCCACCTCCATCCATGCCCTGGGGCGTGGGGCGAGTGGCGAGGGGTGAGGGGTGAGGGGTGAGGGGTGAGGGGCGAGGGACAGGGCGAAGTGTGTGGGGCGTGGGGCGAGTGGCGAGGAGGCAAGGAAACATGCATGGAGAGACTGGGGAGTGGGGAGTGGGGAGAGAAAGGGTACAGGGGAGTGGGAGGTGTGAGGGGCAAGGGGCAAGTGGAGGGAGGATAGGGGAGAGGGGCGAAGCGGGAGCGATAAGAAGCGAGGGACAAGGAAATGGGAAGTGGGAAGTGGGGAGAGGCGAGACTGAAGATGGTCTGTCCCTGGGTTGAGAGAGTGTGATGTTGCCCACCTGACAGCAGTGGGAGAGGCCACAGCAACAACAGGAGCCCTGGCAGCCCTCTGTATGGTGTCCACATCAACACTGCTCACCGACTCCTGATGCCCACCCAGCCACACATACACATGCAGATGAAACCATGGAGGAATCGGGTGAGCACAGAACAGAAGAGAGTTGACAAGAAAAGCGGGTTCTGTGAGACGGTTGGAGCGATGCGTGGGGAAGTCTCTGGCACAGGAAAACTACGTCAGATAACAAAAGCAACAGAATTAGCTGACAGAGGTACGTGTTGTGCCTGTGACAGAACGAGCTGAGCGCCATGCAGCATACCGTGGAGTATGTGTTGAGCCTCGTGACTTGGAAGCCCCTGCTTGCCAGCCCATTCTCTGCAATCACACACACAAAAGCGCAGAAATGTTTGAAGCACTGACAAAAAAAAAAAAAACAATCGTTAGTCACAGACCATCAAGCAAGCAACCCTCTTCCCCCCTACCCCTATTCCCAACCCCACTCCCCCGTCCATCTTTTCCCCCCTAGCCAACATGCATTTCAGTCCAGAGCACCCACGGAGATCCGTGCTGGCCTTGGCCGAGGCGGGGTACAGCACCCGGCGGTTGCCGCCTTGAACCTCTGGAATCTCAGATGACAGATACTTGGCCGTGGCTGGGGAAGCAGGGAGGGTGGAGGGTGGAGGGGGAGGAGAGGGGCGAAATAAGGAACGCATACATAGTTGCACCAGAGTACTCGGCTGAGCCAGGCGGCTCCAAACACTAGTTTTCAAGGGAGAAGAAAACGGTTACCTATGGAGGGAACGAACTGGACTGGCAGGAGGTGCTTCTCGGGCTCCTCCAGCCGGTCGAACACCTCCGCTGTGCCGCCCCCCACCACTGGCTGAGCCAGCTAGCACCAAACACTGTTATTCACGGGGGAAGAAGAAGTTACCTATGGAGGGAACGAACTGGACGGGCAGGAGGTGCTTCTCTGTCTCGCCCAGCTGGTGGAACACCTCCGCTGTGCCGCCCCCCACCACTGCCAGCCTCAGCGCCGGCGACCCTGCAGCTCTGAGAGGCGACGGGGGAAAGGAGAGGCAGGTGGCGTTGATGCGTGTCATTAAGGGAGGAAGGACACGTGGCGTGGATGGGATAATGACAGGAAGGTGTGCAGTCAGTATAAAAAAGGAGTAATAATGGATGAGGATGGGAGAGGAGTTGCGTGAAATCGTTACATGATGCAGATGCAAGGTTTGAGACGTCTCGTTACATGATGCAGATGCAAGGTTTGAGACGTCTCGTTACATGATGCAGATGCAAGGTTTGAGACGTCTCAAAACATGATGCAGATGCAAGGTGCGAAGACGGGAACGGAGCATGTCAGCGTGGTGGTGCAACCTCACCTCCAGCCAGTAAGGAATACCGAAGCAGCTTCTGGCGAGGTCACCACAATCCACTCAAACTCCTCTTCTGCAGTGAAAAACGCACGAGGCAGAAGAAAAGTAACAGGACAAGAAACCGCTGAGGGGCCATCCAGGGTTGAGAGGGGAACGGAGAGCAGGCCTAGAAAAGTGGAAATTAAGGACGAAAGGGGGGAAATGAAGGGGACGGGGAGGGGGGGAAGGATGAAAAGCTGGCAAGGACAAGGAGGCTGGGAGGCGTGTGGAGTGACCTTGAAGCACGGCTGGCAGTCGGTGGGTGTCGGGCCCGTCTGAGTGCTGGATGAGCGGCAGTTCCATCACTGACACTCCCCTCGCACTCTGCAGGAGGCAATCACGGGAAGAAGTGGTACAGACTTGGATCACTCTGAGTGCTGGATGAGTGGCAGCTCCATCACTGACACTCCCATCGCACTCTGCGGGAAACAACAAGCAGAGAGAAATACTGCGCTCTGAATGTTTTCATTGCATACACGTGGTCCCGTCTTGAGTGCTGGACCAGGCAGCTCTATCACTGGCACGTCCCTCACCACAAATGTGCGAGACGTTGTTTTGGGATGTGAACATTCGCAACTGAGGTTCATCACATGGCGAGCAACGAAGGTGCATCCATGGCAATCTCCTAGAGTTCTCCTCACAGAATTGAAGCTCGAACTCTACCTTGCTCTCATCAGCACTTTCGACACCGTGCCGTGGTGTTTGCAGATTCTTTTTCAAAGTATCAACACTCACCAGTGCCTTCATCAGCTTGCCGTTTTTGCCTTTCTCGCGCGTCGCCACCACCAGGGGTGACTGCTCCGACGCACCACCCAGCTTCTCCTCGTGCGACTCTGATCCCGCTGACGCTGCGACATATCCGCACCGAAATCGTCTCGTTTTCAGGGCCGCAGATGACGTAGCAAAGACGCCGGAAACTGTGTGGAGACGCAGAGGGACCAAGCTGGTCGCGCCATCGCTGCTGATGGTAATGACTGCTGGTAAAAGGAAAGGAAACAGAAGAGCGAAATAAAAGAAACTGGAGGCACCATTGTGAGAATTGACATGGTATTATGAAATTCAACACACCGTGCAGTCAAGACCGAGCATGACTGAGCATGAAAGCGAGGGCGACGGGATGAATGAAGCATGAACGAATCTTCACGCGAGAATGGGTTAGGACCAATGCTGCTGACCTGATGATCTCGAAAGGCCATGGTTTTCGACGACTCGCATCAACCGAACGCCACTTAGCGTGGTGGATGCCATGGCTCAGAAACTCGTCTAATTCGACAAGAAGCACCGAAGATAAACGTTAGGAGTAAAACGTGGAATACGGTTCCTCTGCCTCCCTTTCTCACGGGACTACCGAGACTGAACCTGAACGTCCTGATGGCTGATTACAGTCAGTAGTATCAGAATTGTCAATGGAATGCAACTGAAATGAGGGGCTAGCCGCTAGAGTGTGGATTTGGAGAAGGTGCTGAGAAGGAACAAGGTGCCAGGGTAATCCAGAAAGATGTGCCAGCGCATACAGACGCCGATTCATCCAATCACAGAGCTTTCGCTTCAGTGTGTTTGCCAAGTGTCAATGTTTCATGGGTCGTCTGACGGTCAAATTGGTTCCGCCTTTTGGGACAACCTTGCCAAGCTCGAGGACTCTGCAGTTGCCTTAGCGAAGTCAATTATTGCTTCGACGGGCATGGTAACTTCGACGACTTTGTGCGATCTGCTGTTGCGGAGTAACCAGAGGACTGCAGGGAGGTGGGCTCATCTTGCCAACCACACGGAGAATGAGTTGGTCGGTACACCCCCTTTTGGCTCATGAATGGCATGGCAGGCAGCACTCTGACAACGAAGTACAGTACCCGCAGCCAGCCAGGCCAGAGCTGGTCGACGCCAGACAACCTCATACAGTCACACCACCGTCTGAACCACCTGATCCCCGTGTTTCACGTTGGCCAATCAGTGTTTCACTCTTCAGACGAGGCCAGGCCAGCGGACACGGCGCTCGATTTTCCCGAACCAATAGGCGCTGACTGCGAGGAAGTCTGACCCGCACCGCACAAAGCGGTCGCGTCGCATTCTCCTGCTGGTGGCAGGCACATTTGGGGAAATGTGCACTCTCAGATTCACTCGAACAGAGAAAATGCATTGTTTTCTCTCCTCCCCCTTCAACCCTCTCTTGGCCTCCACTCATTTCTTGGCCTCCACTCATTTCTTGGCCTCTCCCACAATTTTACGCAGCTATGACGGCGGATTCGCAACCACGCGCTGAGTTGTGTCCGTTTTGCTGAGTCCACGCGCTGTCTATTTGTTCAGATTATTGCCTCTGTTCTTGTCCCTAACCTTCATACCTAGAGAGTAGACCGCACAGTCTGAAGCCTTGCAGGTGAATGCTGCAGATCCTCCGCCTCGCAACCTCTGTGCCGAACCTGATGGAAATGTTTTTTAATAGATAAAAACTATACTCTACTGGGGCATCTCACAAGCGATCTTACAGAGTTCGTCGACCACAGAGTAGCCCGCGTGATCGTTTGTTCATCCTGCAAGGCGCTCGCTTGCCGTTTAGGTTGCGCTAATCGAAACTTCAGGTCGTCCATACCGCCAAAGTCAATCCCCCGAAAATAAAAATTCCCATTCACACAGCATGCCCTCCTGCGCTTCCCAAGATTCACATCCGCTGTAAGACCAGACTCGCTAAACGCCGCAGTAACTGTACATTCCACTGGAAGGCCCCACTGTAAAGTTTAATCCTTTAGAGCTGAGCTCATCATGGAAGGCTCCACCACGCCCGTAAAATCGACACACGGCACGCCAACCAGAAGCCTGTCGGCCCCCGTTAGAAACCTCTCGGCGGGATTCTCGCCGCGACCCCCGACCTCCCCTTACGCCACTCCTTCCTCCTCCTTTCTCCTTTTCGGTGGGAAGCCATGGCGGTCGTGGGCGTGGGCCGCGAACAGCCTCCCGCTGCTTTCTTTCTTCGCGCTCGCGCTTATAGCGACGGGGCTGGTGAACCAGCTCAACTCGCTCGGAGGAGTCAACGTTGTGACTATATCGGATGCGGAGATGGCGAGAATCAGGGTCGTGGGCGACGTGTGCGGGATGGGTCCGATGGAGCTGAGAAGCATCATGGCGGAAAAGCATGGCTGGCGGCGAGGTAAGAGGCACTGACGCGCTTGTATCACTTTTGAAAAGTCGTAAAAGTGGGTCCGATGGGGTCGGATGGGGTTGAGGGGTATCATGGCAGTGAGCATGGGTGGCGGCGAGGTAAGAGGCACTTGTGAAAACCCTCAAACGTTCCTCAGATATAGCTGGGTCCGATGGAGCTAAGGGGGATCATGGCGGAAGAGCACGGGTGGCGGCGAGGTAAGAAACATATTCGTAACTCCCGGGCATGCGGCCGCCCGCCACTTGGCTTCTTGGCTTATCCCAGCTCTATATCTCTCCCCCACACCCTCCCCTCCTTACCCCCCTCTCATCCTCCTAATCCCCCGACTCCCCACTCCCTTCTTTCGCCCCCCTCCTCCCCTTGGTTCCGATTTCCCCGCCCATGCGCCTGCGCTCTCGCCCCCGTCGTCCCGCGTTGCGCGCCAGACGAGCAGCGGTACTGGTACGCGGGGCGGTGGCAGACGAACCGCCAGCTCTACCTCGCCTTGGAGGTCGTGCGAAAGCGGTTACCACGCGACGCCGTCGTGTGCGCGATGGCGGCGGTGCACGGCCAGGTGCCGTGCCTGCACGCGCCGTGCGTGCTCACCGTGCATCTGCGGCCGTACTACTCGGATTTCAGCGTGCTGAAGCAACTTGTCGAGACGGACGAATTCGGGTTCATCAAGCATTTCCGGCCGCGATCTGTCCTGGATGCAGGTAAGCGCGGGTGGCGCGGTGGGCGTGGCGTGGGTACGGTTCTAAAGTTTGCGTTTGATGCTTTCAAGTCTAATAATATATTTACGCTCATAATGTTTGTTCTGATCTACTTGTCCTGTTTTTGGCCTGCTGATTCTGTATCCTGTTTCCAGGAGCCAACGTGGGGTATGCTACGCTCATTTTCTCCACTTTCTTCCCCAACGCTACTGTGGTCGCGATAGAGGCGAGTGACAAGAACTACGAGGTGTTACGGCGTAACACGTATCGCCTGCGCAACGTTTATGCGGTGCATGCGGGGCTGTTTAATCACTCGGGAATGGTGCTGCTAAGGAATGGGACACAAACGAAGACGAGGGAGGGGTGGCAGTATGTGGTTACGCCAGTGCCCTCTAATAGCAGCGGTGACACAAACGAAGGTGATACTAACGAGGATGTTCAGGAGGCGGTAGAGGGTGAAGCGAACAGCAGCAACAGCAGCGGAGTGGCAAGCACAGGGGCAGCTGAGGGGGGCGTGACTATCCGTGGTGTGACTGTAGGCGATGTGCTAAAGCAGGTTGGATTGGCGAGATTCGATTTCGTGAAGATGGATATTGAGGGGTCCGAGGCTGAAGTGCTGGCCATGTCCCCATTGGCTGCAGGCGCCGATGTGACTAAATCGAATGCAGATTCCACTGCCTCTGGGGAAATCAGCAGCGGGAATGGCAGTGACAGTAGCAGCAGCAGCAGCAGCAGCAGCAGCAGCAGCAACGGCGGCGACGGCGGCAGCAGAGGCAGTAGTAGCAGCAGCAGCAGGACCAGTAGCACAGCTGACATAAGCAGGGAATATGATTGGTACGACCCTAGGCCTTGGTTGGATGAGGTTCGGGTGATGGCAGTTGAAGTGCACGATCGCATGAAGCCGAATTGCACCGTCACTGTAGAGGCTGCTACTGTAGCGCGGCAGTGGCGCCTGCTGGCACGATCAGGGGAGTATCTTGTGCTTGAGAATGAACGGTGGAGCGAGAGGAGGGGGGGGCGAGGAGGGGTGGCGGGGCAGAGGGCGGAAGACAGGGGGAAGGTGAGAGAGGTGCAGAGGAAGGAAGTGGAGAGGAGGAAGGAGGGGACGAAGGAGGAGGGGAGGGTGCAACAAGGAGTGCAGGCAGGCTCAGGAGAGGGGCAAAGAGGGGAGGTAAAAGGAAGGCGATAGGAGTACGTTGGTTCTAGCAGACAATAGGTGCTAAATATTAGGATTGAAACCCGAAACCCTAGGAGAAAAATTTCGGCTAGCAGCTCAGCTCACCTACTTTTCAGCCTGCAATACTCAAAAATCAGTTCCTAAATTTTCTCTTGCAAATGTACACTCCTGATGAGGACTAGCTACAAAAAAGTCAATGTCACAATGCTACTAAATATTGGACCAGAATGACAAAAAAAGGACCAACACCAGTAGCGCACTGATGCCACAGAAAACACCACACAACTGTCCCCTTCATTAACGAACCCCCTCCTCTCCCACAAAAAGGGCCCAAAATATCAGGGTAAAATGCCCTGATTACCCTGGGGGCGGGCCGTCTTTTCAGAGTTACCCTCTCTAAATCAGGCTTCATAGATTCTTACCCTTACCCAAAAAGTGTTGGTGTTTTTTTCCCCTGATTGGATTTTTAGTTAGCCTGACGGAATCAGGGTTGTGTGACGACTACCCTGTTACCGAAACTATTTTTAACGCGGATCAGCCCATTCTCCGCGTGGTGCCAAAATGTCCCACTCTCACACTGGCACCGTTGTCACTGGTGACCACAGGCGGGAAACCGTGAAATGTTGTCGGCGGCTCGCCATGTGGCCTTACTGGCTGTCTTACCCGCACCCCTGCATCGAGCCAAACCACGCCACGCCCACTACCAGGTGAGCAGAGTTGCGCGTCAATGACAGCTTCTTGCTGTCCTACGCATCAACTGAGTAGTTGTGATGCTTGTGCAACCTTATTAATACTGAAGAAATTACGTAACAGACAAAGTAGTATTGGAAACAGGCTATCTGTAGAAATACCCTGCTCAAATCAGGCTACCATGCCGAAATCCTTGATTTACCCTGATGCAAACAGGGTATGGAAAATTTTACACAATGGGTCAGGGTAATGAGGAGCTGCAACCGTGATTTGTCAGGGTGGGCCCAAACCAATTTTGGGCCCTGCCCACAAATAACCCGTACTACTTCTGCCAGCCTCCTATTTCCACCCCCAACCAAAGAACACAGATGCAAGACACATCTGACTGGTTCCAAACTCAGGTACCTGCTATTTCAAGGAGCAAACAACTACACTGCCCTTCTGCTCACATCTCAGCCCAGCGGTAGTACCGGAAGCACCCCTTGTGAAAATCCCAAGATCCTATTGTTGAGACGGCTCAATAGTGTCACTGGGGCAGCTCAAAAGCCCAGTAGGAGATCGCCTTGTGAGAATCCCAAGATCCGATTCTCTCTCTGCACTTGATCCAAACGCACACTCCTGTGCCTCCACACAACGCGCTGGCTCCTATCGCTCAGACCGGTACCTGGCATGGGGGCAACGGGGGAAGCGTGGCTGTTTGAGCTCAAGGCGTGTGAGCCTGTTACCACAAAATTTGAGACGTCTCGATAATCAGCTTAAGGCATGTGTTCCTGTACAACACACGCGTGCGTGAGAGTCACCGTCTCGTGCGCGAGAGTCACCGTCTCGTGCGTGAGAGTCACCGTCTCGTGCGTGAGAGTCACCGTCTCGTGCGTGAGAGTCACCGTCTCGTGCGTGAGAGTCACCGTCTCGTGCGTGAGAGTCACCGTCTCGTGCGTGAGAGTCACCGTCTCGTGCGTGAGAGTCACTGTCTCGTGCGTGAGAGTCACCGTCTCGTGCGTGAGAGTCACTGTCTCGTGCGTGAGAGTCACCGTCTCGTGCGTGAGAGTCACCGTCTCGTGCGTGAGAGTCACCGTCTCGTGCGTGAGAGTCACCGTCTCGTGCGCGTGAGTGGTGACCAAACAAAGTCAACGAAAGGACAAGGAAACGCTTGACAGGAACAAGATAACAAAGAAGGACGAGAAGTGAGCGATGAGGTGAGGAGGAGTAGATAGGGAATGGAAAGAGGGCATACCTGCAGGGAGGAGGATCGGAACCATAGAGAGAAGTGGGAGGGAGGGAGAGGGAAAGAGAACCCGAAGACCCGGAAACCCGACCACAGGCCACCACGCATGGGGGGGTGTTGGTTGTTAGGCTGGAAAAGTGTTGAGAAAGTGCCACCGCGCATGGGAGCTGGCCTGGTGAGAAGCGCGCGCTGCTCTGCGTGAAAGCAGTGGCAGCACAGGAGGGACACACTGGTCCGCCCAGAGGGGGGTTGGGACAAGAGGGTGAGAGGAGGGAGGGGCAGCACTGCGGAGACAGTGCAGGTGTATGTATGCACACAAATGCACTCACATATGCAGAGACTCACACACAGACTTGCACAGAAGCAACAGGTGAACGTTCCAGAAGTGAGGAAGGGTACTAGCACGCAGAGTGCCATGGAGTGTGTGCTCGTTCCTAGTGCACCGCAATTTAACATAAGGACCAGATAACCGAGAAAGAAAGAAAATATCACACCGTCTCTTGGGGGTTGGGCTGCGGCTGCTGCTGCTGCGGCTCCTACTGCGACTCACACTGCGACTCCTCCTGCTCCTCCTCTGCTTCCCATGGCCCTCTCCTTTGCCCCCCTCCTTCTCCTTCCTCTTCTCCTTGTCCCTCTTGCTGCCCTTCTCCCGCCTCTCCTCCTTCCCCTTCCTGCTCTCCTTCTCCTTCTCGCTGCTCTTCTCTGCTCTCTCTCGCTCCCTCCCCTTGTCCTTGCTCCCACGCTTCCCATGCCTGGGATTCAAATAGAGAATGGGGAAGGCAGGTAGGCGGTCATGGAAGCGGTGGGCAAGGATGATCTCAAAGGGAATGGAACATCAGGTTTGCTGCTATTCCGCTATGAGTTTGGATCCTTGGGGATTCAAAGTGGCAGGTAGACGGTCATGGAAGGGGTGGGTAAGGATGATCTCAAAAGGGAACGGAGCATCACTGAGGGACCATCATCGGGGAAACATATCACACAATGCATGGCCGCTCACATGGCCGCTCACATGCCATTTATCCTGCCCACATGCCCACCCCATATGGCCACGGCCATGCATCTTCCATCTCACCTCCCATGATCCTCTCCCTCCTCGTCTCTATCACTAGGTTGAGGGGACGGGGAGTGCGACTTGCTCCGATGCCTGCCCTTCCTTCCTGCCTCCTTTCTTTTCTCCGATCGCCCGTGCCTGCTTCCCCTCTCCCGCTCTCCACTCCTGTCCTCGTCACTATCAGAATCAGCATTAGCATTCACTTCTCCTTTCTTCTCTTTGCTCTCCTCTTTGCTCCTGCCATCGGACTTGTCTTTCCTCTCACGCTTCTCCTTGCTCCTCCGTTCCTCCCTCTCCTCCTTCTCCTCTTTCTCCTTCTCGACTTGCGATCCCTTCCTCTCCTTCTTGCTGCCCTCCTCCCTGCTTTCGTCTCTACTACCCTCCTCATCTCCATCCCTCTTCCTCTCCTTCCCCCTCCTGTCTCTGTCCTTCTCCCTCTCCCCACCCTTCTCACCACTCCTCTCCTTCTCCCTCTCCTTCCCCCTCCTCTCATCCCTCTCTTTGCTCCTCTCCTCGCCCCTAGCACTCCTCTTCTCCTTCTCTTTTCCATCATCCTTCTCTTTATCCTTCTCTTTATCCTTCTCTTTATCCTTCTCTTTATCCTTCTCTTTATCCTTCTCCTTATCCTTCTCTTTATCCTTCTCTTTATCCTTCTCTTTATCCTTCTCTTTGTCCTCCTCATCCTTCGCCCTCTTCCTCTCCTGAGAATCGTGTGCCTCTCGGCTCTTCTGCTTGCTCCCTGACCCAGGCCCATCTTCATCATCCCCCCTCTTCACTTTCCCATCTCTCTCTTCTCTATGCCTCTTCTCACTTCCCTCCTTCCTCTCATGCTCCCCTCTCCTCTTTTTCTTCCTCCCCTCGCTCTCTTCACTCTCCACATCCTTCTCCTTATCATCTTTCCCCTCACTCCTCCTGCTCGTCTTTCCCTTCCTGCTTTCCTCCTCCCCTCCCTCCTCCTCCCCCCTTGCCCGGCCACGCCCTTTCTCCGCCTTTTTCCCCTTCCCTACCCCGTCATCCCCGCCCCCGGTCCTCTTCCTCCCCGTCTCCCCCTCATCATCCCCCTTTTTGCGCACCTCTTCCCCTCCCTCCTGCTGTCCCATGCTCCTATCACCCCTTCCCTCCTGCCTTCCCTCCATCTTCGCCCCTTCATCCCCTTCTTCCCCATCCTTCCCCTCCTCCAACGCACCATCCTTCACTTGCTCCTCCCTCCCCATTCCTTCCCTCTGCACCGCACTCCCACCCCCTTCACCACCATCAACCCCTCTGTCCTTTGCATCCCTTACCACTTCATTCTCCTCCTTCTTCTCCTTTTCCTCCTCCTCTTCCTCTTCCTTCTCCTCCTCCTCCTCCTTCTCCTCTTCCTCTTCGTCCTCCTCCTCCTCTCCCTCCCCCTCCTCATCCTCCTCATCGTCATCCTCATCATCCTCATCACTACCATACGCAATGCCCAACAGCCCTCCACCCAACAACCCTCCTCCCCCTCCCGCCCGTTTCTTCTTCCTCTTACTCTTCGTCTTCCTCTCAGCATTCGTTGCCTTACTAGTCTCAACCACCCCCTTCCTCCCAGACTCAACTGCCCCTCCTTCCACAACCCCCCTGTTTTCCTCAACCGCGCCTGCCCCACCTGGTTTTTCACCTGATTCTTCACCTGCTTTCCCATCTTCCTTCCCCTCCACCTCCATACGCCTGTTTCCATCCTTCTCCCCCTCGGCCCCTTTAGCCTCCTCCTCCTCCTCCCCTTCACCCACTATCACCCATTTCCCTCCACTAACATTCTTCCCCTTCTCCTCCTCTTCCGCCTCCTCCTCGTCCTCCTCCTCGCGGGGATCCCTGAGACAGTCCTTGGCAATCCGCCTCACCATGTCGTCAGTCACCTGTTGGCAGGTAGGAGGGGTCGGGGCGGAGGGGAGAGCATGGGGCAGGGCGGAGAGTGTGGACCGGATGGGAAAATGTGGGGCGGAGGGGAGGGGGTGGGGCGGATGGGAGAATGTGGGGCGGAGGGGAGAATGTGAGGGGAGGGGGGGAGTGTGGGGCGAGGGGAGAGTGTGAGGGGAGGGGGGAAGTGTGGGGCGAGGGGAGAGTGTGAACACTTCTTCATCAATCCTAAAAGCACCTGACGGCAATGTCTGCAACTCCCCTCCCCTTCCCACCCCTGACGTCCTTCGCTACGCCAAGTCACGATAAATACGAGCAACGCCGTAAAAGTAGGGGAAACTTCAAAAGCTGCATCCAAGAGGTCTATTCCTCACGTGTGCTCTCAACGTGATGAAAGAAGCATGCATGCCATTTCTGAATTGTTTTTTATACTAACAGGCTCGGCCAACAAAACCACAATGGCGTCACCCTGAAAAAGAAAACGGTCTTTTCAAGAGGACCCTCCCTCCTGCAACACGAAATGCTCGCAGATATTCCCCTGTTGCCGGCCAAAAAATCCACTATAGCGTCACCCTATTGCTATAGTGGTTTTGTTGGCTGGCAACAGGAGAATATCTGCGAGGATTTCGTGTTGCAGGAGGGAGGGTCTTCTTGAAAAGACCGTTTGCTTTTTCAGGGTGACACCATAGTGGCCAAGCCTGCTAGTATTGGCCAATCCACCTCACATCCACCTCAACATCGAACCCACCTTGAGCAACACTTGTGTGAGCACGCGTTTCATCTCGTTGTTCATCGCCATCCTCCTCTGCACCTCCGCCTCCTCCTCGTCCTCCTCATCGTCACTCTCCACAACCCTTCGCCGACCACCACCACCAGCACCACCGGAAGCACCGCCAGCACCAACACCAGCGAGAGCGCCTCTATCGTTGTACCATTTGTCCTTGGAAGGGGCTTTCGCGGGTGAGTCTGCCGCTCCTGCTGCTGCTGCCAGGGCTGCCTTCTTCTTGACGACCTCGTCCACAAGCCACGAGGGGAGGGACTGAAGTGGAGAAAGAAGGGGGGGGGAAGAAAAAAGACGGGTTGGACGTGGAGGAGGGGGAAGAGGGAGAGGAGAAGATGAGTCGGAGCGACTGCCAGGGCTGCCCTCTTCTTGACGACCTCGTCCAGCAGTCACGAGGGGAGGGAGGGTCTGGAGGGGTGGAAAGAAGGGAAACGAGTGAGTGACTGTGCGTGGAGGACCCAGGAGAGGGGAGGGGAAGAGGGAAAGAGAGAGAACAACTGAATCACAAAAACATGAACGGTAGAGGAGTCAAGAGAGGGGAGGGGAAGAGGGAGAGAAATTGGACGAGAACAGAAAGAAGGAATAGATGGGTGGGGGGGGGGGTTGCGAAAGGGGGAAGGGGGGGGGGAGTGTTGGGGGAAGAAGGGGGAGAGGGCAGAGAGACATCTAAATGAAATTCTTAAAGCGCCTCGATACACAGCAATAGCTCACCTTTTTCGGTTTGGCGCCAGGAGTGACAGAGCCACCCCCTCCCATGTCATAAACGGAAGGGTCAAAGTACATTCCTGCAGACGCTGCTGCCGCCTGTGCAGCCGCCAGCACCGCTGGTGAGAGCACGGACATGTCTGCTGCCTGATTGGCTGGCGGCGCGTACGCTGCTGCCGACCCTGCTGCTGGCGGCGGGCCGGGCGGAGGGGGGAGAGAGGAGGCGTGCGCGGGGGGCGGGGCGGAGAGGAGCGGCGGAGGGGGCGGTGGCAGGGGCAGGCGCTGGTAGTGCTGCTCGTGAGCGTGCTGGGGGGGAAACCCGCCTGCTGCTGCCGCTCCTGCTGATGCTGATGCCGCCGCTGCTGCCGCTGCTGCTGCTGCTGCTGCTGCTGCTGCTGCTGCTGCTGCTGCTGCTGCTGCTGCGTCAGGCGCATTGGCATCCCCATATCCCGAGTACACTCCGTTGTAAGTGCCAGTGGGGCCAGTAGGGGGGAATTGCGGGGGCGGAGGGGGATACTGCATTGGGGGAGGGGGGTATTGCGGGGGGTAGAACGACGCGGGATCGGGGGGATGAGTGTGGGGAGGGAGAGGAGGGCCGTGGGAAGGAGGCGGAGGTGGGTACATGTACATTTGCTGCTGCTGCTGCTGCTGCTGCTGCTGCTGCTGCTGCTGCTGATGTTGCTGGTGCATTTCAGGTGGGTAATAATATTGCTGGTAATGCTGCTGATAGTACTGCTGCTGCTCTTGCTGCTGCTGTTGCTGTTGCTGCTGCTGCTGCTGTTCTGCCCCTGAGCTTCCGACCATAGCAGCAGCACCGCCATACCCACCACCCACATACGTCCCGTCAGCAGCGACATACCCCCCGTATCCGCCTCCCCCCACTCCCCCACCCACATCCTGCTGTTGCGTACCCGGCGCCACCGTCGCCGCCGCCGCATCCGCTGCTACAGTATCCTGCTTCGACGGTTCCTTGTCCTCGTTATCTGCTGCCTCTTTATTTGCCGCCGCAGCTGCCGCCGCAGCTGCCGCCGCTGTTGCGTCCGCCGCTTCCTGCGCCGCCCGCTGCTCCGCCCAAAGCCGCGCCTTGGCCGCCCAGTCGAGCTCCGCCGCCCCTGATACACGGGATGAGGGAGTCATGAACGGTTGAAGGGAGTCGTGAACGCTTCAAGGGAGCCATGAACGGTTCAAGGGAGTCATGAAAAGTTTAAGAGTGTCATAAACGGGTTGATACAGGAATTGAGAGAGCCATGAATAAGGCGATTCACGATTCGATTCAGTGACACTTAAGCGACGAGGGTAATGACGCACGGAGATGGAAGCAAAACAAATCAATACGAGTCGACTTGACAGATATGGAAGAGAAACAAGTCATTCTTGTAACACGGTTCCGTCGCATCAGAGGGACTTGGAGAAGGCAATTTACGAGGCGGATCAGGAAGACTTAGCGGAAAGACATTACCGCCAAGCTGCGGCTCTTGCGTCTGTTGCTGCCGCTGCTGCTGGTAACCCCACGCTCCGCTCGCGTCCCAGCCCTGCTGACGCCATCATGCGTCAGATTGAAACAGAAGCAAACACGGCGACCACGCATGTCAGCCTAAGGGCCTCCGAAATGCGATTTTTTTTCAGGATTTCTTCTTTTGCGTTGTTGTATGAACCGGAAATAGATCAAGCGATCATAGTTGCTAAAAATGAGGCTCAATCCCGAAACACGGCAGAGATCAAACAAGAGGGTTCACGCGTGACTCATGGAACCATCAAGTGAGGATCTAGAGGAGAGCTAAATGCAACGCAACCACGTTTCGTGGAAGGTTCCGGCGGCAGCACCTGGTGTGACGGCGCATAGGCACCTGTGCTGGCCGGCTGGCTCCCGGCGCTCATGGCTCCCGCCTGCGACGCGCCTGCTTGCACAGCCTGCCATTGATCCGCCATACCTCCTTAAAAACCGCGCAAGGTAAGCTCGCGTGCAGATATTCAGTCAACTCAAAGCCGATCAAAGCTAGCTGCAGACTGGTACGCGAGGACTAAATACTTCAGACTGGTATACTCGAAGTCCTAATTTCACTAGGTTTAGTTGAAGCAATCAAAATGAGCACTGAGCGGGGGTCATTTTGGTTGGATTACAGTTTACAATTGGTTAATTCCGGTACGCAACGGCCTAATGCAGTTTTAATCGAAAACCGTTTTAAAATGTTGTATGATCCGCAATCTTGGGAGGATCAAGGAAATATGGGGGAGGAGGTTTTCTGGCAAGAGCAAAATCCCTGCAAAGGCGACGGTCTCGCTACGGCGGTATCGGGTATTCTGCTGGGATGCATCCAGAACACACAAGCCTCAGGACCATAATGAACCTGCATGAGAATGACAATAAATGCATCTATAAAGGGCATCATTCCTTGGTCCAACAAACTACCATATCAATCAAAACAGGGTTATAGTACATTATGCACAAAATGCACGTATTCTGTATGTACGTTTTAATATTTGACCACCATACTAAACCAACCAATTATAAACCTAACCTTGTGCCTTCTTCGGCTGGCTTTCTTGTCCAAAGTTCCATTGCATTCACTAAGATTTTTAGCCAACCCCGTCTCAACTCTTGAATTGTCATCCGCCGCCATCTTTTCCCCCCACCCAAGACCCAGTCCCCTCAGCTTGGTCACCCTATCATCTACTGAACCTCCAGATTCCTCCTCTTCTTTCGCCAACTTATCAAATACAGCTGTGCACTTCTCAGCATCCAAACTATTGAGTACGTCCTCCCCACACTTCCCTCTCACCCCTCTTTGAACACCACTCCTGAGATTCGATCCCTGGCCCACTCCCATGCAAAGCTTGCGGAGGTTAACAGGGGTTCCTATGCGCACGGGGAGTGTTGCGCCTGTGTCTACGCGCGCGCTCAGCTCTTCCGCTGCCTGTTGCGCCTCCACGACAGCCAATGCCGCGCCGTTAATTCTCGCACGCGCGCTGTCAATCCACGATGGATCGCAAGCTAGTTCCGAGTCTAGTTGCGAGCATCGCACGCACATCAACGTCCGGTTCGCGTCGTCATGCGAGTATACGGACGACGCGGCGGGCGACATGACGCTGATGTCGCTGCACGACGACGTGCGACGGGAACACGACCGCCGTTGTCGCATGCTCAAGTCGTCGGAACGGCGGGAAAGCAGGCTCATTTCAGCATACGACATGTGAGACGGGAGGCTGGAGTGTCGCGGACCTGCGACGCCGTCGTCTCCCGTTGGAGTGTCGCATTTCAAGTTGCTACTACTTGATCGAGCTCCACAGTCGCAACGCAGCTCCCACGCACCGTCGTGCTCCCACGACCTCGCTGAATCGCGCGATGACGCCTTGAAGGCACCCTAGCGGCCAATAGTCCAGGTGGAGTCACACAAGGATTCCGCCGCCATTGGTAATGAACGGAAACAACCACGGGTGGTGCTAGTAGCTACGAAAGGAACTGAATGGACGAGGAACACACCAGACCACGACATTAATATCATAAAGAATGAGCAGTGAAGGGTTGAAGAGCTGAGCTACTGTCGTTGACGTCTGAATCTGGGACAAGAACTCATGTCACGCCCAGCAGCCTCATGGCCACTGCCGGGATGGCCTGGAAACAGCTGGAAAGACGATGAACCGGCGCGCACCGAAGGACTGGAGTGAAGGCACTGACCGCTGTTGCTCACGGAACAGCTAAGGAATAACACCTAGGTACTGGACGCCTTTTCACACCATACAGTGTTGTCTGTCTGTACACGCCGTTCAGTCCCCCGTCGTTCACGCGCCATTGTCTTTGCTGTGCCAAGAACGTGCCCAGAGCACCATTGGCAACGCGATATTTTTCTTGAAAGACCGACCCGATGAACCAATCGCGCTCGAAAGGACAGTTTCGAAGAGTCGCACCTGACCTTCCTGACCAGCCCCACGCGCGTGTAAAGTACAGGGAGTAGACATTAGGCCCCCTTCCCCGGGTCCCGAACCACACGTCCCATACGTATTTTATTCTGGAATCCTATCATGATCCCCCCTCAGACACACCACACCCTCGTTCCCAAGAGAAAAAAATTGAGAGCTTGGTGTGCGAAAAGCGAGTGCTGGGAAGCTTGGGGGCGAGCAGAATTCACTTAGGACTGGCAATGAGTGCAGGATCAAAATCAGGTTGGTCAATTGTCTTACGGTTGCACGCAAAAGCGCTGTTATTGGCTCCTTCACCCTTGCGGGATATCTCTACAAGGGCTAATTGCGCGGTTGAAAAATGGCGGGAAAGCGGGAGGAGCCACAAAGCATGGATACGCCAGCCTAGAAATAACTTTCTCGGTCAGGTGACTCAGGTCAACTTGTCACATGACGTGTCATTTACGGCTGTGCTGGGCAATACTCGGCTGTGCTGCCATGTCACGATATTCTCACATTTGGTTCGGGTTTACCCTGCCAGCTGTGCGGGTGAGAGAGGGAGACTGGATGGCTAGGTGTTCTGTGAGCACACTCATTTTCTGCTCAGTATGTGCATCACGGTTGGACACGGTTCTTGTGCATATCATCATCGATACGCAGCAAAGTTTTCAGAACCTTAGGTTGACGGGAGAACAGCTCACTGAGAGAATAGCAACATATATTTGGTTTTGATTTTTTTTCCAATATAGCATTTAAAACTGACCCTTTTTAGTCTTACTTGATTGAGCTCTTTTCATGCTAAACAGTCTCGCTATTTTTTGGCCAATGTACGACCCTTCACTTTTTGTTCTGTTGAATGCAAGGAATGAGGCTTCTTCGGGTGAACTGGAAGCTACTTCCACAGTCTGGTGCTATTTACTCGCCACACCATCAAAGCTCCTCCTGGTCACAGGAGAGGAGGACGATCCTGGTAGGCTCCTTGGTGCAAGCCCTATTGTCGCACGTCCCTCTGCCTTATCAATCCGTGCACTCAACTCCACAGCTGCCTGCTGTGCTTCCACCACAGCCAGTGCAGCCTCCTGAATCCGTGACCTCGCACTATCCACCCACATTGGACTGCACGCCAGCTCAGCAGCACGCCAAGAACACCCCCCACAGAGAGAATCGCCACGAATGTGACCCGGGTCAGAATGGCTCTCCTCCCTCAAGGTGTCCGTATGGAGGCTGTCTTGCTGTGAGAGACCCAGGGCCTCCTCAATCAGAGCAAGATCTGAGAGAGCCGCTTCCAAGGAGTGCCTGTGGCTGCTTTGCAAGCGAGTGCCGTGGCTCAAACCTGACGCCCAGCGGTGATTTGAATCACACGTTTCCGAGAAACTGCATGTGGCGCTCAAAGAACCCAAACTGGCAAAACTGGCCGACTGGCTGTAAGTAGTGTCACGAGCAGAGCCCCAAGTCCTTCCCCGAGATCGATACCGATAAGATTCGCCACAAATGTGACCCGGGTCAGAATGACACGCCGAAATCGGATCAAAGTCGCTCATGACCCGCGGTATGCTGCCTGATGGGTTCCTTTCCAGGGGCTTCTTGAGCGCAGAGTGGCGTGGAGAGGCGGCGTCAGATCGTCGTGTGGGCTCCCCCGGAAACGCCTCCAGGCCCCTGAAGCACATGTTGTCGCAGCGGTAGGAGCGGCCGCAGCACGATTCCTCCAGGGAGACTCGGCCGCTGCCTCCGGGGCGTGGTGGCAAGCGGCTCATTCCCTGCTGCGCGTCCAGAGATGCTCGGCCTGCTTCCAGAGAAGCACGATCAGCCCACCCTGCAGCATTCCTCTCAGCAGCATTTTGCTCAGCAGCAGCAGCAGTCAGCACACGCGTCTATTGATGATGAAAGCGTGTCTTTGAGCGGCGCTGGTGCCGCTAACCCAGGGAATTTGGCGCCTTGAGGACAAGAGAGATCGTCGTTCAAGGGAAGCGAGTGGGAGGGGTCAACGAGGCGCTCTGGGGAAGTGACTGGGACTGCCTGGTTCTCCAAATCGTGCTCGTCCGCGAGGCGCAGGAACGCGGAGGGGAGGCAGAGGCGCATCATCTTGAATGGCTGACGCAGTGGGTCACGCGGAGGGGAAGCAAAGGCCACTGTCACGGATCTTTACTAACGAGTTCCGAGTTAATGCAGGGGGGTGAATTGAGTTCCGTGTTCGGCGCGAATGCCTGATTAGCTCAGTCTGTTGCTAGATTATGAGGAAATGAAGCGGAATCGAGATTGCCAATCCAGAGACGGACTGTTAGCATTTCTAGGAGCCACAAAATGGGGCATGAAACTATCTGAGGTCACGGTTCTGGGCGAAGTCTGGACACCATCAACCCAAAATGACCCTCAATGACGTGTAAACCAATGAGACGTGCACATTGCTACCAAAGTGTCCACACTTCAGATGGTGTCCAAACTTCAGAACCATGATCTGAAACTGAACCTGTGGGTGAGGGTCTGAAGACCTGAGGTCCTGGATGGTGTTGCAGCATGCACAGTGGCTTCTCTGCCGGGGCGAATCATTGTGCTCGACGATACTCCCGCCATGATAAATGGCGAATTTAAAACCACAAATTGCGTAAACTGTTCTAGCACGGACAGACGACGGTTCAGACTTGAAACCGGCTGGTTCGTGACCAGAAGCGCCCCGGAGCGCGTGCTTGACGTCATGAGCCTAGTCGCGTCACGTGATGCTTGACGTCATGGAAGTTTGGGTGATTAGATCGCTGATGCTTCTGGAAGAGACTGAAGAAGCAACTGAGGCCACTACTGGGACACACGTAACTAACACCGCCTGACGTGAGAGAGCGGACAAGCCGATACAGATCAGCATCACATGGCCCTTCCACGGAAACACGACTCAAAAGCAGACTGGACAAATGCCCGGTATTGCCGAGTTTAGACCTGCTCGACAGCTAATTAGGTATCCAACGACCACAGAATCTGTGGAGGAAATTGGTAGGTCGTTGTCTGAATCCACACAAGTCATCCACGCTGCTTGTCTCATCCATTTTTCTGTGTGTTTCGCTTCTCACACCGCATAGAAGCTCGCTGAACCGTACTGTCTCCGGTTGTTTGGGTCCTATTCGTTTGTCGGGGAAGCGAATCAGATGCTGCTGTTCAGTTGGCTGTCGCGCCTGTGGTTTGGAAGGAGCAGATTCGATCAAGCGGGAGCCAATCACGTGCTGGGAGGATCTGCCACCCTACAGTTTGCCAACTCTCACCCAGGGCTGGAGAAGCAAGGCTATTTGGCCTTAATGCCCTGAACATTCCGGGTTATTCTTGGAGCAGCTCGACCGTTTAAAGTGCTAGAAGGGCATGGCACCCGTAAGGGCCTTGTTTGGGCCTTCCCTGAATCCAAGTTTTGGTTTCTGTGTTGAGCACACCTCCCCACCCCCCATCCCGCCGCTGCTCCCCCACCCCCTCCATGACTATGCCTACGAACCCCTTCCCTCCCATTTTTTTTGCCTACGATGTAGAGGCTGTAAGATTGTTGAGCGCTGAGTATGCACCTTCCCTCTGCTAAGTAGAAGGCACGTCCTCCTTTGGACATTAGGGAAAGTGACTTTCCTTAGAAGCCCGGATTTTAAGCCTTCATTTTGGCCTGCGCCCGTGAAAATCAGGGCCAGAATTTGAGCACCTCAGGACTCAAAGTTTTGGTCCCAGGGACTTCGACAGCCCTGCTCTCAACTCAAGGGTGAAGACTTTGCACGCATTGAGTTCCTCTGTACAGTTTCAAAACGCTATCTCCTTTCTCCTTCCACATACATAAAAGCAGCCCCTATGCTGTGCTTATCCATACAGCATTGCCTTTAGGGTACAATGAAAATAATGACAGCAAAACCATGACAGAAAAACGGGAACATGAATCAATATTTGTATTAGCATTGGATACGCCTAGAGATTCAAGTCCATAACTTTGCACACTGGGCAAGTTTGGCATGGATGAAGCCAGCCAAGAAATAGCTTTTGTAAGATTAGAGTTTACTTGATGTGAAGAAACATTCATGGTGCTGAGGCACAATAGTACAGTGTTGCGTAACTATTTATACCCTCGATTCTATCGAGCAATTTGGTTGGCCACTGACGGAGGTGGGACAGACCATTTTTCCAGCACCAAGCCATTCTGCCCGATGAATATTGTCGTAGCACTCCCGAGATTCACGGTTGCTCCAGCTAGTTCATGGCCATCATGGTTCGAACGCTATGATAGTGAAGCTTTCAGCTGTTTGTGCAGTGTCCATGGCGTGATGGCCTATCCTGCACCTTAGTTGTTCCAACGGAAGCTTAGCTGCTGTCTTGCGTGGTCTAGTAACTGAAGCTGCCATACGAGGCTGTTATCAATAGCCTGCCATGTCTCTAAGTCGTACGGCCTCGGCCGCACTGCCTTTCGTGATAGGGATTCTGGCAGGCGCTGCGCTGTTGACAATTCAGCAGATCATGACGGGAGGGAACATTTCGCTCCCCAACGTCTCTTCGTCTCTCTTTACTTTTATGAATTCAGCCAACCAATCCGTCTCGCAACATGTGGGCAATCCGGATTGGCTGGCATCTTCTGCTTCGATCGGCGCTGCTACTGACAAGATTCGTTACAACACGGACGCAGAACCTGTAGAAAGCAAGCTGAACGTGCATCTGGTAGCACATTCGCATGATGACTTGGGATGGACGAGCACCATTGACAAGTACTACGTGAGTTTATCTTCCAGAAGGCCCCAAAACTCCCCTGAACCTGCTCTTTTGACAACAATCTTCAGAATGGGTCACCATTTTTTACTTCCGGATTGGTATGCTAATGCATGATCATGTTTATTCTAAATTTCTGATTGTGAAACGTGTCCAGGTTACATCAGTACAGTACATTATCGAGACTGTCATTGACCAGCTTGAGACAAACCCCGACCGCAAGTTTATTCAGGTGGAGCAGGTGAGAGTTGACCAGCGTTGGAAACCAACCGTGTGTTTTTCTGTAATGCTAACCATGTCAGTTTCAACTCAGGTGTAACGTTTCATACTATGTCAGACTAACCGCGTTCATTCATCTCAGGAGAAACACGTCGTTTGGATATTCAACTAACGCTGTCAGTGTGATTCAAGGCTAACCATCCATCTCAGGCTGAAAAAATTGTCGCAAATTCAAACTACCATGTCATCAACTCCAGACTAGCCATGTCATTTCAATCTGAGGTGAACCAGATCTCTTTTTCAACTCTCCCTCCCTGTGTTCCTTCCAGGCCTTCTTTTATCGATGGTGGCAGCAACAGAAAGAGGACATGCGCAAGAGAGTGCGTGCTCTGGTTGCGTCAGGTCAACTCGAATTCGTGTACGCCATTTAGCCTCATCCATGTTGCTATCCTTATAAGACTTCTTTCCTGCCATTGCCATCTGGTTCAGCCTACCTATTATGCTCCTCAGAGATACACTAGCAATCATGATCAATGGACAAGAAAAGGATTTCACTCATTACCACTCACTTGACGCATCCTTCTTTTGTCAAAGTCGTCAGAAACGTGTCCGTCAACCATCTTTCTTCTCCCTCCTATGTGACAGCAACGGAGGGTGGGTGATGCACGACGAGGCCACCACGCACTACACCGACATGGTCCACCAGATGTCGCTGGGGCTGCGATTCCTCCGCTCTGAGTTCAACGTCACGCCGCGCATTGCTTGGCAGATTGACCCCTTCGGCCACTCGGCAACCCAAGCCAGTCTCATCACGGCTCAGGTGAGAAGGGGATTGAGGAAGGGAGTACATAGTCTACCCACTGGCATGATTGGTGTTCACATAACATGTGCCATCCCTTGAACACACCCTCCCTCTTTGCAAATTCCCTTCCCCCACCCCCCTCCCTCGCCCCACCTTCTGCGTGCCCTTCCTAAATATCTCCGTCCTGCTGTTTCTGCCCTGCCCATATACTGTTGAGCCTTGCATGTGAGCAGGCTGGATTTGATGGGATATTTTTCTCCCGGGCAGACTACCAAGACGTGGCCAATCGGCAACAAGAAAAGAAGGAAGAGTTTGTGTGGCGCGCATCGAAAACATTTGGGAAATTGGCCCAGGTTAGCACTCTCTTGTAAACTCGGGGTTTACGTCACATCCTTGCGAGGACTGCTGTTGTCACACCATATTCCTCTTGAGCTTGCGTTCTTCTCCTGAAATGTTTTACAACCCGTCTGTCTTGACCAGGTGTTTGGTGGGCACCTCTATTGGATGTACGATCCTCCTCCCGGGCTTGATTGTGAGGACATCAATTCCCCACCATTCGTTCAGGTAAGACAAAGCACATGCTGGGCATGTGTGGTGCACGTGTCAGGCAAAGACACATCCTAATACTGCTGTCCTTCAATTTCCTCCATTTCTCCTGCACTTTCGGCAATAGCTGAATCCTGCTGTGCTCATCCTGCCTGCCAGCTCTAAGCTTCAATCAATCCCGTTCCTCCTGTATCCTCGTTACAGGATGATCCGCAATTAGGAGAGTCGAACGTCCGGAAGCTTGTCGACCTGTTTGTTGAGCGAGCTTGGGAACAGGTATGACTGATGCTCGTGCATAAAGCGACCCCTGTCAGATGCTGCACTGCGCATGTGCATCCGTGAAAGACTTGTCCATTCTTGTTCCAACCAACTATATCAATCCTCATAGCAGCGAGCGACAGCCATTGTCAGAATGTGCTTCTTCCCAGTTCCTATCTGCACCCCTCGTGTGCATGCAAAGGTGACGCGGTCGAACCATGTGATGTTCACCATGGGGAAGGACTTTGCCTACTCCAACGCCATCCTGTGAAACCCTTGTCAAACTGCCCTCCTTCCTTGTGTCTCTGCCGCTCTTACCCCCTCTGTCTTGGCTGTAATAGGCGAAGGTGACACGGTCCAACCATGTGATGTTCACGATGGGGAAGGACTTTGCCTACTCCAACGCCATCATGTGGTTCAAGAACATGGACAAGCTCATTCACTACGTCAACCTGGTCAGTCGGCGTGGCATGGTGTGGTGTGGTGCGACGTGGTATGGTATGTATGGTATCGCTCCATGTGGTCGACGCTTTTTGGGGGGGCTGTGAGGGGAGTCGACGCTTTTTGGGGGGGCTGTGAGGGGAGTCGATGCTTTTTGGAGGGGCTGTGAGGGGAGTCGACGCTTTTTGGGGGGGCTGTGAGGGTAGTCGACGCTTTTTGGGGGGGCTGTGAGGGGAGTCGACGCTTTTTGGGGGGGCTGTGAGGGGAGTCGACGCTTTTTGGGGGGGCTGTGAGGGGATTCGACGCTTTTTAGGGGGGCTGTGAGGGGAGTTGACGCTTTTTTGGGGGGCTGTGAGGGGAGTCGACGCCTTTTGGGGGGCTGTGAGGGGAGTTGACGCCTTTTGGGGGGCTGTGAGGGGAGTCGACGCCTTTTGGGGGGCTGGGAGGGGCTTGATTCAACTCAAAAAGGCCCATCCTCTTGTGCAACGTGTGCAACGTATGTTCATCCACCCCCCTCACCCCTGCCAGGATGGTCGGGTCAACGCCCTCTACTCCACGCCTTCAATCTATCTGGACGCCAAGCAGCAAGCTGACGAGATCTGGCCGGTCAAGACTGGCGACTTCTTCCCGTGAGTTGTGCATCGCATTGCCATGCTAATGCTTTGCAGCCTCCTCTAAACTCCAAGCACCATGCTGAGGAGACCTGGCCGGTCAAGACTGGCGACTTCTTCCCGTGAGTAGCACCGCAATGCTGATGCTATTGCAGCCTGCTCTTGACGCAATGCAGCATGCTGATGAGACTCGTCCGCCTCCTCCTCCTTCGCATCCTTTTTTCCCCCACCTCCCGTTCTTTCCTCCACTCCCATGCAGCTACGCTGACGCACCGCACGCCTACTGGACCGGCTTCTACTCCTCCCGGCCGGCCTTCAAGCGCTACGTGCGCTCCTGCAGCGCGCTGCTTCTGGCAGCAAGCATTCTGGAGGCAGCAGCGGGGCGGGAGGCCTTGCAAGCATGGGGGGGCGACACCGACGGAATGAACCTCGTGGGCTCTGGCGCTGGCCGAATGATGGTCACGAATTTCCATGCCTCAGAGGCGCCTAGTGCTGCAACTGGAGAGGGTGGTGGTGCTGATGGTGGTTGGGATGGTGGTGCTGGTGGGGATAGTACTGCTGCGACTGGTGGTGTTTCTGGTGTTGGAGGCCGAGAGGCACGGGCGGCGTCGACAGCATCGCTTGGGGAGGCAGTGGCGGTGGCACAGCACCACGATGCCATCACAGGCACGGCCCAGCAGCACGTGAATGATGACTACACACTCCGCTTGCACCGAGCAGCACAGGAGGTGAGGAATGTGGGGGGAGAAGATGGAAGACATGAGAAGAGGGGTATGGTGGGGGGGAGAGAGGTACACCGGCACGTGAATGACGACTACACACTCCGCCTGCACCGAGCCGCACAGGAGGTGAGAAACTGGGAGGTGTTGGAAGAAGCAGGAGAAGGGGCTGAGATGACAGAACAGCACAGGAGGTGAGAAACTGGGAGGGTGCCTGTGGTGGTCAGCACGGAACAAGGAATCACACACTATGCATATCCCTGAACCCTTTTTCCACAGTTTCCCTCACCTGTTCCCCCACCTTGTTTCTCCTGTTACTCCTCTTTTTTCCCAGCCTGAAGCTCTGACTCTGTTTTCCCCTCACCCGCTCTCCTCTCCCCACTCCAGGCCTCCACTGTTCTCACCAGTGCCCTGGCATACCTCATTCTGCACCCCCCTCCTCCTCTTCCTCCCTCGCTTCCCACCGGCACCAACTCCTCTGGACCTGCCCCCACCCATGCAGTGCCTGCTGCCACTCCGGCCAATAGGCCTGCTGCAGCTGCCGCCGGTGCTGCTGCCATCGCTGCCGCTGCCGCCGCCGCTGCTGCTGCTCCTAGTGCCGCTCCCCAGAAACCTGCCACTGCTGGTGCGGATACTGCTGCTGGTGGTGACGATCCCGCTGCTCAAGGTGCGGCTGCAAACACCAGCGCAACACCACATCGTGCTCCTCTTGAAACACAGGGCTCATTGCAGGAAGAAGGTATTAACAGGGGGAGGCGAATGCAGGAGAAGCCGAAGCTGTTGCTCAAAACGGTGAGTGGGGATTGCAGTGTGGTTGGTTGGTTGGAGAGTTGGCGATGTAGGAGATTGGCTTGGTGAAGAGCCCATTCCTTGAGCTGCATGCTTTCAGCAGCTCTTACACTCTTGATGGGACCATTTTGCTATGATCATCTCTTCCAGCTGGAGATGCAAATTGTGCATGTCTCAGCATAGAATTCCCCTTCCTCCTCCCTCCTCCTCTCCCCCTCGCCTGCTCCCTGCAGTGCCCTCTGCTGAACATCTCCTTCTGCCCTCCATCGCAGTCTGGCCTTCACTCCGGCAAGACCCTGGTGGGTACTTCATCAGTCAATCTTCCTGGTAACTTGGACCCGTTGTAAGTTGACCCCCTAGCTTGTTGACCCTCTGGTGAGTCCCACCACGTCATCTGGTGCGTTGTGCATGTGGCGTGTTGTTCATTAGGAGGATCGTGACTGTTAACTCTGCTTCAGTAGCTGATGCTCCAGCCAGCTGACAGCACACTGCCATCCCGTGCTATGCCCGACAGCACACTGCCATCCCGTGCTATGCCAGCGAAGCCATCCCTCCCATCTGTGCTCTTCTCATCCCATCCTGACTCTCTCCATCTCTCCCGTCCATCAGGTGGTGGTTGCCTTCAATCCCCTTGCCTGGGCCCGCACTGAAATCGTCCGCATTCCAGTAAGCCCGAGCATCTTTTTGAGTTTCAGCAGTTGGTAGTCGAGCAGTGGGCCCGTGCATGGGAGCCAGGGCCCGCACTGAAATAAAAGAATCACCTGCAGCATGCATTGCATTCGAGTGAGCTCCATTATCCTTTCGAGTGCCAACTGTCTGTCTGTCCATCTGTAACCGTCTTGCGTTTTTCATCATGTCTCGTTGGCTGCTCCTTGATTGCACAGTTCGCTTAAGCTCCACTGATCCTTCCACCCTCTCACCCTTTCTTTCCCAGAATTAATATCTTCCCCTCCCCTCCCACCCCACATTCCCCCTGTCTCCCACTTTCCCTACCCACTCAGGTTGCCACTCCCTCAGTCATTGTCACAGACTCAACCCACAAGCCCATCCCATCACAGCTCATGCCAGAGCTCCTCCCTCGGCCACTCATCCGCACATTCTTCCCCCCCTCCCCCTCCCCCTCCACCCCCTCAACACTCCCTCCCATCAGGTCTCCGCTCCCTCGGTCATCGTAACGGACTCAAATCACAAGCCCATCCCATCACAGCTCATCCCAGAGCTCCTCCCTCGCCCAGTCATCCGCGCGTTCTACGCAGCAGCACATGCAGGCGCCAGTGTGCCTCCAGTGGAGCAGCAGCAGGGGGTGGTGTCAGTTGTGTTCCGCGCCGAGGTGCCCCCGTTGGGATATTCCACCTTCTTCCTCGTTGCAGCCCAGCCAGGTATGATATTCTTGAAATTTCTCAAAAGTGGGCTGTCTGCGGTTTCTGAACCTCTCACCTCTCGTCACAATGATTCCCTTAATCCCTCCCTTTGTTTACGAGCTGTGGGGCTTGCAGTGAGCAGCAACGAATGACTTTTGAGTCGACTAAAGAATGCGCCTATATGAATTCCTTCTCGAATGCTTCTCTCATTACCTCCCTTTCTTCAGGAGCTGCGGGGGCAGCAGTGAGCAGCAGTGACTGGATTTTGGGACCAAAGAAGCTGAGGGGACGGAATACAAGGAGCAAGAAGGGGAAGAAGAAGAAAAAGAAGGCCAAGAAGGACGACTATGAGGAGGCAGGGGAGGGAGGGGAGGGAGCAGAGGGAGGGGAGGAAGGGGAGGCAGGGGAGGAAGGTTATGAGGAGGGGGGACAGGAGGAGGGGGGTGAGGCAGAAGGGGGGGAGGAGGGCTATGCTGAAGGGGAGAAAGGAGGGGAGGGAGGGGAGGGAGAGGAGGAGGAGGAGGTGGGCGATGGTGTGGGTCAGGAGGATGAGATAGTTCTAGGGGGGGTGGTGGCTGGTCGGCCGGCAGCACGTGTCTATTTCTCCAAAGCTGCTCGTGGAATGACGCGAGCTGAGCTAATCAAGCCGAATGGGAAGGCCTTTGCTACGGTATGTGTGTCATTGCCCTTGCATTTCCCATGCCATGTGCCATGCCCCTACCGTGTTCCATGTCACATGCCCTTTCCTTTCCAGGTCCCATTGCCTCTTCCATGCGTCATGCCCCGTCCATGTGCCATTTCCTTCCGTGTGGTGCCCTTGTATCTTTGAGGTAAGGTGCACCTGTTACACCTCTCACAACTGCTTTTGAGGCGCCTCAAAAGTATTTCCGTATGGTGCCCTTGTATCTTCAGGTGCATCTGTTGCACCTCTCAAATCACAACTGCTTTCTGTTGGAACTCCTGTCAGCATCACATTCCTTATGTTTCTCCTGTGCCCACTCTCCCTTGCTCCCTTTGCCCCCTGGTCAATGCCTGCCTGCCTGCGGTGCTAGCAGCTAGCAGCAGCCAACATCAGCAGCGACATGCTCTTCTACTCCTCTGCAGAGGTCAGTCATTTGCCAGCCCACCTCCTTGATCTGAGTTGACCTCACCTCCTCCCACCTCAGTCTTCCTGCACCTCCTCCAGGCCAGTTCCCTCCCACAGCTCGTGCCTCGTTCTCCCCATTACTTCCTGCCTGCCACTGAAAGCCTCTTTCCCCTCTCTTTCCCTTCTCCCACTACCTGCCTTCTGTTGATCCCTTCACTGGCTCCTTCTCACTCTCTTCTCATCTTTTTTTTCCAACCCCCTTCTCCAACCCCCCCTCACCCCCACCTCCTCCCAACCCACCTCCCCACCACCCCACCCCCCCCCCCCCCCCCTCCCCCCTCCCCTCTGTCTCACCCCTCCAGTCAGGGGCGTACATCTTCAAGCCCACAGCGGACGGTGCGCTGCCATTCCGCAGGAAGCAGAGGGTGCCGATCCGCGTGCTGCGGGGGCCCATCGTGGAGGAGTTTCACCGGCAGGTGGCTCGTGACGTCTCTGAAGTGAGAACTGTACACGGCTCGGCTCGGGTGCTCTGGGATTGTTTTCTAGTATTTGTCTGTCGTTTCTGCAGATACACCGGGTGTATCCTGGGAAGGATTGCAGAGGGCTTGAGTTCCTTGGGTGTGCATCTGAGTGCCTCTCAACCATCCGATATGTCGTCTTCCCCGCGAATGCATCAACCTATCAAATGGAACTTGTGTGCTCGTGTCATATCTTCGTGTCGTATCTCCCCGGCAGGTGTATCGAGTTTACCCGGGGGAGAATTATGCTGAGCTTGGCTACTCCATAGGGCCTCTAGTTGAGGATGGGTCTCTGGGGAAAGAGGTCGTTGCCTCCTTCTCCTCCTCCATTCAGAGCGGCGATGTCTTTTATACCGACTCCAACGGCCGCGACTACCTCGAACGAGTGAGCTAATATGGGGGATAGCACAGATTGATGTAAGATGATAGGGGCCAAAAGGATCAAATAGGAGCTTCTACGTGTACAAGGATCTAAGCTCATAGCTTAGATCCCTGTACAGCCCGCCTCCCCTCCCCTTCCGCTCCTCGCCCCCTTTTTCCCCCCTCTCCCTCCCCTTCCTCCCCTCATCCCCACCCTTTCCCCCCCTCTCCCGCCCTCTTCTTCCCCCCTGTTCTCCCACCTCCCTCGCTGCCATTCTTCCCGCTCTCAGGTTCGCGACTCTCGCCCAGACTGGACCCTCTCAGTGAAGGAGCCCATAGCAGGGAACTTCTACCCCGTGAGTTCCCTTGTGAGGCGCTTCAAATGTGCTGCCCTGCAGGTTCGCTTCGCGACTCTCGCCCTGACTGGACGCTTTCAATCAAGGAGCCCATAGCAGGGAACTTCTACCCCGTGAGTAACTCAGTCACGCAGTTGCTTAGAAGGCAGATCCCGTGTCAAACAACTCACAGCAGGTATTGAGCACCAGATTCTGCTCTATCGTGCTTCCAGCCCACTGTCGTTTTGCGTTTCCTCGAGCCTCATTTCTCGCACCTCCTCCCTGCTTCCCCCTGCATTTCCCAGGTGACGGTGGGTGCGTTCATCGGGGATGGCGAGTCACAGCTGTCGCTGCTGGTGGACCGAGCAGCCGGTGCTGCCAGCCTGGCATCCGGACAGCTCAAAGTCATGCTGCACCGGTGAGTGCACTGAAGCAGAGGCATTTTTTCAGCCTGGGTCCACACCACACCACAGCTCAGGTGCAGTGAAAATGGCCTCAGCTGTAGTATGTCTCATTTTTTGTCTGAACTTGTCTCATTTTTTTCAGCATCCTTTTATCCCCCCATCCAAATCTCCAGCCGATTGGACACTGTGGACAACAAGGGGGTCGGAGAGCCTTTAAATGAGGATGTTTGTGTGGAGGATAAATGCTACCACCTCGTCGTAAGTGTTAATGGATCTCTCAAACAAAAAGCCGTGAGCATTAAGACGCAGACACAGTTTCTTTCATGATTAGACCCTGACAACACCAGGACTCGACACAGCTTGTTTCCAGTAATTCCGTGTCTCTGCATTCTACCCCTAGCCCTATGTGCCCAAGTAATTTACACACTCAACATTCCCTCCCCTGTGCATGCAGGTGGTGGGGTCGCTGCGTTTTGCAGTATTGCCAGATACACGGGCACGGCCAGGCACACCCCCACAGCAGGCATCAGGTGGGGCGGCAGCCGGGGCCTTCTGGCGGAAAGATCACATGGATGGCAAAGATTGCAGCAGGGCAGAGGTAAGGGGGCAGCAGGACAAAGATGCACGGGCACGGACTGAACAAAAACACACACATGTGCCAGGAACGAGCTGGGAACAGCATGGACGGAAGGATATATATTCTGGCAGAGGATGTCTATTGGTAGCAAATTAAACTATTATTCTCATCCACAGTACCTCCAGTGTCGTTATAGCCACATTTCGAGGCAGCTGGTAGCTATTTGAGGGAGCTGCAGCCTTTCCTCTGGTGCTGCCACGTGTCCCTGCCCTTGCCACCTCCTGCTGAGCGCTTTGGAAGAGGGAGTGGCGCCAAAGGAACCCCGTCGCTCCTGTGCTGGCAACTGCGGGATCAGCAGAGCCGTCGGCTCGTTCGGCTGAAGCAGGGTCTGAACTGGCGGCAGCAGCAGCAGCTGCTGCTGCTGCGGTTTCTGCTGCCTCAGCTGCTTCTGCTGCTTTTGCTTCTGCTGCTGCCAGATCCTCTGTGGACTGAAGGGAAGGAAGTTAAGAACAGAGGGGAAGCACACGAGGAGGGAGTGTAAGGACAGCAACAGGCAGATCAAGTGGAGGCGGCAATCTCTGAATGTGAAGTTGAACCCTGCCTACACCCTCACATGTCTGTGTGCACAGCCTGGCTTGCACACAGATAGCCCGTATCACCTCACAGGAGCTATCACCAGGAGATATTCTCCTGAGACTGGCTCACCTATATGAGGTATGTCAAGGATGCGCTTGGAGCATACCATTTGACACAAATATTCGGATTTTTTAGTGCCTTTGCAAAATGAGTCATCCATTTCCATACCTCTCCCCGCTCCAACCTCTCTTGCTTCCTCACCCATCACATCTCCCTCCCACCACGCTCTCTCCCTCCTCCCGGTGATGTTACGACTGACCCTGGCAGGCTCAAGAGCACCCATTATTTTCCCGGCTCGCAGTGGTGAAGCTCCGGCAGCTCTTTGCCGGTCGAGAGGTAGGCAGCCTTGCTGCGATTTAAGGATTTGTCATTTGTCATGTTTCGTGAGTGTTATCTCATTGTTGCACAATGTACACGTTGCCCTCTCTATCTTCCAAACACGCAACCATCGTACCATTGTGTTGTTTTCCTTGTTTTCTCTAACCCAGATTCTGAAGGTGACTGAACTGAGTCTCATGGCAAACCAAGAACGTTCAAGCATGCGACCCCCTTTAACATGGCAGCTTGATGAAAGTGAAGGAGGCGTGGATGTGGAGGTTATAACAGGCTGTGCCATTAATAATTCCACTTTTATTGTGGAACTTGGGCCCATGGAAATTCGGACTGTATTTGTCCAACTATCCACCTGAAGCTTTTTAAGTGAACTCTGGCGCCTTTTATGGCTGCAACTTGCAGACGTGGAGGACCAGAAACGCGGTTCCGAACTGAAGTGAACCCCCGCATGGCGAGGTAAATATCGTGAATGCCCATAAGCGCAAGGATTTTGGAGTTCACTAACCCTAAACGCAGAACGGAACTCAGAGTTGGAAGAGAGTCGTCATTGAAAATCGGAAAGCGGCGTGTTCGTACTTGGTTGACGCCTAATTGCCAAGCGTTTTCTAAACCCTTTAGGCTCCTTGTGTGTTCTTCTTCTCGAGCTAGACGGACAACGACCTTCCTGAACAAAACCTGTTTGACTTTGCCGAGTCACTGACAATTCTTTCTGTGACTCACCAGCCAAACCCAAGGACCCAATTCACCATTCACGAAGCAGGAGCCACATACACTGATGAAATTGATGATCCAAAATCAACGCCTAGAGAGTGGATGTGGGGATCATCGCCGCTGTGACCCGCCTGTCCCACAATTCTGGAGCTCCCTGTGCACTTTTTGGTAGTGCGATCCCAAATGTTCCATTTGGTCCATCACAACCGCTTCAGATGTCCAATGACTGTTTTAAATCGCAAAGCACCGTACTGAACCCAAATTTAACGAACTTCCAGCTAACGCCCACTTGGCAGTTCCTAGAGTTGAAGTCTGTTCTCGAGGCCCAGACTACAGTCAGCTAACGGCATCGTAGTTGCAATCCGAAGGTATCGACATTCCGTAGCGGTTAGTCTGTACTCTCCCAAGAATCACTTGATTATGTTCCGACCGCTGCAAGCCGTAAAATAATCGCCTCTCCAGTCGGCCTCTTGAATTTACTTCTTAGCCTGTCGAAATCTGGTCCGGCGTGAGCGAGACCAGGTTCCTGGCATCTCATTGACATGATAGCTCGATTCAGGGGCATCGCGATGCTTGTAAGACGACCTCGGGTGTAAAGGACTCATTACGGAGACTGTACAGGGGTGACGATGGCGAGCTTAGAGTCGACACCAGCGGCGGGATATGCGGAGGAGAGAACGAGGAGCTCATCACTCCCTCGCGGCGAGTCAGAGCCGGGATCCGACCGCAGGTGATAATTGAACAGAACCGAAAGGGGGACTGGAGAAGCTTTTGCGAGTTAGGCATTTATGCGGAATCGAATCATCCATCCTGGTTTGCAATCCTCTGCAATTTCCCGGATCGCTAATCAGTAACTAGGGTTATCAGAGGGAATCATTAGAGAAGTTTCTTATTCACCCACCTTTCTGTTTCCTCAGAAGTCAACGGAGACCTAGCAGCGGCCTGTCCACGTCAGCGATCGAGCAGATATCATGGGAGATGAAGCTGGGGGTGGATTATATCAGATATTGCATTTCATCAACCTTCCATCTCCACACCTATCTGTTTCCTCAGGAACCAATTGCGACCGAGCAGCGGGCTGTCCACATCAGTAATCGAGCAGATTTCACGGGAGATGAAGCTTTGAGAAAATTTAACCGGATTCCACACTCGAACACGCCTCCCCTCCACCGTCGCACCTATCTGTTCCCGCAGGACCCGGCGGAGACCCAGCGGCGGGCTGTCGACGTCAGCGATCGAGCAGATGTCGCGCGAGGTGAAGCTGATGGGGTGGCTGTACAAGCAGTCTCAACTTAAAAAATCCGGAACACCCCCCTTCTCCCCTCTCCTCACGCCTACCTGTTCCGCAGGACACGGCGGAGACCCAGCGGCGGGCTGTCCACGTCAGCGATCGAGCAGATGTCGCGGGAGGTGAAGCTGATGGGGTGGCTGTACAAGCAGTCCAAGTCGCGGCCGTTCGGCCACCACTGGGCGCGGCGCTACTTCGTTCTGCGCGCTCAGCGCATCAGCTACTTCCGCAGCCTGCCCTGGCAGCACGAGGTGCGCGATGGAGGAGTGTGGAAGGGGGGGGGAGGGGGGAGGGGGATGGTATGGGGTAACGAGTTCTGCGGCGTCTCAAACCTAGAGACTTCATGCTGCGCGCGCAGCGCGTCAGCTACTTCCGCAGCCTGCCGTGGTAGCACGAGGTGCGCGCGCGCTAGGGGGGAAAGGGGAGAGGGGGGGAGGGGATGGGATGGGGTAACGAGTTCTGAGTCGTCTCAAACCTAGAGACTTCGTGCTGCGCGCGCAGCGAATCAGCTACTTCCGCAGCCTGCCGTGGCAGCACGAGGTGCGCTCGCGGTGGGAAGATAGTGTTACGACTTTCGCGAGGATAGCTTCTGGGATGATACGAGCTGACCGCTCTGCACCATCCCTTGGCCCCCCTTGGGAAGACTAACCACTATCCCCTTCCCCAACCCAACCATTTTCCCCAAACCACTATCCCCTTCCCCAACCCAACCATTTTCCCCAAACCACTATCCCCTTCCCCAACCCAACCATTTTCCCCAAACCACTATCCCCCTCCCCATTTCCCCCTCTCCCTTCCCCCCTCCCCTTGTCCCCACCCTCTCCTCCCCCTCAACGCCCCCCTTCCCTCCCGCATCGTTGTTCCCTGCCGCGTTGCACAGATTCCGGTGAAGGAGTTTGATCTCACGCCCAGATGTCGTGTGGAGGACACAGGCCGGATTTCCACCAACACCAAGGTCGCACCCGTGCTGCCTGTTTCTGTGTTGTGTGATGCTTGCTTGTGCGCTGCCTGTAATTGCGCTGCCTGTAATTGCGCTGCCTGTAATTGCGCTGCTTATGAAATTCTGGAGCTTTGTGCCTCAATAGGTCTGACCCTTTCAGGGCTGCTCCTGACATTCCTCTGTTTTCTGCACACTCTACTGTTTCTTTTTGTCAATTGCCAGGAGCTCTACACCTTCTGTATACACCCAGAGCTTCCCAAGCCGTGTCTGGTGGGTGTACTCCCTTACAGCATGATGAATGGCTCCTTTTCTTTGCCTTGCTCATGGGTGACCATGTACTCTCTATCATCCGTTTTTTCCCACTTGACACAATCCATGCATGCATCTACTGTTGCTTGAATGCTCTTCTGTGCCCTCCTCTGGCCCTCTTTGCCTTCCCGTTCTCCTCTTTCCCCTCCTGTAATCCTGTGCACCCCTCCCATGCTCCCATGCGCCCATCCCGCCCCCTGTCCTGTTACAGGTGGGAACCAAGGACCCTGAGCAAGTGGCGGTGTGGATGCAAGCCATCCGGGAGACAATTGAGCATGTGAGCACAGCAGGCAGTAGAGCGTGTGATGTGAGCACAGCATTAGAAATTTCTGTGGTGCATAACATGCTTCAATGAGGCGCCTCAAAGCTAGTGGCAGTGTGGATGCAAGCCATTCGGGAGACAATAGAACATGTGAGCACAGCAGCAGTAGGAGATTGAGCGGTGCAGATCATCCATTAGCATCACGTGATTGTGCTTGTGAGACCGGCGGAACCAGCTTGCCCATCGCCTCCTCCTCGCAGGTCACCCTCTCCTTGCTGCCCCTCTCTCCCAATTCTTCTTGCTCGCCCATGGTCTTGTGCTCGTGTCCTGCTTCCGCCTCCCTCCTGCCCTCTCGTCCTCTCCCTCTCACAGCACATGACATGAACGATCAGGAAGTTGCTTCCACCAGCAACCAACAGCCTGTCAGACGAGGACGGATGCTTTACATGCTCTCGAAACATCCCCCTCACCCATCTTTTCCCTTTCCCGCCCTTGTTTCCCGTCTCTCGTGGTGTTCTCCCACTCATCCACACCAGAACGTGGCGCCCACTATCAGAATGCCGCTCACTCGCCCCACCAGCACCAACAGCCTATCGGACGAGGAGGAGGGGGAAACGCCCCCTCACCCCAACATGTCCTCGTGCGTTCCCTCTCTCACCCACACCCCAACATGTCCTCGTGCGTTCCCTCTCTCACCCACACCCCACCACACCCCACCATGTCGTCCTGCATTCCATTTCTCACCCGCACCGCACCATGTCGTGCATGCACTGCACTCTAATCCAGAACCAGCACCGCTGTCTTGTTCAAGGAACAATGCGAGTTGACTTTTGAGTCGACTCAAAAGTCACTTTGTTCAAGGAACAATGCGAGTTGACTTTTGAGTCGACTCAAAAGTCACTTTGTTCAAGGAACAATGAGAATTTTCACCTCACCCCTCACGTGCTCAACACACAGCACCTGATTTTTTGCCTCTCTGCACTACTTATGACAGCAAGTTACCCATTTTCAATAACCTAGCAGAATGTCCAACCACATCCCTGTTCCCCCTCAGCTGCCGTGACTCCATGGACAGCAGTGAGCCATTCGACGGGGACGAGATGATGTAGTTGACTTGAAGGTCCGTTTTCTTCTTTTCCACCCCCCCTCCTCCCCACCCGTTTCATTCCCCCAGCTGTCGTGACTCCATGGACAGCAGTGAGCCGTTCGACGGGGATGAGATGGCGGGAGTCGACCTGGAGATATTTTCCCTTCCCTTTTGCCCCCCCCCACCCCATGCTTTCCTTCCCTCCGCTTCGTGCTTCTCTTCTCCCCAGTTGCTGTGACTCCATGGACAGCAGTGAGGCGTTGGACGGGGATGAGATGGTGGGAGATGACGTGCGTCGTGCAGGTCAGCTCCGTTCCCTTCCACTTAGCCACCCTCCATTCCATCTCTTCCCATTCTCCCCTCCGCCCGCCATTTATCCCCACCAGCTGTCGTGACTCCATGGACAGCAGTGAGCCGTTTGACGGGGATGAGATGGGAGCAGACGACCTGCCAACACCGCAGCGACTGCTGCTCGACAGACGAGGCTCCATTGGCTTCGGTGGGTGTGCCTTGTGGCTTTTCTACTAAAAAAATCCCCCTTTGCTGGCAAGCAGTGTGGTGCAATGCGCACGTTGAAGCGTGCCCAAGGCCTACCTTTCTCAACCCGCGATTCTCCCTCTCTCCCCTTTTCTTTTCTCAAACCCAGGCCCCCCCATGGAGCTGGGCGGCATGCTTGAAGCCATGGTGGCGATGCGCAGTGCATCAACGGCGTCAGGCATTGCATCCGACGGCTCCTGGCGCCTCATCAAGCTATCCAACGGTGAGTAATGGCCATGTGCATCCAGTTGCAGGGGGCAAGCGGGCATGCATGGCCACAGCCAGCCACTGGTGAATGAAGCATTGCACACTGCACATGCACATGCACATGCACATGCACACTGCACATCCACATGCACATGCACATGCACATGCACATGCACTCTGCACATGCACATCCACATGCACATGCACATGCCTTAAATTGTACCATTCACACGTCCACTCCCCATGGCCCATTCCACAGGCCTGCGTTTTTTTGAGGAGCTGAACGAAGAGCGGGGGCAGGCGGGCATGTGTGGCAGCATCTGGTGAACGAAGCATTGCGCACTGCACGCACATGCCTCATACTATCGCACCATTTGCACGTTCACTCCCTATGCCCTATTCCACAGGGCTGCGTTTCTTTGAGGAGCTGAACGAGGAGCGGGGGCAGGCGGGCATGTGTGGCAGCCTGCCGTGTCTGAGTGCCGTGGGAACGGTGGATGCCCCCAGCGATGCCGTCTTCCGACTCGTGCTCGACCTCTCCTCCTCTCGCAACGAGTACGGATCTCATCCCCCTAACGCTCAGTTGCGTAGATCCCTTTTCGTGATCTCTTTTGAGGCATCTCAAACCTCCCAGTGATGCCCCCTTCCAGCTCGTGCTACTACTCCTCCAATCCTTCCTCTTTCACCCTCTCTCAACAGGTGGGACGTGGCCTACAGGGCAGCACGAATGGTGGAAGCACAGGACGGCCACACAGACTGCATCCACTACCGCTTCCGCCCTCTGCCAGTCAAACCTAGACCCAGTCTTCCCATCCCATCCCCTCCTTCTCTCCCTCCCCCTTCCCGTGCTTCCCTGTTGACAGGTGGGACGTGGCGTATGGAGGAGCATGCATGGTGGAAGCTCAAGACGGCCACACAGACTTCATCCACTACCGCTTCTGCCCACTACCAGTCATCCCTAGACCTAGCCTTCCCATCCACTCCTTCTGTCCCTCCCCCTTCCTGTGCTTCTCTGTTGTCAGGTGGGACGTGACATACGGGGGTGCACGAATGGTAGAAGCTCAAGACGGTCACACGGACTGCATCCACTACCGCTTCCGACCGCTCCCAGTCGGCTTCGGCCCCTTCACCCTCACAGCGCGCGACGTGTGCCTGCGGCGCTACTGGCAGCGCACAGGCGACGGGTGCTACGTGGTCCTTTACCAATCCATGGAGCACCCCCTATGCCCCCCTGTCATGGGCTGTGTGCGTGCCAATCTCACCTACGGAGGGTTTATCATCGCCCCAGCGGGCCCATCCGCGATCGGACGGTCGGTAGTGATGCATGTGTTGCAGATGGATGCAAAGGGGTTGCTGCCGATGTGCAGCGGTGTTGCGACCGAAGTGCATTTCTACCTGCTGTCGAGGGTTGCTGGGATCCGGGAGTTTTTCGCGCAGACGAGGGGGGATTCGCTGGCTGCTCTGCTAGGGTTGAGAGACACGCAGCAGGCTACAGCTGCTGCTACAGCCGCGGCTGTAGCGGCTGCGGAAGGGAGGGAGCTTGGCGGGGATCGGAGGAAGGGGAGCAGGCGGGAGCGGGAGGACTGGCGGATCGGGCCGATACCAGAAGGGGGAGGGGAGGGGTTTGAGGAGCCGGAGGGGGAGGGATGGGAGAGGAGGAGAGGCAGCAGCGGGGACGTGATGGGTGGTGAGTTCAGCGGTAGCGACGCCGGGAGCACTGTTTCAGAGCCCTTACCTGGCACTAGCAGCTTCTTTGGTTCAAGAGGAGCAGGAACAGCAGCAGGAGACGCAGCAGCGGCTGCTAAGGCTCTTCTGAGTGAAACCCTCCCTGTCGCCTCTCCTCGGTTCTGGCAGCTAGGTTCCCGACCCTCCACCGGGTCGAGACTAGCAGGTTCGGCAAGGGCGGCAGGTTCGGTAGACCCTTGGGCATGGGCGTACAAGACGGGGAACCTGGCCCGGGGGTCGCCGATGGGGGGGATCAACTGCTGGAGCGAGGCAGAGGTTCGGAACTTTACAGTGCGGTCGAAAAGCTATTTGAGGGATAAGATGAAGCAGAGCGCGGGGCAGCCGGGGATGTCTTTGGTGGCTGTGGATTGGCTGAAGCGCGTTGAGAGGATCGATCATGTGGTGGAGCTGAAACGGACTCCTGTGCATGTGAGTGTGCTCTCGCTTTTTGTGCATTTTGCACCTATGGTGGTTCAAGGGTGGGAATGGGCCAGCGCTGGTGGCTGTGGGTTGGCTGAAGCGTGTTGAGAGGATTGCCCACGTGGTGGAGCTCAAGCGCACCCCCGTGCATGTGAGTGTGCTTTTTCTGTTGCGTCTGGTAGGATCTCTTCCATTCTAGAAACAGCCCTATTTCCCCGCGTTTCCCCCATCTCTTCCCATCTGCCCACTCAACCCTATCTTCCTCTGTGCCTTGTCATGAGGGCATGCATGAGATGCTGATGGTTATCAGATTCACCCCACGCGCCCCTGCCTCCTCTCGTGTGCCCAATGCACCTCCATAGCACTCCTTGCCCGTTGCCCCTCACGCCCATCCCCCCTCACCCCTTCCTTCAGGGCATGCGGGAGATGATGGCAAGCAGTGACGCCTCATGCGCCCCTGCCTCCCCTCATGTGCCCAATGCACCTTCCTAATGCCTATTGCCCCATCGGCCTTCATGCCCATCCCCCCTCACCCCTTCCATCAGGGCATGTGCGAGCTGATGGCCAGCAGTGACGCCTCGTACGCCTCTGCATCTTCACTGCTCATCACCTCTCATCACTTCTCGTACACTCCCATCACCTCTCTCATCCCTCACGCCCATCTCCCCTCACGCCCATCTCCCCTCACGCCCATCTCCCCCCACCCCTTCCATCAGGGCATGCGGGAGATGATGGCCAGCAGTGATGCCGCATCGCGGCCGTACTTCTTTATTGTGAATATGCAGGTCCGTGGGAGAGGGGATGACCGGGACAGTGGGTAGTGGGGGGTTGGGGGAGTGGGGGAGTAGGAGGGTGGGGCAGCATTCCTCAACGCGACCGTTCTTCATCATTGTGAGAATGCAGGCATGTGCGGGAGGTGGGGTGGTCCATGTTATGTTATTAACGCTCGGTGCTAGTTAGCGCTGGCGGATGCTGCTTAGTGTTCTTGAGTAGCGCCATAGTTCCAGCTTTCTCGCTTGTCCTTGATCCTATGCTTTCTCAAACTATCAACCACGACTACATACATCCCTCCCATTCTCTCCCATGCACCAGGTGCCAGCGGCACAGCAGTACAGCATGGTGTTCTACTGGGCCATGGAGGAGCGGTGAGTGGGCACTGACACTCGTTGCCAGCCAGCCCAGTCACCCTTGATCCTGGACTCCCATTTTCTCACCCCACCAGGTGCCAGCAGCGCAGCAGTACAGCATGGTGTTCCACTGGGCCATGGAGGAGCATTGCGCTGGCAACTGATACATGACCAATGCTGTGCAACACATGTGACACATCAACCACATGCCACCCGCTGCCCCCCACACCACCAGGTGCCAGCAGCGCAGCAGTACAGCATGGTGTTCTACTGGGCCATGGATGAACCGCCAACAGAGGCGTCAATACTGGGGCAGTTCATCAATGGGGATGACATCTTCCGCAACACACGCTTCAAGCTCATTCCCCGCATCCACCAAGTGGGTGCTCTGTGTGCTCTGTGTGCTCTGTGTGCTCTGTGTGCTCTGCTATGCCACCCTCCGTGCAGCAGACATGTGCCACTTTGATCTGCCGTGCTTGTGCACTCACCCTCTCATGTCTCCATATATTGGCCATACTTTGATGTGAGGTTTTTTTTTTTTTTTTTCCTGGCATGGGCGCTGGTGCATGGCAGGGTGCATGGGTGGTGAAGCGGAGTGTGGGGACGACGCCGCTCATCATTGCTGGTGCTCTCACCGTGCAGTACTTCAAAAGACCCGACTACTTTGAGGTACAGTGATCTGCACATATGTTGTGGAAGTTGAATGGCACTGTCTGTATTGCATGAGCATTCTTTAAATGGATTAAGGTGATTTTTTGTCTGTACTGTTTCCACACTCCCCGTATGACACCACTGAAATGCAGGTGGATGTGGATATTGGGTCATCAGCTGTGGCCAATGGGGTGGTGAGGTTCGTGCTTGGATACGTCCGTACACTCATCATTGACATGGCGTTCTTGATCCAGGTATTGTATTGGCATTCAATAATGCCTCTTCTTTTCTTTGTGCGTTATTCATCCTCTGTTTGTGTTGTGGTGGTTTGTAATAAATTGCTTATGGTGTACGCTGTTTCTGTTACTTGCAGGGAAACACAGATGAGGAGCTCCCGGAGAAGCTTCTAGGAACCATTCGCATTTCACATCTAGAGCCAAACGCAGCGTTAGACATGGACCTTGACAATCCAGAGCCACCCCCTCATCCCGTCTCTTCCCATGAAGATCCTAAATCCTGATTGAATGGTGTTTTTCTGGCATATAATTTGCTTTTCCATTCAATCAATCTTACCCTCAGTTTTTCCATCCCGTTCAGAAATTATTTCGTGGTACCAAGGTGTACAGACGGGGGGTGTCACGGCTGCATTTTACTAATTTGACAGGAATAAAATACACAGCATCGGATATAACATATACATGGATGGAGGGAAACGTTTAAGGTACAGTAGTCGGTTCTGATTTGGTGGTTTCCTTTGCCAGTTCTCTAACTTCAAGGTGCTGTTCGCCAGCACCATTACGGTATATCAAAAAACCACGGGATAACGACGGGATCAAGAAGGTGGGTCTCGCCTTCCTGATCCCGTCAGTTAGAGTTCGTTAACCTCCGTCAGCTTGGTCAGCCCGTGAAAAAAGTGCCGAGCATCACCTACCGTCCAAACCCTAAACCAACAAACAAAATGGGCGTCTGGCGAACGCCCACTTTTCTCCACCAAATCTAACAGTTCGACGGCATCTGGAAGCGGGGACAAAACTTCGTTCCCAGGCAAAATGCCATCCCCTAGCCATGGAGAGAATTGCTCCAGTGCCTTGTTTGGTGATTCGCTCTTGCCCGCGTGTCCCCGAATTGCTCGAGTGGCCATCCAATTCAGTGATAATTGTTCGAGTGGCCATGCCAGGGCATTTTCGATGTGTTTTTTTTCCCTGGCACATAACCCTACAAGGGTTCGTACCCACGAAATTCCTCGTTCGCACAACAGTAGATGCGCGGTCATTTTCGGCCCAATGCGCGACCAATGAGCGCGCGGGCAATTACATCAGCGATCATAAACTGCAACGCCAGAGCATAAATGCACGAACATATTATTGACCGCGCACGATTGATCGATAATATGTTTCTTGCCCTTTTTGGCAATGCGCGTCCAATCACGCACGGTCATATAATTCACGACCATATATTTAGGCGATAAAGCTTCGCCCAACAACCAATATGAGCGCGCATATACTACCATTAGTTCTATCATATGTCCGGTCCATATAAAACCATGCATATCAAATGCCATACATATATTCTCTGCTATTAATTTAAGCCCGTCGTACTAGAAATAATATTGTATCGTGGCCTATCATAATATTAAGCCCATCATACCGTGGTCCATAATATTGTATTGCCGGTAATATGGTTGCAGAAATAATATGTTCGGCAGCATAATATTAATTTAAGCCCAGCATAATATGCTGCCACCACGGTTATGATGGGCTTAAATTAGTAGCAGAGAATATATTTATGGCATTTGATATACATGGTTTTATATGGACCGAAAATATAATAGAACTAATGGTAGTATATGCGCGCTCATATTGGTTGTTGGGCGACCCTTTATCGCCTAAATATATGGTCGTGAATTATATGACCGTGCGTGATTGGACGCGCATTGCCAAAAAGGGCAAGAAGCATATTATCGACCAATCGTGCGCGGTCAATAATATGTTCGTGCATTTATGCTCTGGCGTTGCAGTTTATGATCGCTGATGTAATTGCCCGCGCGCTCATTGGTCGCGCATTGGGCCGAAAATGACCGCACATCTACTGTTGTGCGAACGAGGAATTTCGGGGGTATGAACCCTTGTAGGGTTATGTGCCAGGGAAAAAAAACACCTCGAAAATGCCCTGGCATGGCCACTCGAGCAATTATCACGGAATTGGATGGCCACTCGAGCAATTCGGGGACACGTGGGCAAGAGCGAATCACCAAACAAGGCACTGGAGCAATTCTCTCCCTAGCCATGCCATCGTTGAGCAATTTTTGGTCAGCGGGCAGCACAAGGGTCAGGGATGAGCAAATTTCGCGCCATTGGGGGGAAGGTGGGGATGGACCTTCCCGATGCGGTTGAGAAATTTCGCCTTTCGGGCGCGCGTAGTTTCTCGGGCGGCATTTCGCCCAAACCTCGGAGGAGGGTTCCGCCCCCGTTTCCATATGCGGTCGCGATGCTGATGCCATCGTTTCTTGTTGAAGAAAGGATTTGCTGGCGAACAGCACCCAAATGTTTACAGAAATAATTGCACAGTGAAGGCCGTTACAATCAGATACAGACAGAACTACGGGTCGCCCACATTTGTCATCTTCGAAGCCCCGAACAGTCGCTTATCAAGTAACTGTATTTTTTTTAGCTTTGGGTGTTCTGGTTCCTCCACGTGTAGGCCAATCATTGTACATATTCTCAGACCAGATCCACTCGTAGACCACGTCAGCACCACATTATGGTAGCCGAAGTGCACACAGCAGTGCGCGACACGACCCCCAGTCAACACGGGTGTTTTGCACTCGGTTGATCTCATCCAATCAAAGCCTCCCGCCCAGGCCTTCACCAATGGTTCCCTGGCGCCCCGGAACTTCAAGGGACATGCCATGTCATGTCTCCACACGCACATCAGCCAATAGCATAACTGATTTCCATGTACCCCGTGTCACCGAGTCAAGCACAATATTCCAGGCTGGTCTCAAACAGAAATTATCGGCACGGTTTGTTTTGTGGACACTTTTGTTTGATTTTCAAATTGGGACAGTGAAGGCCAAAAGGTGGTAAAAGAAATTGCGGGGTTTGCTTTATTTCACAGCAGCGGTTGCCATTCTCGGTTTCATGAATACGCCCCTGATGGTCTGACGCAGACACGTATGCTGCAACAGAACCTGGAAAGAAATTGTGCAGGAGATTAAAGTCGAGCAGCAGTGAAAACCCCGTGAGTGAATTTGGTAGGAAATGTGCAAGGGCCATGCACCTTTGGCTGTGACCGGCGTGGTGCCCTGTGTCGAGGATCCTAGAGTGAGTCAAACTACAGTTTTCGAGCCTACTATGATCCCCACGCAATGATGACGTTACATTTCGCTGCGATTGCAACTGCAAATAGGGTTGCCGTCGGATCCCCACGGAAGCGCGAGTTCTGGCGAGTACTCGGCGGTGCTAGATCCTCGAGTATAAATTGTTTCCCGGAAACTCAGCGCATATTCTTTCTTTACAAGAGAAAAACTGCGTTATCGCTGCCAATGCAATGCGTGAACGGTATTTCCCCCAGCAGCAGCAGCAGCAGCAGCAGTCGCTTTCCCCGGCGCAATTTTCGAGGGGGGCGCCTTCTCAGTCTCAACAATCAGTCAATGCAGTCAACGCGCCTGTCAACGCGCTCAACGCGTCGGTAAACACCTTCCATACAGCCAATGCGGCCACCGTCGGGCCAGGAACCGTCACCTCCGGCTCCCTCGGGATGCCTTACGATCAGTTTCGCGACATCCAGCGATTATGGGAGTCGCAGGGGTCGCATCGTGCTGTCGCACAAGGAAGCGCTGTCGCACAACAAGGAAGCACTATCGCACAAGATAGATCTTTCGCACAGCACGAAAGCGGAACAAACAACAACCCCCAAGGCCAAGCTACATGGTCCTTTGGCGGGTTTTTTTCCGCTGATGGTCCTATTTCCCCGTCTGGAAGCATGGTGGGCGGAAGGAGCGGCGGAATGGCGAGGGGGAGCAGTTTTGGCGAAGGGATTGGCGGAAGGCGGGGGGGATTCGCCGCGCCCGCGCTGCCTGGCGGAGTTATTGGTCCTCCAGGCCTGGGGGGCGGAAGAATCACGGGGGTTGCAGCAGCAGGGGGAGGCGGAGCGGTGGGATATACCGCGGACAGCGCAACCATAGGCGCGGGGATGGCGGAGGGGAGGCTGGAAAGCGTGCTGGCGGAGGCGCTACTTGGGGGAGGGACTTTTCAGGCGCTAGCAGGGGGAGGTGTTTTTCAGGCTCTGGCAGGGGGAGGTGCTTTTCAGGCACTGGCAGGGGGAGGTGCTTTTCAGGCTCTGGCAGGGGGAGGTTCTTTTCAGGCTCTGGCAGGGGGAGGTGCTTTTCAGGCTCTGGCAGGGGGAGGTGCTTTCCAGCGGCAGTCTGCAGCTCCCCAGGTGTCACCTGCAAGCAGGGAGGTGGGATCTGGTGCAGGTGGGAATCTGGCACTACTTGAGCTGATGAGAATGTCAGGGCTCGCTAATAGCCTCCCTCTCAACCGTACTGTATCGAGCAGCACCGGGAGCGGATACCACTCAGCTAGCCTACCAACCAACTTTAACCCGAATCACGCTGGTACAAGGAATCAGCCACTGCAGTCTTTCTACGGGCAGCCCGGGCAGATGGCAACGAATCCCGAGCCTGGGAACCAGGATCGCGGGCAGCAAGCAGCGAGAAGCTGGGGGGGAGCTGGGGGGTTGGGTTTGGAGGGAGTGATGGCAGGTGAAAGGTTGGGGGTACCGGCCAGTGAGGGGTTGGGAGTAACGGCGGGTGAGGGCTTGGGGGTTCTGGCCGGCTGTCACGACCTGACTGCAGTTCTGGCTGCTGCTGCTGCCGCCGCCGCTAGCAGTGCGCATGGCGCTAGCAGCCCATATGGCGGAGCTAGCAGCGCACATGGCGGCTTCCCCAGGTCTGGGCTAGGAGGGGGAAGCACAGGGGGAGGGTACGTGAGCGGGGGTATGGTGGGCGGAGGTTGTGTGAGCGGAGGCGGTGGGGGAGGAGGCGCGGGGATGGCGGAAGGGGAGAGCGATGGGGAGGGGTCGGGGGAGGAGGAGGAGGGCGGAGATGGCGCCCCTCGCGCCAGCACCAACGCCAAAGGCCAATGGACGCCGGTACGTGCCTGTGTTGCAAGATGTAGTAATTGATGGTACGTGCCCGCATTGTCGCAGGCGTTTTCTAAATCAGAACTCTCAATCAAAACCCCCTGCATTGCAGGGTAGGTAGGGGTTGATCGATGACATGATAAGACATGCCTGTGTTGCTGGGAAGTGACTTCATGGTGCGTGCGTGCATTGCAGCCAGGCTTGGTCTATGGTAAAGGAGTGTAATAGTTTCAGCTCAGCTCATTTGCAAGGCTCCTCTCTCCCGCTCTCGCCTACCGCCTCCCCCTCTTCCCACCCGATTTTTGAGTAGCCTCAAAAATTGCTTCCCCTCTCCCCATCCGTCTTCCCTCTTCCGGCCCGCGGTTCCTCTCCCCACCCACCTCCCACCTCCCACCTCCCACCTCCCACCTCCCACCTCCCACCTCCCCTCCCATCCCCCTCCCCCCCCCACCCCCCACCCCCCTTGTATTCCCAACAGGAGGAGGACGAGATTTTGAGGAGGCTGGTGGAGAGAGGGGGGGCGCGGCGGTGGTCCGCCATAGCAGCGCACCTCAAGGGGCGCGCGGGGAAGCAGTGCCGCGAGCGCTGGCACAACCACCTGAAGCTGGGGATCAAGAAGGACGCGTGGACGGAGGAGGAGGAGGAGACGCTTATAGAGGTGCACAAGCGCGTGGGGAACAAGTGGGCGGAGATCGCAAAGCTGCTGCCTGGGCGGACGGATAACAATGTGAAGAATCACTGGAACTCGACTGTCAGGCGGAAGGAGGATGTTGGGCGGACCGGTGGGAAGGCTGGGGAAAAGCCTACCTTGCTGCTGAGGTATATCCAGTCGTTGAAAGGGGGGAAGGATGGGGGCGGGGGGAAGGGGGGGAAGGGCGCGGGGGGGAAGGATGGGGGACGGGGGAAGGAGGTGGCAGGAAAGGAGGAAGAGGGAGGGGAGGAGATGGGTCGAGGGGGGGAGGAGGGAGAGGAGGGAAGGGGAGATGTGAAAAAGGAAGGAGGGGAAGAGAAGCCAGGTGGAGAAGAGGGAGGAGGGACGGGAGAGGAAGGGGAGGAGGGAGAGAAGGGAGAGAAGGGAGAGAAGGAGAGAGTAAAGGGAGGAAAGGATGAGCGCGAGATAGAAGGCTTGCAAGGAGGGAGGGAAGGGAGGGAAGGGAGGAAAGGGAGGGCCGATGGTGAAGTTGGGGATAATGATGGGTGTGGGGGTGGGGATGGGGACGGGAATGGTAATAGGGATGCAGGGCACAGGGAGAAAGAGGGGGAAGGGTCAGCTTTAAGAAGAGAGGAAGAAAATGCTTTGGGGAAAGACAGAAGAGAGAAGAGAGAAGAGACACAGGCAGGGGAGAAAAGGGGAAAAGAGCTACAGGCAAGGGAGGAGAGGGGAGGAGAGACGCGGATAGAAGAGGAGAGCAGAGAAGAGGAACGAGCAGGAGAGGAGGCCGAAGATATGGAAGTTGGGGAGAAGGAAAAGAAGGAAGGGACGGAATCAGGGGGGGGGGGTGGGGGACGGAGTAGGGAGCAAGGTGGATGCAGAAGCAGCACAGAGGCCCCACAATGGCAGAGAGGCAAGCAGTGACGCTGCGAAAGGGGCAAATGAAGGGAAAGGAGAGGTGAGGCAGTCCCATGTAAACGCAGAGGAGCAGAGGAGCGAAGTAATGGGAGAGGAGCAGATGCGTTTGGCAGAAAAGGTGGGGCCTGACACGGGCAGGCAGACGTGGGCAGGAAAGGAGGAAGAGAAGGAGCAGCAGACATCTGAGTTGCCTCAACAGACAAGGGCAAGGAAGGAGGAGAAGCAGGGAAAGGAGGAGGAGGAGGAGGGGAAGGAGGAGGGGGGGAAGGGAGAGGAGGGGAAGGAGAGGAAGGAGAGGCAGGAGAGGAGGAGGACGAGAGGAAGAGGAAGGTCCGAGGGTGGGGCAAGGGCAGCAGAGGATAAGGGCGATGCAGTCTCAATGGATATCGATGTGAGTGGAGAGAAGGTGGGAGGAGGGATGGGGGTGGTTTGAATGGGTAAACGATCTTAAAAACCTGATATTCTCATGCGTCCCGTCCAACATCACTCCCCATCCTTGCACTCTTACCCTGGGCTGTCGCTCTGCTGACTTCTCCCGTTCCCTCCCATTCCCCTGCCTTACCCCTCGAATCCTTCCCCTGCCCCATCAGACCCACCACGTCACGTCCCCTACCAGCAGCAGCCTTTCCATCCGAGGCTCGTCAGCAGCAGGGAGGGCAGCAGCACAAGCGATTCGAGGAGAAACCAGAGACTCAAAACTGATGGGTGCAGCAGCAGCAGCTTTGTCTTCTCACTCTCTTTCCTCCAGCCATCCGCGTTTTGAGACGACTCGACACTCGATCAGAGCAGAAACGGCCTCAGCAGCATCGTCCTTACGCTCGCATTCTTTCAGCAATGCTCGCCTCTCCTCCCCCCATGTCCCTTTTGAGTCGACTCAAAACGCAGAAACTGCCGCAGCAGCAGCGTCCTTACGCTCGCGTTCCTTCGGCAATGCACACCTCTCCTCCTCCCATGTCCCCAGTTTTGAGGCGCCTCAAAACTCCTTACCCTCGCGCTCCCTTGGCAATGCCCACCTCCCCTCCTCTCGTGTCTCTCTCAAATCCGCTTCTTTCCCCCGCGCTCCCGCTTCCCTCCCGCCCTCCTGGCCCCCCACCCACTCGCTCCCAAATGCTCCCACAGCCAACACCACTGCTTCCGCTGCTGCTGCCGCCGCCACCGCTGCTGCTGCTGTTGCTGCTGCCACTGCAGCTGCTGCTTCAAGCGAAGCTGCTGCTGGTGGGGCTACTAGTGTAACAACTGGGGCTGCACCTGCCATTGCTCCCACAGGGGACGGTCACAGGGAAACAAACCCACGGCAATTCCAAGGCCCCAGTGTGGCTGACTCAAGGAGACAACCCACAGGTGCAGGGGAGGCGATGCTGGGACAGGAGCATGCAGCCCAGGCGTCTGTAGGGCAGATGCAGCCCACAGGGGAGAGGCACAGGGAAACAAACCCACGGCAATTCCAAGGCCCCAGTGTGGTTGACTCAAGGAGACAGCCCTCAGGTGCAGGGGGGGTGGAGATGATGGGACAGGAACATACAGCTCAAGGGTTTGTAGAGCAGACGTGTATGGGGCAACCGTTGGTGGGGCAACAGTTGGTGGGACAGCAGACGGGTGTGGGTCAACCATTGGTGGAGCAGACGGGTATGGGGCAGTCACTGGAAGCACAGACGAGTGTGGGTGACCAGAGGGATCTAGCACGAGCTATGCTTCAGCTAGATGCTCTCTCCTCTGCTGGCCTGCTCATGGGCCTCCCTGCTGCTGCCGCTGCTCCCTCTGCTGCTGCTGCTGCTGCTGCTGTTTCTACTTCTGCTGCTGCGCCTTGCTCGTCTGCGCCCACTCGTGCCCCTCCTGCGTCCCCCTCCACCGTCTCCTCCCCCCGCTCCGCCCCCTCCTCTCGCCCCCCATTCCCTCCCTTACCTGCCGCAGCACCGCTCTCCACCGCATTCCCCCGCTCTTTCTCCACCCCTCAAGGCCGAATCCCTTCTGTCTCCCCCTCTTTGTCATCTCTCACGAATTCTCTCCCAAATACCTCACTCCAGCCAATCAACCCTTTCCTGCACAACCCTTCCCTTCCTCTCACCTCCTCCGCTTCCTTATCTGTTCCCTCTACCTCCTCTGCTGCACCCACCAATCACCCCCTCCCTTGCCTCTCTCACTTCGCCACAGTGTCAGCTTCCGACCAATCAGTAGCCGGCGGTCTGACCAGCCGGGCAGCTGAAATTGCGAGCGGCGTGCAAAATCTTTTCGACGCACTCATGCGTTCAGACATCCTCCCTGCCCCCTCCGTTCCATCCTTCTCATCTCAACCGTCCATTCCTGATACTACGCGAAGATCGGCACCGTTGACCCAGCATCCACATCCCCATCTCCCATCCTCATATCACCCTACCCCAAGACAACCTCCCCCCTTCTCTACCCTCCCGCTTCCCCTCACATCTTCTTCCCCGGCTCCTTGGGCTGGGGAAAGGAACCCAAGGACTGCAGGAGGGGAGGTTAGCGCGTCTAGTGTGGCAACCACAAGGCGTTTAGAGGGTGGTGGGTTTTGGACTGGCACCAGCGGTGCTAGTAACGCTGCTGCTGCTGGTGACACTGCTGCTACTGCTGCTGCTGCTGCTGCTGCTGCTGCTGCTGCTGCTGCTGCTGCTGCTGCTGCTGCTGCTGCTGCTGCTGCTGCTGCTGCTGCTGCTGCTGCTGCTGCTGCTGCTGCTGCTGCTGCTGCTGCTGCTGCTGCTGCTGCTGCTGCTGCTGCTGCTGCTACTCCTGCTGCTGCCTCTGGCATTGCTGGCAGTGCACAAGTTATTGGGAGAGGGGGTGCCTTGATCCCTAATCCACACCTCCACCATTCTCCTGCTCCTCCTTTTCCTCTCGCCACTGCCCCTGCTACTGCTGCTGCTCCTGCTGGTACTGTTGCACTGGCTGCTACTACTGCTGCTGATGTTGATGGCGCTGGTGGTGGTGGTGTTGCTGGTGCTGGTGCTGCTGCTGCTGCTGCTGCTGCTGCTAGTTCTCGAGCAACAGAAAGAGTCAACTGTGATATGCTGCCCAACCCATCTCAGCTGCTGCCCGATTTTTCTCAGCCGCCCGATTTTTCTCAGCTGCCCGATTTCTCTCAACTGCCGAAATTCCTGACGCAGGAGCAACTGGCACTACTGAAACAGGTAGGTACCATAACCAAGCCACTCCCTTTGCACCGTCACCCACTCCCTCTGCTCCATCACCAACCCCTCTGCACCGTCACCACGCCCTCTGCACCATTCTTGCATTGGCCTCCCCTCAATCTCGACCCCTTTTCCCTTCCTTCCCCTTATTCCCCAACCCTCCCCCACCCCCCCTGCTGCTTATCTAACTCTGTCCTTTCACCAGCTCGTAACCTTTCCTTCAATCGTGTCCCTCTGTCGACTCATCCCCATCCCCATCCCTATTCCCATTGCCATTCCATCTCTCGTGCCAACTCTGATCTCCTCCACCGCCTTCCCTACCCTGCTCGCAGTGGTTGGAGGGAAGCGGGCAAGGCATGCAGAGCCAGGTGGGTTTGGATGCGACTGCTGGTGCGCCTGGTGGCTTGCGGGACGCGTTTGGATCAACTCAACAATCAGCCCACGGCCCTGCAGTCGTCACTGCACCTGTGGCAGCACCTGTGGCATCACCTGTGGCAGCACCTGTGGCAGCACCTGTGGCAGCACCTGCGGCAGCACCTGTAGCAGCACCTGTAGCAGCACCTGTGGCAGCACCTGTAGCAGCACCTGTGGCAGCACCTGTGGCAGCACCTGTAGCAGCACCTGTTGCACCTATGGTAGCAGAAACTGGAGAGTCACGGGACTGTTCCCAGGGCCCTCAAGGGACAAGAGGGAAGGGCGACAAGGGCTTTCGGGTCCCACAAGACCGGCCGGCGATGACCTTTGAGTCAACTCGAAAGTCAACTGGAGAGTCAGGGGACTGTTCCCAGGGCCCTCAAGGTACAAGAGGGAAGGACGACGAGGGCTTTGGGGTTCCCCAAGACCGACCGTCGATTCCTGGCCGAAAGACAAGAGCTGAGGCAGCCACTGACAAAGCGCATGCCATTCCCTCCGCTGACAGGGGTGTGGGAATTGGTGAAAAGTACGAGGAAGGAGAAGAAATGGTTGGAGGGAGGGTGGAGGGTATTGTTGTGAGAAACAGCGAGAATGAGAGACAGGGTGCTGCCGGTGATGAGGTTCGAAGGGAGGAAGAGGTTCCAAGGGAGAAAGTGGGTCAACAGGAGGACGATATGCGGGGCAGTGATGTACAGGGAACAGTTGAGAAGAACATTCACCAACCGCAAGAGGAGCAGAAGCAGGGTCTGCAGCAGCAGCACCACCACCACCAACACCAGCAGCAGGAGCAGCGGCGGGAGAACCGACAGCAAGAGAACCCGCATCAGGAGAACCAGCAGCAGCAGGAGCAGCAGCAGCAGGGCCAACAGGAGGAGCAAGGGGAATCAGCAGCAACAGGAATGGATCTTGATGGTACAGTCAAGGAGGGTGGGCACGGAGGGGACGAGGAGCAAGAGACGGCTTTTGAGGCGCCTCAAAAGCAAGGAGTGGGCGAGCAAGGAAAGGGCAAGGAGGGGGGTGGTAGGGAAGACAGTGGGGACAGGCAGGGGGATAGGAACCCTGTTGTTCGCCGAAGCTGCAGTGATGGTGGTGGCAGGCTTGGTTCGGAAACTGGTTTGGATAGGCGGTCCCCTCGCCCGGAGCAGCTGCAGGTGGTTCGGCGGTGGAATACCGGGAGGCTCGACAGCTGGTCGGAAAGGAGCAGCTTGAGCAGTGGACAATCTGGACCGTTGATCTCGAAGAAGCGGCCGATCACAAGCGTTGACCCAAGCACCCCCGGCCCCAGCCCACAGCATCAAAGGGAGCAGAGCCAGCAGAGTCAGCAGAGTCAGCAGAATCTGCAGCCACCACAACTGCAGCTGCCACAGCGACAGCCCCACCGGCAGCAGCCGCAGCAGCAATGTGAACAACAGCAGCAGCAGCAGCTGCCACAGCTGCCGCCGAAGCAGCAAGAAGTCCCACAAAAGGACAACCAAGACCGCCCGCCGCCACGACCCATGCGCACCCGTCCCATGCTCAAGCGAAGCATGGCGGGCCCCCTACCAGGCGCGCCTATAGCAGTCATAGACGGCACAATCCAGCTGGTCGGCGATCTCTCACTCCTCGGCGGTGGCGGTTCCTTCCCCCCTCCTCCCTCCGCCCACTCCTCCCCTCACCCTCTCTCCACATCCGCCCCCTTCCCCACACGAGGCAACACCGCCCCCCTGTCTTCGAATCCCCTTGTGCTCTCCGTGTCTCCACACCCCAGCCCATCTCCTGGAGTGGTGGCACGGCCTTGGGGGATGAAATCACCTCTGCCAGGTGAAACGCAGAAATCAGATGCGGTACCGTCTCCGTCTCCCCGTTCTGCTGCTGCCCGGCCTTGGGGTATGAAGTCACCACTACCAGGTGAGCCACAGAAGATGGCGCCAGTGTTTAAAGCACCTCAGGAGCCTCAAGCAGCAGCTCTTCCATCAGTGGCTGAAGCACAGAAAACGAGTGCAGGTCTGGGCCGGCCAGGCGTAGCAGGCATGGACAGGCCCGCAGCGGAAGCAGCAGCAGCGCCTGCTTTGCGAGTGGATCAGCCGAGACTCGATGGCACGGTGGAAGGTGGTGGCGCAGTGCTGGGAGCAGGTGAAACACCATCGCGTGCTGCTTCTTATGGAGAGCCAGGTGTAGCAGCAGTGGCAGCACCAGAACTGGGAACAGCAGCAGCAGCAGCAGCGCCAGCAGGAGCCGCGCCAGCAGCAATAGATCCACCTGTATACCAGGCCGGCGCAGCCAACCCAGCCAGTTTTGAGACGTCTCAAAAGTCGCCAGCAGCAATAGATCCACCTGTATACCAGGCCGGCGCAGCCAACCCAGCCAGTCCTGCTAAACGAATTCTGAAACACAGCCAGTCAGCCCGGCTCCCTCCTCCGGACCGCCCGCGCTTCTCCCCTGCCCTCCGAAGCTCCAGCTTCGGGAGCCGAGGCTCGGCGTCAGGCTCGGGACAGTTTGCGGCTGGTTCGACCGAAGGTGAAGCAGCCTCAGGTATGGAGGATATCGTGTTTGAGAGGAGGGACGTGGAGTCTCAGTTGAATCCTTTGGAGGGGTCGAGTGGGGGACAGGGAATGGATACTGTGTGGTCGGGGAAGTTGGTCCAGGAGTGGAGTGGAAGACGAGGGGGGCGGCATCTTGTCAGCGTGACTGAAGGCATTGCGAGTCAAGCTGATGTGAGAGAGAGACACGCTACTGGTGACATTGAGTTGAGAGATGGTGGGAAGAGAGATAGTGGGGCTGCTGCAGCGTGTAGAGAGGAGGATGCTGGTGCTGCGACTTCTGAGTCGACTCCACAAGCAGGAGGCAGCATGGGATTGATTGGTGCTGCAACTGATGCTGCCACTGGTGCTGCACACACTGCATCCCTTAGGGAGGACGAGCGGATGGGTCGGCAAGGGCAACAGCAGGAGTACGAGCAGCATCACGGGCATGGGCAGCAGGATAACAATCATACTGATCTGCAGCAGCAGCAGCAGTTGGGGGAGCAGCAGGGAGAAAATAAAGAGGACGAGGAGGAAAGGGAGGAACATGAGGAGGAGGAGAAGGAAGAACACGATGGAGAGTGGGAGGAGGGACATGAGGAGGACGGGGAGGAGGAGGAGGTGCAAGAGCACGAGGAGGTGTATGAGTACATGGGAGTGCGGTCAAGCCTCTCTTGTGAGGCGCCTCAAAAGGAGTTGCAAGAGCACCAGGAGGAGGACGGGGAAGGGGAGGAGGTGCAGGAGCACGAGGAGGTGTATGAGTACATGGGAGTGCGATCAAGCCTCACCATCACCCGCAGCAGCAGCAGCACCATACCCACCCACCCCTCCTTGCACGTCCACATCCCCACCCAGCCACCCTCCACTCTGTCAGACTATCCCAATACGCAGCTTGTTGATTCCGAGCCTAGTGCGTCTCATTATCATGAGCCCACTAAAGCACCTATGGATTCATGTGACTATGATGCTGGGGCTGGTGGCACAACCAGCAGCGGTGCTGATGCAGCAGAGGTGGCCACGGATCATCGTGATGCTTCAGCTTGTTCTTCTGCTGATGCTGCTGCGGCCTCCACTCCACCGCCAGTTTCTCCTGCTGCTCTTGCTGCTGTCACAGCGCCTGCAAGCACGGGTGAAACGCCCAACACCATCAGTGCAGCCCTCTCCCCTGTACACCCACCTCCGCCTGTGTCTGCCACGGCTGCTTCTGCCGCAGCTGCTTCTGCCGAAGCTGCTTCCACTCTCCCTGCTTCGGGTTTCGGCCCGAGTCCTTTTGGTCAGCTTGCCTCTCAATGGATTCTCTCCAATCTTCCGCCCCAACCTGTTGCCACCCAGTCAAACCCAGCTGTCCCGAACCTTCCAGACGTGCTGCCGAGCCTCTTGAACGGCCCCACAAACCTCGAAAGTACCCGTCCGAGCCTGATAACCTCTGCAGCACCTGAGATCACTTATCCCTCCATGTCTGACCTTATAGCAGGGTGGTTTTCAGGTGCCAGCCCAGGTGTGACTATGCAGCAGTGGGGCTCTATGGGGGGACTAGGCTCAGGGATAGGACCCAGCCCAGGTGTGACTATACAGCCGTGGGGCACTATAGGGGGGATGGGCTTGGGAACAGGACCTAGCCCAGGTGTGACTATGCAGCAATGGGGTACTGTGGGAGGGATGGGCTCAGGAATAGGAGCCAGTCCGAGTGTGACTATGCAGCAGTGGGGCTATATGGGAGGGATGCGCCCAGGGGTAGCAGCAAGCCCAGGTGTGACTGTAACGCAGTGGGGCTCGTTTGCAGGGGGGGGCGGAACGGGAAACGGGTTCGGAGGGCTCGGAGCGAGCCCAGGTGTGATTATACAGCCATGGGGCTCTATCGCGGGAGCAGCTGGAGTTGGGGCAGCAGCGGCAGAGTCAGGTGCAAGGATAGGGGCTGAGGCGACAGCAGGTGCAACCCCAGGTGTGACTGTACAGCAGTGGGGCTCTAATGAAGGGGCAGCAGCACCAGCACCAACACCAGAAGCAGCAGCAACAGTAGCAGCACCAGCAGCAACACTAGCAGCAGTGGCAGCATCAACCCTACCAGGGCTGGAAGCTTCCTTAGAGCAGCTGCTGCAGCAGATGAACCCATCCTCGTTACAAGACGCCAGCGCAATAATAGACGCTCTCAGCTTCCAAGCGTCTCTGGCTGCTTCAGCCGGGCACCTCGTGCTCCCGTTCTCCAACATGCCCACTCCACACGGACAGAGTGGGGGGAGCCCCGCCTCCTATGCCCCAACTGCCGCCACCAATGCTCCTGCTGCTGCGAATGCTCCTCCCGCTGTTGCCAATACCACAGGTGGTTCTGCTAGTGAGGAGCCGCCAGGTTCAGCGTGTGAGCCCATGGATATATAGGCTCTCAGCTCGTCCAAACAATGTGCCTTTTGAGCCTTTGGAGCTTATTAGCAATGTCTCGTGATGATCTCTTATGGGCACTGTGGCTCCTCTTGTTACGGTACACTTCCATTCTTTAGGCGCCTCAAAAGAAAGAACTCCCATCGAGTGTTTGGTTCGCCACTTGTGCAGGGGGGCTTCCCATACAGCACTTCCAATCCAACCACCTGTCTTCTTCTGTTGGGCGCCTGCTGTGTGCATTACCGTATCTTTCAGTATGCAGTATCGATCACTCCCCCTCAGGGTTCAAGAGGAGCAGAGCAGACCCTCTACTTTCTCAGCATTCCCCAAGCGCTTTTAGTGGTAAATTCTCTTTCTTCTTGCCTTGTATGGTATGGGGTGGTATTCCCAGTGTTTGTTCAGCTGGTTTCCACATACACTGATTATACATGATACTCAAAAGGGTGTACAAAAATGCATGCAATCTTGCAGCCGGGAAGCTGGGTCAGACAACCGCCAGCTATGATACAACTTGCAAAGTTGATGCTGCTTAACCTGCAGCAGGCCTAGTCACATGCAGCCATGTGTCAAGAAGTCCATGAAAACCTGAGGAAGAAAAGGCAGAGAGAAGAGGAAGAAGAGGCAGATTGAGGGAGAAAGAGGCAAGGGTCATTGGAGTAAGGAGGGGTGGAGATCGGGGGATGTTAAGCATGTGAGGAAGCAGTGGTAAGTGGAGAGGGGAGTGATGAGGGTTGAGCAGGGGGTGAGGTGAGGGGTGAGTTCGGTGGGGGAAGAGGGAGACTTGGGAGGAGGGACAAAGGAAAAGGGAAAGGGAGGGGGGCGGGGGTGAAAGGGGGAAGGAACGTGGGGCAGATGAGGAATGACCGGGGGAGTGGCGAGAGAGATGATGGGTGAGCGGGGAAGGTAGGTGAGGAGTGAGTGGGTAGGAAGATGAGGTGTGCGTGAGAGAGGAAATGAGGGTGAGTGCAGGAGGATAGGAGGCTGGAGGGGAAGGGGGAAGGGAGGCAGGGGGGAGATGAAGGGTGAACAGGAGAGAATTCACGGGAGTGAGGGGGGAGGCTTGGGAAAACGGGGGAAAGTCAAGGGGTGAGCGGGGAAACGGTGGGGGAGATGATGGTTGAATCATGAGGAGATGAGGAGTGAGTGACGAGGGGATGTAAGTGAGTAGGGAGGGAGATGAGAGGTAGGAGGGTGAGAGAGAAGATGAGAGCTGCGTGAGGACATGAGTATGAGAAACGGGAGAGCGTGGGGAGATGGGGGGAGAGAGAGGGGAGATCTGGCGAGAGCTAGGAAAGATGTGCGAGGGAAGATAAGGGGGATGGGGGAAACGGGGGAAAGGGAGAGTTTGCACGACATGGAGTCTCCGTGCGTCAGCTCGGAAATCCGATGTTCGCGAGAGCTGTAACATGCTCGCCGAAATCCTACGTTCGCGAAACCGTGTAGCATGCTCGTGGACCGCCGCCTCTTGCCAGTCTACTGCCTCCCTTCTATCTTGTGTCCGTTTTAGGTGGCACTGAAAACTATTGACGCCATTAAGTCGCCCGCAAGGCAACGTTTCCATTTCCCCCATGATCCTTAACTTAGATTTCGTCGGTTCTTACAACTACTGGCTAGGGTTCAAAGATATCGAGCGCGCACCGAATGTTGCTTATTTCACTTGGATCTGAGGCTAGTACTCGTTCAGATGGAAGCGGCTAACACTGAAGCCCGACCGATGGCAAGACTGAGGCTACGGCAACAAGAGATGGGGCAGGCACGCTAATCGGCGAAATGAACACCAAGAATCGATGAAACCAAGTATTGGAGACGAAGGGGAATGAGCTGGAAGATGATGGATGAGGGCAAGAAACACCTTCCGATTCTATTGGCTCGCACGATTTTTTCTCGATCCCCCCTTGCCATTTTCAGCTGCCCCGATCAAGTTCGCACGGAACAAAATGAATCGCGCGAGCACCTGAACCTTCTGTTCACACATCTCAACGCATTCCCGCACTCCACGCAGAATTCCTCGCAAAAGAATCTTAGTCGGTCTATACATATAAAATACATGTGCCACGTCAACAATCTCCTAGAAAGTTCGTTTCCTGCCCCAGCCCCTACCTTTCCTACCCGATATCAGAGTGCCCGTCAAACCACAACACAGCGATACGCGTCCTCAGCAGATCCGCTTATAGCAAACTGCAAACCAACCCACATAACTTTACCACCCTTTGGATTGTACATGTGAGAATGGTTCACGATATCGAGTCGCGTTGGGATGAGTTCAGATTCACATTTGGGCCGCCTCGAAATTTGAGTCTATTGGAACACCCTCTGACATTTTCTAGGCGGAAAGTTGCCTTGGCGGCGCCAGCCACCTTACCACTCCCTCCCAACACAAGGCTCCACCACATCTTCACCATCCATCTGCAGCAGCAATCATCTCCGCCATCCGTTCACTATTTTGCAAAACTACCTTGGTATTGTAACAGCACCAATGCACCATACCAAAGGCCGCGCGCTTGATCGCAACGCACCGCACTCATCAAATAACAGCGGCTGTAATCTACCAACACACGCAATAGCTTTGGGGAGTCCACATGCACACATTCGGGTCGCCTTGAAAGTCCCCATGGTAAACGTTTCCAAGGCGGGGAATCTCTATGGTGACGGCGGCCAGGCAAGCAGCAGCGCGTCTTAGAGTCCGTGTAGGTTCGTGTAGGCGTTAGAGTTAGCGTAGAGTCTAGAGTCGTGGGTGGGGTGGGTGGGTAGTGAGTCTAGAGAGCTGCTTCCAAGCCTTGGCCGGAACCTTGTACTACGCCCTGTTCTTCGCGGCAAGAACTACATCGTGAGAAACTCCCTACGGCGAGAACTCACTGTCAAGATCTCCACTGCAAGACCGCGAGAACCCTGGGAGATCTTCACGGCAAGTTGACCACCGCGATATCTTCACCGCGATTATCATTGGAACGTGTTCGACTCGAGATCTTCTCAAGACGATCTTCAATGGCGCTTTCCCCGTTGCTGTTGGCGCTTACTCCGGCGTAGATACCAAGGCGGAAGGAGACGGGATTGTCATCTCTTCCAAGTGAACGTAAGTACCTCTTTTGCAACTTTTGCAACTGTTTTCTCCTTCTTCATCATGTGTTACTGGATAAGCTCTGACGGATTTTCATTCTTCCTGCAGGACACCGCCTTGGCGCTTCTCGACCAATCTCTATCGGAAGAATTCAAGCAGAGATCGTCGAATGCCTCGTCAGACGCGGCCTACTGCTTCGCCTCGGCGCGAAGATGCGCTTCTTCCGTCGCATGGTGGCATCTTCGTCGCCGCGAGGAGACGATCTTCGTCCCTCTCTTGGTAAGTATCGTCAATTTCAGCTCGTATTTTCTTTTCGATTTACTAATTCTATCTTGTGTGTTCTCTGTCTTGGTGCAGAAAGAGCGGGATGGGAAGCTGGCGGCGAGCAAGGGAGTCACACGCGGAAAGCTCTCGCTCTCTTGGTGAGTCGCGTCAATTTTAGCTAGTTTTGTTTTCGTTTTACTAATTCACTCTTTTGTGTTCTCTGTCTTGGTGCAGAAGGAGCGGGATGGGGAGCTGGCGGCGAGCAAGGGAGTCACACGCGGAGAGCTCTCGCTCTCTTGGTGAGTCTCGTCAATTTCAGCTCGTATTTTCCTTTCGATTTACTAATTCTCTCTTTCGTGTTCTCTGTCTTGGTGCAGAAGGAGCGGGATGGGAAGCTGACGGCGAGCAAGGGAGTCACACGCGGAGATCTCTCGCTCTCTTGGTGACTCTCGTCAGTTTCAGTTAGTTTTGTTTTCGTTTTACTAATTCACTCTTTTGTGTTCTCTGTCTTGGTGCAGAAGGAGCGGGATGGGGAGCTGGCGGCGAGCAAGGGAGTCACACGCGGAAAGCTCTCGCTCTCTTGGTGAGTCTCGTCAATTTCAGCTCGTATTTTATTTTCGATTTACTGATTCACTCTTGTGTGTTCTCTGTCTTGGTGCAGAAAGAGCGGGATGGGAAGCTGGTGGCGAGCAAGGGAGTCACACACAGAAAGCTCTCGCTCTCTTGGTGAGTCTCGTCAATTTCAGCCTAGTTTCGTTTTCGTTTTACTAATTCACTCTTTTGTGTTCTCTGTCTTGGTGCAGAAGGAGCGGGATGGGGAGCTGGCGGCGAGCAAGGGAGTCACACGCGGAAAGCTCTCGCTCTCTTGGTGAGTCTCGTCAATTTCAGCTCGTATTTTATTTTCGATTTACTGATTCTCTCTTGTGTGTTCTCTGTCTTGGTGCAGAAAGAGCGGGATGGGAAGCTGGCGGCGAGCAAGGGAGTCACACGCAGAAAGCTCTCGCTCTCTTGGTGAGTCTCGTCAATTTCAGCCTAGTTTCGTTTTCGTTTTACTAATTCTCTCTTTTGTGTTCTCTGTCTTGGTGCAGAAGGAGCGGGATGGGGAGCTGGCGGCGAGCAAGGGAGTCACACGCGGAAAGCTCTCGCTCTCTTGGTGAGTCTCGTCAATTTCAGCTCGTATTTTCCTCGATTTACTGATTCTCTCTTGTGTGTTCTCTGTCTTGGTGCAGAAGGAGCGGGATGGGGAGCTGGCGGCTAGCAAGGGAGTCACACGCGGAGAGCTCTCGCTCTCTTGGTGAGTCTCGTCAATTTCAGCTAGTGTTCTTTTCGTTTTACTAATTCTCTCTTGTGTGTTCTCTGTCTTGGTGCAGAAGGAGCGGGATGGGGAGCTGGCGGCGAGCAAGGGAGTCACACGCGGAGAGCTCTCGCTCTCTTGGTGAGTCTCGTCAATTTCAGCTCGTATTTTCTTTTCGATTTACTAATTCTCTCTTGTGTGTTCTCTGTCTTGGTGCAGAAAGAGCGGGATGGGAAGCTGGCGGCGAGCAAGGGAGTCACACGCGGAAAGCTCTCGCTCTCTTGGTGAGTCTCGTCAATTTCAGCCTAGTTTCGTTTTCGTTTTACTAATTCTCTCTTTTGTGTTCTCTGTCTTGGTGCAGAAGGAGCGGGATGGGGAGCTGACGGCGAGCAAGGGAGTCACACGCGGAGAGCTCTCGCTCGTGAGTCTCGTCAATTTCAGCAAGTACTTTGTTTGCCTTTTACTAAGTTTCTCCTTTGTGTTCTGTGTCTTAGTGCAGAAGGAGCGCGATGGGGAGCGTCAAGGGAGGTCAAGAAGAAAGAATGCTCTCTTTCTCCTGGTAAGCACGGTCCGATTTCATTCGTTTTTTTTTTTTTTTTTTTTTTTTTTTTTTTTTGAGATTTCTAACTTCGAGTTTCGTTGTTTTGGTGATGCAGGAGGAGGAGAAGCACGCGGCAACACCATCAAGGGAGGTCAAGAAGAGAACACTCTCCTCCTGGTAAGCACGGTCTGCTTTCGTTCGTTTCTTATTTTTCAATATATATAACTTCGAGCTTCGTGCTTTTTGTGAAGCAGGAGCGGGAGGAGGAGCAGCACGTGGCGACAGCGGGAGGAAGAAGAAACGGTCCTTTTTTCTGGTAAGCACGGTCCGCTTTCCTTCGTTTCTTTTATTTTCGTGAATTCTAACTTCGAGTTTCGTGCCTTTCGCGAAGCAGGAGCGCGTGGAGGAGTGCAGGCAACACCTGGAGTGGGCGGGGGAGGTACCACGCGGCAAGCTGTCCCTCTCAATCTCAATTAGTGTTCTGTTTACGTTTTACTAAGCTTCTCTTTTTGTGTTCTGTCTGAGTGCAGAAGGAGCGGAACTGGGAGCTGACGGTGAGCAAGGGGGTAACAGAATGGTCTCTCTTTCCTGGTAAGTTCCGTCATTTCAGCTTCTTTCTTCCTTTTTGAAACACTAACATCCTCTGCTGGTTTTTGTGTGTGGGCAGGAGCATGAGCAGAGCGAGGAGCGTTGAGCGCGGAGCGCGGGGAGAGAAGCCGCGCACCTCGCTGGAGTAAGGAGCCTGGAGCACGGAGCTTGGAGCAACCAGCCGTGTAAGTGGGTTTGGGCCCTGGGTGCCTGGGTGGTTAGGTCTACGTTAGGAGCGTTAGTCAGAACGTTAGGAGTGTTAGTCAGATCGTTAGGCTCGAATTAGGCTAAGCTAGGAGACGCATTATCCTTAGCTAGGCTCGGATCTGGGTTACTATCTAGTCTGGACCTAGGCTCGAATTAGCTAGGACGTTAGGTTCGGACGGTCAGGTGTGGTAAAGCATTGTTAGGTTCGGTTGAGATTGTCTTTGATATTCCCTCTCTTCCTCGCGCTGGTCAATTTGGCGGGAACTTGAACATACCAATGAGGTTGTGCTCGAGGTGTTACATTTTGCTGCCCTGAATATGATTTTAACCGTCCCCCCTCCCTTCTGCCCTGTAAATAAGGCCCCTCCCTCTCGAACAGGCCCCGAAAGAATGACCAAGAACCAAGAAAGGCGACAAGCTGTGGATCTGCACTGCAGATGCGGTGGTTGACCCTTA